GGGACAGGGGTGTCAGCACTTCCAAATAGTGTATCTGCAACACAACACTACTCTTCTTCTTCTTCTTCTTCTTGTATTCTTACACATTGCATCTTTAAAGAAACGCATAACAGTGGCACATCGTCTCACATCACAACAACTGGAAGCTTGAAAATTGACCATTAGATACAAATTAGTGTATGGAGGGTGTGCGTGTGTGTTATGTACCTCCACCTCTACAAATGTCTGACGGATGAGGCTGGGTACTCCTCTGTCCTCAGCAAGTACTGTCAGGTTGAAAAACTGTTGTTTCTCAAAGTCCAACTCCTTCCTAATCCTCAACACTCCACTCAGAGCATTGATCTGTACAAAGCATCACAATGCCTTACATCATAAACTGATAAAGGATCTGCATATGCAACAGTATAGACAATCCAAATTGTGTCATCACCTACCTCAAAAGTGCCATTGAAGTCATTAATCAAGGAGTACCGAACCTGTCCACCAGGGCCAATGTCTGGGTCCTGAGCCTGCACACGGGTAATCACAGCCCCTGGTGGGAGGTCCTCCAGTACTCGAGCGCTGTAGCTGCTAGGGATGAAAGTTGGTGCGCAATCATTGACATCCTCCACTATTATACATAGAGTAGTCACTGAAGAGCGTCGAGTGCCTCTCTCAGCCTTGTCTTTCACTTCAATCTTCAATGTGAACATTGCGAAGGTTTCTCGGTCCAAGTGGCTGGCAATAAATACACTTCCAGTTTCACTGTCAATACCAAACTGAGGGACACTGGTCAACATTGTGTAGGACAGCTGTCCATTTTGACCCATGTCTCTGTCAAATGCAGTGACTGTAATAACTTCCATACCAATGGCTGAGTTTTCTGAAACAATAGCAGAGAGGCTGCCCTGATCAAACTCGGGGTCATTGTCATTTGCATCCTCAATGATCACAGTCAGTAGTCTCCAATTGGACATCTGAGGAACGCCCTGATCGTAGATAGTGATATTAAGGAAGTAACGATCCACACGCTCACGGTCTAGTGGCTGCAATACAGTTATCAACCCATTCTCCATGTTAATATTGAAGCAATTTTCTTTGTTACCATCAGATATGGAAAAGAGAACACGGCCATTGAAGCCTGTGTCACCATCTCGTGCTCTCACCTGAAATACACTGGTACCAGCAGTGAGGTCTTCTCTCACTAGAATGCTTGTAGGCAAGGCCTCAAACTGTGGAGCCTGATTGTTCATAGAGAAAAGGTCTGTATAGCTCTCATCTGGTCTTGGTTTAGCCATAGCAGACGCTTTTGAGAGCATTTTTTCTGCCAATAGCTGGGCTACCCTGGTCTCCTTACAGTTGAACCCCCTGGGTGGCATCCTACCCCTGACCACAGATACATTCACAAAGGTAGGATCAGAGAACATCTCTCCATCTGTTGCAACTATTTTCAGGTTGAATATCCCACTTTTTAAATTATCCACTGCTAATGATCTCTTCAGAGACAAAGCCCCAGAGTCTGGATTTAAGTTAAAGTAGTCTAACTCGTTCCCAGACAGTATCTTGTACTTCACCATTCCTAGCTCATCCATGTCCACAGCTGATAAGGTGATAATAGTTTGGCTGATAGGAAAATCACGGCTTATCATCCCCCTGCAAGAAACCATCTCAAAAAGAGGCTGGTTGTCATTCATATTTATCAAACGAATGGTGACATTAACCTCACTCTCTCTTCTGTATGGTGAACCCCAATCAGAGGCCCGCACCATAAACATATAAATATCATCTGATGACTCAAAGTCCAGGTCTCTTGTGATTCTCACCTCTCCCGTGTTCTGGTCTATGTTAAATGGAAGAGACTGTTCACCACTTATTGTGTGGGTTACGTACCCATTCTCTCCTTTATCATCATCCACAGCAGACACTACAAGAACAACAGTCCCTACAGGCAAGCTCTCATTGATTGCAATATCATAGAAGGGCCTGTTGAACACTGGACAGTTGTCATTAGCATCCTCTATCATGATTTGGACCCTTACTCGCTGCTGACTAATAATATCAACCACCTCCATCTCTATGAAATCCTGTGATATCCTTGTCAGCTGCCTTGTAGTCATAATAACTCCAGTCAAAGGGTTTATATCAAAGTACATTGGATCTGAGAGGCTGCTGAAGCTGTAATTGACACTCAGTGGAGCTGGGGAGATTTTCACCACCTCTACAATAGTGCCTGGGGGAGCAATTTCACTCAGCTTGACTACATAAACATCTTTCTCAAAATTCGCCAACACTGGGTCTGGCTTTGTAACCAACAGCTGAACAACTTGGGTATTAGAAAACTTCGGAGGTATACCTCTGTCTTTAGCCTGGAAGGTTAAGTTGCAGCCATAAGGGAATGTATCCCAGTCAACCAATTCTGATGTTTTAACCCTATACTCATTCCCAACAGGTGATCGATCAACCACAAACTGTTCATAAGGGTCACCCTCTATGATAGAGACCCACTCTATATCCCCAGATACCCCTTCATCTTTATCCTCCACAGTCACTATGGCATAGACTGGGTTCTTGTCCACCCATGATGGAACAACAGCAACTGCACTGAGAACAGGAGAAAATTCATTAACCCGCTCCACTGTTAATACCAGCCTAGCAGTGCTGCTTATACCATTATTCCCATAGAGTTTCATCCCTCTATCGACCACCTGCACCTCTAGCTCAAATCGGTCTTGTTTGTCCATCCTGGGCCGACCCGTCAGAGTGATGACCCCACTCGTTGGATGAACAGCAAAGAGTTCAACTCTGTTCTTGAAGAAATAGTAGAACTCTCCGTTGGAGCCCATGTCAGCATCCGTGGCTGTTACACGTCCTATGCTGGCACCCAGAGGGGCACTCTCAGAAACAACAAATGAATAGGAGGTTGGGGAGAAAAGAGGTCGGAGATCATTGGTATCCAATACCTTGATATAAACAGTGGCTAAGGCCTCTAGGTCTCCTTGGGCAGATGCCTTAATTGTCAGTGTGTAATTGTCCTGCACTTCCCGATTCAATATGGCACCGCTACCACCGTTAGTGCGTATACGGAGGAAACAAAAATCTCCCATTACAAACTCCTCAGCCTGGAAGATTCCCTCACTATCTCCAAACTCAATGGAATATTTTATGTCTAAAGACCGAGGTGGCCCAAGAATGATGCCCATTTTGACCTCACTTCTGGTATAAGTTCTTGCAGCAGAATTCTCGAAGATGGAAGCATTATAGGCAGGCTGGGTGAAGAGCAGCAGGCCTTGTCCTGCCCTAGGTTCTGGCAAGAACTGGGCATGGGTTGAGGGAAAACAGAGGAGGAGGAAAAAGCAAATAAATTGGAAAAGAAGAGAGAAGCTGGGTAGAGGAAGCATCTTTTCCCACCGATTAGGTTTCATCTCTGTTCCATCACTCAGTCACCCTATATTTGGAAAGAATAATAAAGAAAAACAGATCTGGATTCAGTTGGTGAGTTGTTAGAGACATGCACTCTGAATACTAAAAATCTGATAGAGAACTGTGAGACAAAAGTCACAAAGACATTTCAGGGGTACTGCTTATCACTACAGGGAAATGATAGCATATTCAATGTTGCACTCAAACAATTTGCATTCAAACATTCAATATTGTGCCCGAAAGGCTCAGAAGCAAAGAATGACATAAAAAAACACATCAAAGCACAGTGCACATACACAGGCTCAGTGAAACATATCATGTCACCAAATGAAATAACAGGGATCAAGAACAATCACTCTTCCTGCAATAAAGAGTGCCTAAAAGACACAGTGACAGTCTTTAGTCAGTGACCACCACATTAGGCTTGTAATAGTTTCACAAGAAAAAAAAGGACAAGAGCTATGAGGGTTCGACAAACATCATTATGCATTAAGAGAAATTACACTACACAAGTAGTTGCACTTAAACACTTTTTTTTAAACAGTCTGGTTTCATTTGATATTATCATCAGGTTAACTCAAATGCACAGCCAAAGTTTAAACCCATGTAATAATTGCCAGAGAGGGAAAGGAGAGGGAAAAATTGATGACCTAATTAAAAACATTTTCTTTTTTCTTTTCTTTTTTAAATTATAAATACTTGTTTGCTAAATACTGCATGGGCTACTGTTTACTGAATTTTGTCGCCTATGCATCGTCTTATACAGTAGTATTGTTTTGATCATTATACAACTTCAACAGAAACATTATTTATTAAAGAACTGATGATGTGAAATTTGAGCTACATGTAGATCCTATTTGTTAGACCTATAGTAGCCTATAGATTAATATCTGCACCAAATAGGCTGTCAGAATTTAACGACTCAGATCAACATTCCCCAGAGAGAGACTGTCCTGGGAGATCTTGGGGTGCATTTAACGTTCCCCGTTTTGATGCTGATGCGGATCCAGTGTTGCTCGCCTCCCTCCCTGCAAAATCCACGTGTTTCTCATGCTACAGACTGTAGCTTAATTAAATATATTGTGTGCAGACTTCACTCACACATCAAAGCGTGTCCTACCTTTAGACGAAACAGCTGTAATCAGTGGAAGTAAATCATTTCCCATCCTCTCCCCGACAGTCATTTTGAAAAGAAAGAAAAGCAAATGCACAAAACAGTCGCGCAGAAGTCGATGGTGATGCGCGAAATGGAAAATTCATGTGAGAATATCCCGAGAGGCAGTTGTCTACTAGGCTGCAGCCATCCTCGTAAAACTAAATAGCTATTGCCCCAGTTTCATGCACCTGAATACTGTAACCCTGAGTGCAGTGCTATTTTGGCTTTTTCTGCTATAATTCACACAAAACTGAGGTTAAAACTGCTAGGTGTTAGTTTGCTGGAAGGTTAAGGTCCGAGATAAATTTGCTATAAAGACCCTGTCGCTTAACGCAAGTTTGGAAGCGGTCAGCATCAGTTGTCGCTTGTGTGGGACCGCGGTGCGCTCACAGGATGGAGGAGGCGGGCTGGGCAAGCTCCGATATTTGCCGAGTGTAGCCGAGATCATCCGGAAGTGAGACCAGTAAAGAAACGGTCGCTGCTCTACATCTTACACACACTAGCTTTTTAGTGTTAGTTACAAATCTGGCCACCTGTAAAACTTGTTTCACCCGCCACCATGTCCGCGTTGTGCTATAATAAGGGATGTGGGCAGCGATTTGATCCGGAAAATAACCCAGACGGTGAGTAATGTTAGTGTCTTGGTAGTGTCTTTGACTACCTCTGTACCCTGCACCACTCTGTGTTAGCAAGCTAACCTCGGATCATCTGGAAATTTCTATAGCATGCAGGCCTGGTGGGCCCATGTAGCTAACCTGATATTAGTTAGCTGACTGGACGCAACATAGTAGCAACTTCATTCATCAACCCTGTTGTAGCTTATTTGGAAGGTAACGCGCGTGCTTGCTGTTGTAACGTTATCACGATGTTGTTAAGTTAGCATGCTAAGCTCCTGTGATTAGCACGTTAGAGGGTAACGTTAGTTCGACTTTGCAGAAGAACCATTGTTCCCGGACAGGACACACTGTAAGTCAAGCAGTTAAAAGTTACAGGTAAAGAAACACACCATTCATCTTTTTATTACACGTAGACCGACGTTTATATACAGCACATTTGTCAACGCTATTCCACAATCACAACTAAATTAAGTCATGGTACCACAAGTGTTGTTTGGAAAACTGCGAAAGCACTTCTGTTAGCAGTTAAACCCGAGTAACGTTAACCAGTCAACAGTGGGGTTCAGATTTTAAAGAGTAATAACGTTGTATCTATATATCCATTTCATCAAGCAATATTTAATCCACTGGACTGGTTGTGAAGTGGTTGAAATATCCATCAAATGGCTTGTTTTCCAACAGCCGTCTGGAGATCAGATATCTCCGTAGGAAAGATCACCATTTCCAGATGAGTTGGCAAGTAATGCCAAGTTCCACAACGCAAAAGAGAATTTAAAACTCCTTATGTTATCTTTATTAGGTTTGTAATTACAGACCTCATTTTTATGGCTGCCACTTCAGCCTAAAGATGCGAAAGAAGGGGCACAACATCTGGGAAACCCAGAAGAAATGGAAAGAAGTCATTTGTATTCATAAGCTAATCCTTTTCCTTACTACCAGAAGGGCTTGTGCCTGAGGAAAGCTAAAGAATATGTTGAACCCACACAGTTTCCTGCCAGCAGTCTGTGATAGATCAGTCTGTAAACGTAAGAGCAGCCTCCCCAGTAACCCGGGGCCTCATTTAGAGGACAGATGCAGTCATGGAATGTTTACAGTGCATATTTCTCTCCAAAACAGTGTCCAAATCCTTGATATAATGTAACAAAAGATGCCTCAAAGACATTTTAAAACACCACTCATAATCACGAGCAAACAAATGATTCCCATCTCATTGCCTTTTCTCATATTTGAAGCCACAGTTGAGTTGATGTTGATGAGGTTTGGCACACAGTTTATGGCATATGTCATCCTGTTTTTATGTGAGAAATGGTGGATGTGTGATTATTATTTCCTTACACATTTAGCTGATAATATATATATATATAAATGGAATTATTAACCTGGTCTCTTTATGAACAACCTGCAAACTTCCAGCAGTGCAGTAACCCAACAATTCCACTAGGAAATTCACTTACATGAGGATAGGTATTAGTCATTGTCACGATTATTCACTTCTTGAGCTTGAGTTACTTACTTCAGATAAAGTTTGCTCAAGAAACCATTGTTTGTGTGTAGCCACTTATGTATATTTAATTGAACATTCAAGGTGGTATTGTTGTCTGCAACTCCCATGACAAAACATCCGTGAGTCCCTTAATTCTTTTTGTTAGAAATGTCCTCTTCTGTATTCAAGTAATACAACATTGTGTAACGGGCAATACACAGTGACTCAATTGTAATTTCCATTTTAATTGGATACCTCTTTTCATAAGTCCTTTAGTGGTATCTAAAAAGGTATATCTGTGGCAATGGCATGGAAGGATCACACCTCAGGCTGTACTATGATGAAAATGCTTGATTTATGGTGTCACCCAGCCAGATTTATTTTGTTGTGCAGGGCAGTTCCAGAAAGAGGACATTTTAAAAATCATGCTGTACACAAATGTGCCATAAAAACATTACTTTCAAGTTGTATATACACTATATATATATATATATATATATATATATATATATATATATATATATATATATATATATATATATATATATGAGAGAGAGAGATAGAGATAGAGAAAGATCTAGATCTATATATCTATATCTAGATATATCTAGATATTTATAAATTACCTTTATATATATATAAAGTTTTCATGTGTAGTGGTCTTGTGTCAGATTGTCTTTTAAGTTGCTCATATTAGGTGTTGCTCCAGTTTGAAAAATCTTCCTCCACAGAAATTAGTTCTTCTGAAAGGAGTGTCAGTCCAATTAATTTCATAATGCCCACATTAATAATTTATCTATGCATTTTATGTACATTGCATTTACATCATCTATAAAAGACAGCGAAAATTGTGGTCTGTTTTTCTTTTTTTTTCTTTTTTAGCTACTTAAGCTTTAATTCTCCTTATCCTTTGTGTTTTCTAGCTTGCTGTGTCTGTAGTCTGATTTTTCAACCATGAATTATCCAATGTCACTTTTGGACATTTGATCAGTTCTTGTTTTAAACACCAATGATAATTCTAGTTATTATTACTGACTAGGTGTTTGTAGTTAACTACATTTAAAAAAAATTTTCTCTGACAATCTACACACACAACGTACATTAATTAATCTCAGCATGTTTTGTGTGTTTAATAAAAAAAAAAAAAACTTCTTCACACTTGTCTAAGTACAGCATGATAAATACTGTTAGGGACAGATTTGACACCATACAGACATCAAATACTGCTAGAATAATACATTAACCAACTTAGTGCATGTTAAAAAAACCAGTATAACCTTTTGCTATTCGGTTTCTAAAATTGGTTTTGTCCCACCTTAAGCACCTTAATGGGTCATTTTGACAGGGAACACCCGGAGGCAGCATCTGACACTGCTGACCAAAGTCTTTTGAGAGGTGTACCACGCATGAAAGGAGGAGCAATTGCAGAAAAGACGTAACTGTTTATGTAGTGCTTTACCAAGAAAGGCTTGGCCTCCATCAAACAGATGAAAATGACCATATATTGGTTATAGTTGTTGATTGTCAAAATGCCGCCTCGCCACCTTCAGAAACTTCTATTCTTTAACTCTGTTTATCTTTTTGTAAAAGAAATGCGCTTTTTGCCACAGTGAGCAAGTTTGGGTGTACCATGAAAGCTAAAAGTTTTGTTTCTTTAATGAAACTAGTATTCATTCAAAGTAGGCCAGAAAGGCGTATTCAAGTTTGCGTGTTATACAGTGCTGGTGTGGTTTACACCATTTCCTACATCACCGCATATATTTCCTCTAAATTAATCAAAGTTGTGTTTTGTTTTCAAAGATGGCTGCACCTATCACCCAGGAGTCCCAGTATTCCACGATGCATTGAAGGTAAAATGCTTGAAAATGCACAGTTAGCTTGTCTTGTTGTGTGGTCAAAGTTAACATCTCTTTGACTTTCCCCAGGGATGGTCCTGCTGCAAGAGAAGAACTACAGACTTCTCAGACTTCCTCAGCATTGCTGTAAGTTATTTGTTTTGGTTTGAATCCATACTTTTAATTCTCCATGGTCACGTTTCCATTGTCTATTGTTTTCATGGGCATTGACTGCCACCACCACCACCTTTGCTGTGGCCATATTGGCCTTATTGTTTGTGAGTCCGACACAATGATCTTCTCCTCACAGGGCTGTACAAAAGGCCCCCACAACAAGGAGAAGCCCCCTGAGCCGGTGAAACCAGATGTGACCTCATCAGGAGGAAAGAAAGACGCAGATGACCAAAAACCAAAGTTTAACGAGTACATCATCTCCGCACCTAAACCCCAGGAGGCCATACGCAGGCCCAGGTTGTACAATTGGCTTCAAACATAGTTTAAAAAATATATTTGAACAGTACCATACCGTTATTTTTGCAGTGAACACATAAGTGAAGGAAAAACATTTATGGAGATACAAAGATTTAACCCATATTGAACCCATATTTTATTATGTCAACACTTTTTACATGGGCATTGTTTTTGAAATCACATTTAAGAGAAAGAAATCAGCCAAGAAGAACACATGTTTCTCCATTCAGTACATCCACAGGGCTTCTGACTTAAAACTGTATATCCTTATTAGCTCTGTGGACTACATTAAGCTCTGAATTATTCTGGTTCAGTATAAAAGGATAGGTATAGTATCATAGGTATTAAATAAGCCTGAAATCTGAGGTTCCATGGGAGTATCCAGGGTAAAACAGAAAGTGGACAAGCTACTGATGAGCCAATTACTGCTGAATAGTAAAGCTCCTTTCAAATACTGTATTGGTCTTAGGCTGGCTTTGTACCCAAGACCCAATTTTCAAGGAAATGGTGCCATTAATGTATTCTTTACTTAAAGAAAAAATCCTTATACCCTTCCAAATTGTTTTCAATTAACAAAGTAACTACATTCCCTTTGTTATTGTTTCATGCCTAATTTTTTATAAAAATTTTTATTTTGGACGCCTTACAGTGCTGATGAGCCGTTAGTGAGAATGCAGCATAAAGTCTCTGCTTCTCTGAGGCAGGCTCTGGAGAAACTGAAGCTATCTGAAAATGCGGCTGAGAAGAATGGTGAGAACAGAAATTTATCCTCCCCTTGTTTTCTTTCTTTTAACATTTCCATGTTTCTGTTTTGTTTTGTTGTTGTTTTTGTCCTTTATATCGCAGACTACCATCTACTACCATCCATGTCTTGTTATAGTACACAGGAAGGTCATGTTGACAGTTGAAGTTAATGGATGGCCGCTGGGAATTTTCCCGTGTCATTCACATAATGGCAGTGGAGTACAAGCTGACAGGGACAGAACATGCTTTTCAAAGTAAGGGTGTCAATTCTTTGTCTCTCTCTGTCTCTCCCCATCTTTCTAGAGGAAGATAGTGACGAGATCAAGATAGGAACATCCTGTAAAAATGGAGGATGTACAAAAGTAGGTGAATATGTCATTGTGTACTGTTTTTTTTTAAATTGATGCATAATTTATATTAAATTCAACATATTTGTTAAATTCTATGAACAGAAATGATTAAATTAAAGCAAATCATGCTGATCCTGACAAAGAAATCAGAACACCCCAAAAGAGCTGACTGCTCTGAGTAAGAGGAAGTAGATACAGCTCCTTTTCCTCCTCCTCCACGTTTGCCCTGAGACAGATGCAAAGCAAAAAATATTTGTTTTTGCTCAAGCTAATCTGGCCTGTCAGAGCAGAAACCTCAAGATTAGAAATTAAAATATTGAGGAAAATTTAGAGTGACTTGGGTTTTGTAGAAGTAGGACTTAATTTACATAATTTTACTTTAAGTCATTAGATTGAAAGCCATGAGATATTCTCTCAACGGATGTCTATTTTTGGTTGATCAATCAGTTTGAGTATTTGGTAGAGTCTAAATTGGTTCTGTTATGAATTTGTGTTTATGCTAATTTCCAGAAAATTATACTTTCACCTCTGTCATTACAATAATATTCGAAAATATGTTTTATAAGCAGTAGATTTCAGGATATCAAAATTTGACTGTACTGAGGAAAGACGTCATTTCAAAAAATAACTTTTATTTAGTAATTTTTTAAGGGAAAAACATTCACTTCTTAAAGTGAAGATTTTCTTTACACTTCTACGGCAGTAAACTGAAAAAACATTTTAGGTTGGCATTTTGGGCTTTTGGATTTTCTGACATTTGAAAGACCAATGAACTAATCGGTTAATCAAGACAATAATTGACAGATGAAACGACAATGAAAATGATCATTGGCTGCATCCCTAGTTTCAGTATTTTGAACCACATCTGTGTTATCTTCAGAGTTTTGAAGGACCTGTAAGCGATTCAGATGTGTGCTCATACCACCCTGGATTTCCTATCTTCCATGAAGGGTTAGTAGTATTATGATAATTTTTTACCTATAATGAAGAACTTTTACAATTTAATCTTAAAAACATCTTTCCATCTCTGCATTTCACTGTACTGACCTGAAATGGTAGACATTCTTTGGAAGCTAAAAGAAGTGTGAAGAGCAACACTAGTATTTTCCTCTTTGTCTTGTTTACTGGTTCTCTTGAGTGACAAGTTACTGACTTCTAAAACTCCAGCGGGTGTATGTCTTCCCTGCTTCTTCAGGATGAAATACTGGAGCTGCTGTAAGAGGAAAACCTCCGACTTTAACACCTTCCTCTCTCAAGAGGGCTGCGCAAAGGGAACACATCTGTGGAAGAAGAAAGATGCGGTAGGTGTGCCTGTTTAACAGCAAGTGATCTCTTATGTGTGCAAGTGTGCATGACACACACCTCAGCTGTGACTCCATCTAGTGGTGGACACTTGCACTGTGGATACAATGCTTTGTGGTAGGGACAGAATGGCTGAATTTGTGTATCAAATGATGACTGCTACAAATGTTGTTTATTTGAAATCTCCTTGTAGGGTAAGAAAGTGGTTCCATGTCGGTTTGACTGGCACCAGACCGGGGCGCAGGTCATCATCTCTATCTACGCCAAGAACGCCGTCCCAGAGCTGAGCTACGTGGATGCAAACAGCACCATGGTGAGGGATACTATAGTCTTTCAGATGATATCTGTCCCAATCTAAACTGCTTTAATTGAGTTCTTCATCTTCACTTAAATAAACACTTCTTCTGTGTTTATTTGTCTTCTCTCTTTCAGCTCAACATCCACGTTATATTTGAGGGAGAGAAGGAATTTGATCAGAAAATCAGCTTGTGGGGAGTAAGTACATTTTCACTTTCAGCGTATTATTATTTGATATGCTGCAGATCTATCCTAGGTAGGGCTGGACAGTAAAACAACAATAATTATCGCGCTTCTGTTTTGGACTGGGACAGTGTTTCTACAAGTGTTTCTTGGATTCCATGTTTTATTAATTCCTGTGTGTGGATAAGTGCGCATAAGTGACATTGCAATTTTATTTGATTTAATTTGTTGAACCTAAGAGATAATCAGTTAAGAGTTTGGATCATTCTGTTGTAGGATTTCAGATGGCAAAAAAAAAGATAATTTTCTGAAAATACACCCAATTACAGCGCTAACTCGTTACATTTTGTATGATAGCAGGCCTTTTTGATTTGAAAATAACTTTTTTTATACCCATCTGTTTATTAAGCCATCCTTTTGTCACATCCCCCCTTTCCTTGCAGGTGATAGATGTAAGTAAAAGCACAGTGAACATGATGGCTGCCAAGATCGAGATAGCCATGAAGAAGTCTGAGCCCATGTCATGGGCTCGTCTGGACCTTCCTCCCCCCGTTGCCCCCCCCAAGGAGAACGAGAAGAAAAAAGAGGAGACTGATAGTGAGGATGAAGATGAATGATGAGGAATTAAAATTAAAACATAGTGTTTATTTTTAGCTGAATCTAAGGCCACACAGTCCATTTCTTACCTCTTTTAAAGATTTGCCTCTTCTGCTGTCATGGAACTTTGGCCTCTACTCTTCAACACTGCAGTGTTTCCCTTTTCACTCTTAGTTGTCGACTTTCTTGATTTGGCCTGTTTTTCTCAAGTTTTGGCTCTTTTTTATTGCTTATCATTATATTATTGCTAATCATTATATAGGTTGGAATGCTGAAGAATCTTCAAGTATATTTTACACCCATTTTTCACTCAAGTACTGAATGATAATGGAGGGAACACTGACTTTTAAACTTTCAATCAAGTCAGATGATGACACACTTGCACTGAAATCCCCTGGGAAATAACACTGCGCACATAGGAGTCAGCTGTGACCATGCTTGATCTCGGACCCATAAAGCCTTTCTTGTGAACTGCTCACATCGTAATGGACCACAGTTGTGACCATTTTCTATTTCACCAATGTTTGGTAAAAGATTCATTCCATCCTTTGGTGTCATAAATTGTATAAATTATTGCATTGTCCACAGGTATCACGTCAGGCTAAATGCTGTCTTCACAGATATGTTCCCTGGTCTGTGTGATAATGAAGCTGCTCTATGTAGTTTGAGTAAGAAATTTGGAACCTAAAATGTCCACATTTGCATAATATGGAGTGTATTCTGAATAAACTGTTAGAAGAAATACAATAGTTTCTTGGGACTCTTACACTTAGTAATGAAATGTTTGATAGCTATGACCATCCCACCTTTAGCACAGTTAAAATTGTAGATTTGCTCTAAATTTGTTATGTTTTTGGGTTGCCTGTCCATCTGCCCCATTCATGTGAATGCGATGTCTCAGGAACGCCTTAAGGGAATTTCTTCCAAGTTTGACAGAAATGTCCACTTGGACTAGAGGATAAATTGATTAGAATAGGGGGGCCAAAGGTCAAGATCACTGTGGCATCACTAAACGTGTTTCTGCCATAATTCAAGAACTGATGACTGTATTTCACAGTTGACAATGAATTAGTGACATGTTTGACTCGAAGGTCACTGTGACCTCAAAATGACCTTAACAAACACATTTGTGGCCATAACTCAAGAACTGATAATAATGGTAATTACGGACTGATGTTTAATGGAATACAACAGATAAACATTTTTGTTTTACCGAAAAGGTTAAAAGTCAACATCACAGTGACATCTTAATGTCCTGGAAAAAATGTGTTTTGCCATTATTCAGCAATGTAACTCAGGAACTGAAGGGGATTGTGACCGTATTTTACAGTTAGTCAGACTGAATAGATGACTCTTTTCACCCAAAGGTCAAAATAGGTTTAAAGCTCTCATTAAACAATTAATTTGATGATTTCATACACGTTGACTTGGATGACAAAATGAGTAAATCATAACTAGCACAATATGGGCTTTCCTCCATCTCATCCATTCTGCCATTCACTTCCTGCCTCATTCTGAATTTTGAACGTCATTGGATTCATGTGACTGCAGACAATGTATTGGAGCATGCTTAGCTTATCATAATTCTGTGAGTGAGTAAGAGTCATTTACAGTTCAGAGAGGCTTTGCATCTAAAAATAACATGATTTACTTAATTATACCTAATGTATTAAGATTTGCTTCCAAATGATCAAACCTATATCTATGTCCTCATTTCTTGTCAAAACAACATAGTGCAGTTTTAATAATGAGAATGTACTGTAATGTATGAGAATGTCAATTAAATACAAAGCATTTAGAGCAAAGTACTGTATTATAAAAATGCTATGCTAGACAGCATGTCTCAAGGCTTAGAATGCATGAATTAAATTTGACTGAATGAGACCATGACATAAGGGTAAAGTTATTAGGGAACCAATTTATCTTACCAAAAATAAACTTCTGTGTTGAACTTTCTTTTAAAAATGTGGTGATGTGTGTTGCTTTGAATAATATTTCTAAGGCAGACATGCAGCATATAAAGAGCAGGCTTTGTTAGAGTGGTATTAACTCTAAGACTCTCCAACAGTTGGGACCTCGTGGAAAGAAACTCTTTCCTTTAATTAAAGTAGGTGTGACCTTTAAAGGGAAGATTTTGAACCACATGAAACTTTGGGAATTGCAGTGACTTTTTACAAATGTCAATTTTTCTTTACTTTTTTACATAACTCTAAGGTTAGAGTATTGAACTATGTCTTGGTGCTGTGGAGATGTCGCAGACCATGACATCTGTGAATACATTATCACCTCTTTTTATTTCCAAAAGCACATCTCACACCACAAACATGAATCAGTTTAAATGTTGAATCAAATTGTGGTTCAGTCAACTCCCACATGAAGATAATACAAGAAAGTTCCCCAAGGCTTCTGTAAATATATCTGTATCCGCTTTGAATGGCAGTTGGATGTATGTAGGATGTTGTTTTTCATAATAAGGGCCTGCGTACATGACTGATGCAACACACTGCAGAACTGATTTTGAAGGTAAACATCTAACCCCACAGAATAAATGTGAAAAGTCATTATGGAACATTTCCATGACAGAAACCAATAAATATTACAGGACTTCTGTCTGAAATTACATAATGTATAAGATTTGAGTTAAAAGTTGTGCGTGGAACATGTTTAAAGTTTAACATGCCTTATAACGTTTCAAAAATCCAACATGCACAGTTTTTATTTCTCATACAGTTTAAATACATTGCCATTAATAAAGACTCATTACAATTAGTCATTGTGTACTTCACAGTTGTAGTGTTGTTAAAGCTAGTGGCACTATGTAATTGCTGATATAAATCAGACTGGCATCATGTTATCAAGCGCCATGGGGGATCTGTATTGACAACCAAGGCTTTCACAGTGAGATTTGAGGCACATAACATACATGAATATTCAGAATGGTAAATAGCTAAATGATGCTGGTGACAGCAAGGGCCCTACTACTGATGCATTGCTATGAGTGGGGGGCTGCTGGAGCACAGTGACAGGCTACAGTATAGCAGCAGCAGTAAAGATCTAACTCCACCTACAGTTGGTTATTGACTGGTTGGTTATTTACAGACAAAACTTGAGCCTAACGCTAGTGATTTAAATATGTATAGATGTCTGGATAAGCAGTGTTTTGGTATTGAGTCATTCATTATTAGACATGACATGTCATGACACAAATGCTGCCCCAGAAATGAATGCATACTAACTCGCAAAAATTGTAATCCAACACATCACATACTGTATATTAAATCTTCAAATCTTGAAATCAGTTTTGCAATGTACCCGTATGCATGTTACCGTCTGCTGTATAATACTTGATAAGAGAAAAAGACAGGAAGTATAGCAGTGTGTTAAATGTGTGCACATTGTTTTTCAAGCTGTTTGAGATAAGAGTGTCGTTTTAAATGTTGAGGATGACTAATGTTCAGTCCTGCCACCTAAAAGGAGGCACAAATTGTCTGATGTAACTATTTTTAAGATACATAACATAGGGTAGTAATTTGGCATTAACAGCATTACTCATCTTGAAACCATTTTTGTCATGATCTAATAGCAAATCAAGAATCCCCAACAATGCCAAGTACTCAAAATGAATTTTAGATCAACAGAAGAACATTTACTCCGCAAAGAGTAACACAGTGACATGTGGTGGCTTTTAAAACTTTAGCAGCCCTTCAAGACTGGGTAAGCACAACAACACCTTGCTGATATTAATAGTTTTAGTCTTGTGTGTTTTAAAAATCCAAGGAGCATGCGTATTATTATTAAACCTGTTTACCTTTGTTCAGAAGTGCTGCATTAAATATAGATGTTATTGTGGAGGAAGCGTGGATAATATATCTTTGCTGATAAATCATGAATGTACCTTTCTTTGGTGTAACTTATGTAGTTTATGTTTTGAAACTTCATGGTTGATATTTATGTAACATTTCATGTAAATTTAATAAATTAGCCTATTACTTGTATTATATTATTACACAACACTATCATTACTTGGTATCAGGAGGAAATTACAGGAATAATAGGAAATTTCGCTATTATTTTGCTCTCTTCTTATGCCTTCCAGAGTTTAGCTGTTAAACCTTCAAAACTCTAAAAATTAAAGAACCGTGTTCTGAAGCACCAGTGACATCATCGGTCACATGAACACTTCAAGGTTTGAACAGCTTAGGTAGCATCTTTCGACAAGGAAGCATAAATCATCAGAACACTGCCACCATGAGTGAAACAAGCTTCAGACCTTCTGTATCATCCATTTATCTCTACTAGTGTGATAACTGTAGCCAACGTTAGCTGGCCAGCAATACATTAAGATGAGAATAGTAACCTCACCAACTCACTGCAACAAGTGTAACTTACAGCTGTGGATTCACAAACCTGAAACAACACCGGTCCATGATTCACTTGCAGATGCTGATGCTGTTGATCCACTTTCAGTGGACGGTAGCCAGCTGAGGTTTACTCCTTGAGAAAACCTTCATCATGTTCATAAGCTGGTTAGATAGCTAGTAAACTTGTTCACTGAGGTGACACATAAGGTGATACGAGTGAATTAACCTGACACATAATTTTTTTTCCAACCAGATTTTTGACAGCTCTCACTTGACGGAAACCACTTTTGTGCAAGTCCTGCCTACTACTCTGCCTCTGATTAGCTAACCCTCTAACCTTAACCAATGGAGGCAACGAGTACTAGCCAATCAGAGTCATCTATATTTCCCCAGTAATATAAGTTTTACTTTTTAATACAGTCAGTGTATTGGACTGGCTTTTAGTTATTGGTAACAGCTTTGTGAAATAACATTTTGTGCAGAAGGTGAATGTCATAACTGAGAAACATAAGTTTTGACAAGGAGCGCAGAGATATGATGAAACTATTGCTAACATATGGAGGGCAATTTCATTCTAATCCCCACCCAAACTGCACACCACCTGTCCAGTTACATCAAGAACTGATATTTAATGACAGTGTTTGAGGGGACAATTAAACCATCTCCCAGCAGGAGTTTTTAGAAATAACATAAAGGAGCGGACCAAACCACAATGAAGCAATTGTTTTGATTAAAATGATAGCTTGGGACAAAAAGGCTACTTCCCTACTAAATTATACACCCTTGCCAGACAGCCATCACACACCACCTATCCAGTTAACCTGCGCAACCACCAATGGACATCACGCACTCAACACAGTTGGTGTTCATTCAATGATCTGATGTTAAGAGGTCAGATCATTTAATGCTGTGTCACTATCTAACCCCAGGAACATTATGGAATCTGCCAGGACATCGCATCTCCATTCACTGTTAGACCCTTATTAGAATTCATTAGAGGATAATTTGCGACACATTACAAAAGAAGTGTACCATAAACTAAAGTGAAATCACAACCTTAACCCAAAACACATAAAGCCTTTTTACACAATGTGAAAAATCAACTACGTCTTTCACATTCTCAGTTGCTTTTTAACGCCCTGGCTACCCCCTTTATGTCATTTTTACACGTTCAGGGCACCGCAGTCAAGTTAGCAAGCTTAGCGACAATAAATATGCAAGGTCCGGTTAGCCTTTCAAAATAAATCTTTTTGAAATGCCGTGTTATTAAAGTTTGCGAAACGTTGCAATTTGGTTAGGTTTAGGCAACAAAACTACTTGGTTAAGGTTAGGAAAAGATAATTGTTTGGGTTAAAATAACTACATACGTCAGTTTACACGTAAATTAACTTACCTCACGTCAATTTAAGTAACTCGCTTAACTTAAATCAAAATATTTAATGTTGACTTTTTGTTTCACACGGGACATGAACACAGCTCTCTTGGTTCAAAGTCAGGGTTCTGGCCCTCCATCCACTCGAACCACCTCCTTACTCAGTCTTTTCTGTTAAATAGGCTATTATATACCTACCTAAACCGTCAAAAACGTTACAGGGCTACCCCTTCTGCGTTGAACTATGACGCTATAGGGATCCCCCGACGGGTCTTCACTATGCATCCATATGTGAGGAGTCCGGGAGTGAGAACAGGTTGGGTGTAGAGGCAGCTTTGCATAGGAGTGTGTGTTCAGTAGCACAGTTAACATTTTTGCTGTGCTGGCTGGATAAGTAATGTGCCCTTTGGGTAGCTGGTAAGTGGATAGGTGGTGTATAGCTTGGGTGGGATTTTGTATAAAATGGCTCTCCATGCCAAAGAAACACAAAATCCTCCAACCATGCAGGTAACCTCACAAAAGATCAGTTAGATTAGATTATTGAACATACACACAAATGTTACAGAAATGACTGAGATAAGCATCTGGCAAATGCTCTGCCACAAACAAAATATGCAAATCATGTGGAACGACTTGGCACATTAAAAAAGTATGCTGCTCCAGTCAAAAACATGAGGTGAGAGAGGTTGTTATCCCTGAACTGGCTGTGCTTTTTCTGAAGGATGCTGCACCAGAAGAGAAAATGTCACTGAGTTCCTTTACGCCTACAGAGCTACATCAGATGCAACCATAGAGATGTCACCCTTCCAGCTCATGCATGGAAGAAGGATTAGAACTAAACTCTCCAGCCAAAGCTCACAGCTGCTCAGGATAATAAACTGAGAGACAGAGTTGCAAAGAAGCAGTTACAAATGAAAACATACACTGATGTCAACAGACATGCCAAGACTCCTAAACTGCACCCAAGAAGCCTTGTGCACACGAGAAACCCTGTGCATATCAACAAAGGAAAGTCCAGAGAGCCTCTTAAAGTGACACAGCAGAAAGGACCTCACAGCTATACTCTGACAGATGGAAAGACCTCGGATGCTTCACACCTGTGTGTGCTGCCAGAGACCTTCACATACCCAGCAGAAGAACAGAGGCTTACGAGCCTGCAACAAGTGACAGTGTATGAAAAGACGCCAGCGAAATAAAAAAACATTCTTGGATGAAAGACTGTCACTTGAGAACACAAGAGGGACATATAATCTGTCACTGTGAGAATACAAATCCCACTTTGTTTTAGTGTAGAAGTAACACTTTGAAAGGGGGGTTGTTGTTGTGTTCTAAAAAGCCAATCCTATTCCAGACCAATAGGTGGCACTATGTCACTGCTGAATTACTACTTGAAAAGAGAAAAAGACAAGTATGTGGTGAAGTTTTGAAATGCAGGCACAGTGAAGGAACAAGAAATGTTATCATCTGTCCGGTGCTATACGACAAATACATAACAACACTGCTTTTCAGGTCATGCCTTCACATCGGTGTTTGGTAGTTACGTTGTTTGTTTTCCTCTATGTCACTGCTCCTGATAAGTGGCTGTCTTTCTGAGAGAGCAAATAACATTTTCCACTTCCCCCTATGTAGCCGTCGTTTTGCAGGCAGTACAGCAGCAGCTATGAACATTGCTACAATTCCTCCACAGAGCCCTGCAAGCAGCAGCCAGGGCCAGACATCCTGTAATTCCTCGAGGTAAGGACGTATGGATTCTGTAAGCCTCTGGTCTGGAAAAAAAGTAAAACAAGCAGAGTAAGTAAACTATATCTGGGTGTGCTAAATTATAATTCGGATAATAATCGATATCAGTAAATAATTTCCTGAAATGCAAGTCAATGTGGAAAATAGAAAAGTTCAGCTTAGACAGAACTTACTAGCATTCAGCAGATATGAATACTCATATCCAAGGACCTTGCTGGAAATGAAGTATTCTCTGTTTCTGTGGAGGGGCAGGAAGGGCACCATGTGGTATTCGCCATTGTGCCCTATAGGAGCATTAGACTCTGGATACTCTGATGGAGATGGTCTATGCCTCCTGAGCCACTGCTCATAAATGCTGTCATGGAAAAATAAAAACAAAAATCAGTATTGCTGTGTTAGGTGCAAGTGCGTTAGTGTATTCAAATGATAAAATGTGTGTCTGTGTGTATCTCACCTGTCAACAAAAGCGTGGTGGAGAAGGAATATGGGGTCATTTGCTGAGCCCTGTACTGAGGACATGGATCCGTTCATGTAGGCATGGAGTGCAGCATGCATACCCCTACGAGAAAAGTTTCCTAACCCAGACTGAGGATCCCCAAATCCTGCAAGATGAAAAGATTTTTAATTAGTATTAACAAAGGTGGCAGTAGCATGTATAAGTTAGGGAAACAAAGACTTTTTGTTGTAAAATGGAGACATTGTCAGACAAAATCAAAACAAATAATGGCATTTTTCAAAGAAAACCCAAGATACCCTAGGTCTTTTATTGGCAATATGAAAAAATAAGAACATTTATGCTTTGGAAACCCTGAGTATTCAGGTCATTTTCTCATCCAAGATGGATATATAATAGTGCATTTTGGAATGTACCTGTCAAACAGACAGGATGTGTATAACAATGTCAATAATAATCCATAAAGCTTGTCTACATTGGACTATATTTAATTTTTATGAAGTATGAGATATTTGAATGTGTTCAGATCTGATATAGGTATCCTTGGAAACCATCACAACACTCTAAAGCTATGTTGGATATAGCATTTATTTGCATATTTCTCTGATATTCAACCTACTATTAATAGAAAATATGTAAAACAATGTGTCAGCCTTCCTACAATAGCTGGATTTGTGCAGAATTTGGAATCCTGAACCCATGTTAGATTAATGTATACCCCGAATATAAACCAGTTATTTGCAAGAGTCACCTGACACTCAGTAGAAACTTTACTGATGCACAATATTAGTAAAGTGAATTTCAACTTCAGACAATCCAATTGCTGGATAGTTCTTTAATTATTTGTAACCTTCAGTTTCAGTAAATGTCACTTTCATTACTTTAAAATGGTTACAGTGTTAGTGGTTATTTATGAATTATGTCTGCAAATCATTGATAAAAGCATTATAACAGCGTCGTTATAATGCATTATGTAAACCAACTTGAGTTGTCAGATTATCAGCCTTATTGAATGTGGTAAGTATCCCTTCTTCTGTTATAGCCACACAGTGCAAATAAACTAAATGTATGAATGTACAAATGAAAGTGCAAATAATAGCCTACACATAGGCAGCACATTACAGGAATAAGACATGGAGAACCAGATTAACACCGTGAGAGTAAAGAGTAGTAGAGCAGAGCTGTGAGTGATATCATATCATATAGGACAGTCTGAATGTTTGTGTGTGTGTGTGTGTGTGTGTGTGTGTGTATCTTTCTGGTCAAGCTTATCTGACCTTCCAGAGTGTTCCTGAAGCTCATGTTGGCACTGCGGTCCATGGCTCCCGTGTCATAGCTGGTCAGACTGACAGTGAACTCCACCTCTGCTGAAGTTGGTAATCGTTCGACCACGCTACGGTTTTGGTTTCCAGGGTTACGACGCAATGGGCCTTCCTCCGTGGCATCACATAACACACCTCTGTCATTGTACTCCTCAGCTTGGGAGCACAGCACCTGTTGATGGAGACACACAGGAACATATTGCAATGCGGCGCATGAAAAAAAGAGAGACCAAAAATAAAGTGAATATAGACATTTGTGAGTTACAGTAAATTGAAATGGCACTGCTATTAGTTTTTAGGCAACATAAATTACTATGGTAAACCTAATTAAAATAAATAATAAAAAAATGTGTGTGCAGTAGGTTGCGCAGTAGGGCCTACATATGTTTTCTTTTCATTTTTTTGTCTCCCCTTCTTGTGAAATTAGACAGTTGATGGCAAATCACCAGTGGCCATCTATTTAGGCTACATGTGCTGTCAGTATAAACTAATGAAAAATAAGCCCCTGTCAGAATTTCAAGAAATTTTTAAATGCTTTAATTAAAATATAGGGCAATTGCTATCAAAATAAAGCTCACCCAAGCATGCCAAAACAGTAAAAGTATTTTAAAAATCCTGCTGATCAGGAAGAACAGCTATTTTTATCCATTATTTAACTTAAAAGTAGGCTACACAGTGTGAATGAGTTTCAATATTAATTTCACTTTTTTGGGGTGATCTTTAAATAAATAAAAGTAAAAGTTACTCTACCCTCCAAGAAGAGAAGACGGAGCCTGGGCTGAGTAAGGTGGGGTCCTGGGGACTCCGGTCCCCCATCAGCTCGTCCGTGCACACGTCGCATTCCTGGGCATCCCTCCAGTCCCAGTACGGGATGGTGAAGCTCGTGTCTCCGGTCAGCTTCCTGATCTCATGCTCCCAGTGCAGCAGGTATGCGCGGTGCCACGGGAGAAACGCAGGCGCCCAGTGGGCAAAGTCCACATTGGTCCACACATTCCCCGGCCCGCCAAGCAGCGCGTTCCGGGACACATAGTAATGCATCCACACAAACACATCGTACACAGACACATCAGCGAACATCGGGTTGGAGCCGTTTTCCATCTCCTGGTAGGTCCCGGTCACAACAACATAGTCCCTGCTTATTGTCTGTTTGGCCAAGTTCAGATAGGACACAAATCTGATTCTCTCGGCTCTGGAAAGGTGAAATATGTTCCTCCTCAGAGACTCTCTCCTCTCATTGCAGTTCACTCCAAAGTAGCCAAACAAACAGTCCGCGCAGTTGAAGCCCATGAAGTTCCCTGCACACTGGCACGTCCGGTTGTAGAAAACCAAGGGCCACTTCTCCCTGTCGTCCAACCCGGAGAAGGGGTACTGCGGCCCATCCGGCTGGTCCGGAACCTCCACATCATGGCAGAAGCCCCGGCCGGAGCTGGCTCCGCAGGGCGAGCCGTCTCCTTCCCAAGACGGGCAGCACTCCTTGGTGAGCAAGGCTTCGCGGGTGGCACACAGACGAGGGAATTGTTGATAGCTGGGCGCAAAACATAACGTGAAATTTAGGATTATCAGGAGCCACATTACAGCAAGGATTTAATTCGAAGTTACCGAGAAATGAAACAAATAGGGTACTCACAAAGTGAGAAAGCCCCGTTCACATGCCTAAATTCCTCAGGGTGTTCTCCGGCCACCCCCTCCTCTTTGTCGAGCCAGTCACATGCCGCTTAACCTCAAGGTGAAGCTTACTTCAAGGGGAGAGAGGGGAGTGGGGATTGCAGTCTAACTCCCTCCATTGGATTTGCAGAATTTGTGCTGCTCAATTAAAGCCTATTAAAAGTTTAATGGCATCATTAAGACTTACAAATTAAAAAACATCATGAAGTATTAGCATGGAATCAGGCCACAAGAGCCTCCACAACAGATTCAGTGCTCCAAGTCTGTGGAGCTCTACTGGAGGGATGAACTCCATTCCTCTACAAGATATCATGCTGTATATACCATATTTATTTAATTATATAATCTCATTGAGATCAAGAGAGATAGAAAAAAACAAACATAGCCAGACATAACAAAATGATAGCATCAGAGGCAGTCACAGATATCACTAAAGATATTTAAAGATAAAAGTTAATATTTTATCATTTGGTGTTGATCATGGTGGAGAGCCTTACACATTGGCCCAAAATCTTAGGTATGAAACTGGGTTGGGATCTGATGGCTGTAAAAGGCATTTTCTTCACGTCATTTGCATACCCACCAAACCATTCAGTGAGTCCTGGTGCATGTAAACAACTGCATTTGATATATTTCTCCACTCTTTTATTCTGTTTTTTCCTTTCATTTGTCTCCACTCTGTATCATGATACACTTACAAAATATCAGCAGATACAGAAATCCGTTAAAGTCATATACGCCTGGAGCAGTGGATCACATGAGCCATTTCACAGTGATTTTACAGTGATTTTCTTCTGGAAATGCATCCTGTTCTCTAGTCATCAGGGTAAAACAGGCGGGTAACTCATGATCCCTCTACACACACATACACACACACACACACACACACACGGCTACAAGTAAAGTAAACTGTTATTCCTGGCATTATGTGATGAAAATTGCAGTGAAAATGGCCTACTAGGAATATAGAGAGGGAGAGGCATACAGAATGAGGAGAGAAATATAGTACATCTCTACAGCTCTACATTTATACATTACATATACATTTACATATTTGCATCCTGTGTGTGTAACGCTGTTGTCTGGGTTGCTAGCATTCTCCAGTCCTTCTGGCCTGTTTTTGTAAGCGGGCTAAATTTTCTTCTTAAATAATCTTTAATTTAACACCAACACAGCAAGATAGTAGGCAACACACTAAACTTACTTTGGGAGTTCAGAGCAGACTCTGTTGCACATGTTACACCACGCCTGTTACACCACTGTCCATTGTAAAACAATTAGGTACAAACTAAAATCACTTTTAGCCAAAGGATACATGAAGTGACAACTTCAATGTGCCCACTACATACTTAATATAATAGCCAAAGTGCTATTAATGATTTACTGTTTGTAATATACATAATTCTGCAAGTCCAAAATAATACTGTGAAATTATTCCTACTGAAATATATATCCTATTTTACAGCTTAATAAGCAACATATTATTCACTATGAAGTGTCAGGAACAATTCCTGTGCAATAACCCAGTAACTCTGTCTGTCTGTCTACTCCTGCATCCTTTGCACTCTGCTTATTGCACTATTGTCTAAATCTGTCTATATTGTTTTTGTTTATAGTGTGTATATATGTGTTCTATATACTATAGCCTGTATGTGATTTTATTATTGTATTATTATTGTATTATTGTATATGCAAGCACATCGTGAGCAATGCCCAATCCTGAATCCTACCTTTCAGGGCGTTCCTACAATGTTTTGTGGCAAGGACAGTTATCGTCCTCCCCTTCCTCTCCACAGGGGTGCCCCAAGGCTCAGTGCTAGGGCCCCTTCTCTTCTCAGTTTACACCACATCACTGGGGCCGATCATTCGCTCGCATCACTTCTCTTACCACTGCTACGCAGACGATACGCAGCTCTACCTATCCTTCCCACCTGACTACCCCAGTGTCAGTGCGGATCTCAGACTGTCTCTCAGACATATCCGAATGGATGAAGGCTTGCCACCTCCAACTAAACCTCTCTAAGTTGGACTTCTTGGTTATTCCAGCCAAGCAATCTATCCACCGCAACATCAAACTACAAATTGACTCCTAAACCTTCACTTCAACCGGGGTGGTGAGAAACTTGGTTGTCATGATTGATGACCAGCTGTCCTTTTCAGACCATGTTACTGCTGTCTCTCGGTCGTGCGGCTTTGCTCTATACAGCATAAGGAAAATCATTCCCTACCTCTCTCAGTATACCACGCAGCTTCTGGTACAGGCCATGGTTATCTCTCGCCTCAACTATTGCAATGCCCTTCTAGCAGGTGCAGTGAAACCCCTACAAATGGTTCAGAACGTAGCAGCGTGTCTGGTTTTTGATCAGTCCAAAAGGATGCATGTCAATCCACTGCTGAGTGACCCCCACTGGTTACCCATGGCCTCCGTAATCAAATTCAAGCCACTAATGCTTGCATACAGAGTTACTACTGGGTCTGCACTCATCTACCTAAACTACATAATACAAACTTACGTTCCTTCTCAGCCACTACACTCCTCCAGCGAATGCCGCCTGGCTCTGCCATCCCTACACACAAAGCAATATCAGTCCCGGCTTGTTCTCATCTGTGACACCACGATAGTGGAACAAGCTACCACATGCCTTCAGAGCAGGGGCGTCCCTCTCTAACTTCAAGAATCTCTTGAAAACTCATCTTTTCCAAGAACACTTCCTCTTATAACACCTCTAATTCCTAACCTCTAACATGCACTTCCTGTGCTCTTCATCTTCTATGCTCTTACAAATATCCTATATTGATTGCGTTTTTGTTAACTCTTACTTCTTTCCCTAGGTATTTACCCCATTGATGCGATATGTGCTATTAGCTTTTACTAGTATTTATTAGTGCTCTAACAAGTATGTATTGTCAGTTGTAGTTCTTGTGCTGTATTTGATGCTTTGTTGATGCTTGTATGTTGTTCCTCAAATATAAGTCACTTTGGATAAAAGCGTCTGCCAAATGAATGAATGTAATGTAAATGTAATGTAATTCCTTGTATGTGTACACATACCCTTCTTGTGACATGAGAAAGTTGACAGCAAATCACCAGTGGCTATCCACAAATTAACTAAACTTTTCTGAGATATTTACATGTGCTGCCTGGTATAAACTAATGAAAAATAAACCCCTGTCAGAATTTAAGAAAATTTTTAAATTCTTTAATTAAAATATGTGTTTAAAAAGGGATGTTTAAATTGCACATTTGACAAACCACCTTTGTGATAGAAGCCTGGTATGCTGCCAAAGACTCCTTTATTCAACCACATAGGAATGTGTTATTTATGTCATCAGATACAGTGTGAACGGATGAAGGGACATAAAAAAAAGGATTCACTCAGTACAAACTGATGGGCAGTGCATGATAAAGCAAACCATTGCCTAAGGCAACAATAGGCCCTACTTGGTATTTGCATTTGTATAATGCTTTCTAGGAAAAAAACTTTGATGTGTTTTGAGCTGCTGTCTCACATGGCTCTCTACACACCCACTGTGCTCCCTGACCTCTTACCATTAGTCAAATCATTATAAAACTGTTTGCATGTGATCTTAAATACCTATTTTTAACAATTGGTAACATACAGTTGAGCCCAAGTTCTCATGAACATCACACCTTCTGTCCTCTCTTGCAAAACACCTGGGGAAGAGTCTTTTTGCATGTCTGATCCATCCCTGGCAATTATCAGCAAATGTCCAGACATCCAGCATTCATTGAGTCATAGATGGACATCTGATCATGTGGTTGATGGTTATAAACTTCCCACTCACATAAAGAAAATAACTCCTGTGGGGTTAAGGATCTTCAGTGGAGTCTCTTTGTATCTGGCTGGGGCCACATTTACTGAGAAAAACTCAACAATTTGCCCTTTTACAGAACATTGCATGACATTGAAAAGCATGGGTTGGTGCTCTGCTAAAATGAGAATCAGCTGTCTTCTTCTTCTTCTTTTTCAGATGTAGATCACAGTAACACAGTAATATGTATTACATTATGTTTTAAATGTAAATGTAATAGTTTTTACAATGGCATGTAAACACGTGCAAAATGATCTGTATTAACTTCTGTGGTGCTGTGTGGAGAGTTGAAAAAATAACCTCCCCACCAGAGGGCGCCATGCGACTACTTCCAATATCATTCTGTCTAGAAATGACAGGTCATCAAGGCTACCTTCTTTCTCTCTGTCTCCCCAGGCAACTAACAAACCACAGTTTTGCAGACAGAAATTATTTTTTCCTATTAATGAATCCCCATGTACAAACATCCTCAATCACACATTTGACCGCCATTTGATTAGACTTTCCAAACGTATTCTGAAAAGATTTTTGTGCATCACACATTTTAACCTACAATAACAATCCCATTGTCACCACGCTAACTAACTGTGACTTTTATGTTATTTATGGACCCTGAAATTATCCCAGCATCTTACACCAGAAAACACTGGATTAATTGAGGAATTTCTGATGAAACTTCTAAATTAAAAGTGTAAATTAGTTACTGTGACTGCCAAGTAGGCTATCCTATTGCCTCCTCTGTTATATATGGATAAACTACACCAAAATGTTTGTTCTTGTTGCTGTAGGGGGTTAGCTATGGTGTAGCCACTCTAAGTTAAAGAAGGATGTCCCACTTGATCAACTGAAAAGAACCAAAACAGTTTCTGACCTGGTCTTATACACACTAAACTCAATAGTTAGTGGTACCAAATCAAGATACTGCATATTTCACTCACTGCAGTCTCCATGTTGAAGCTACATGTTCAGTGTGTGGTTTGTTATGTTCAGATTCTGTTGTTTCTTTCATAGTTTTCCTCTACAGGTGAAGCCACTTATCAGAAAACAACACATACATAATTATTTTGGGGGTCATATTGACTGACTTCTAAGGAGAAGGAAACAGCTGCAGTGGAAGTGCAATAAAAAGATTATCATTCATTTTCCATCCAGCTCTGAAGAACCCCAACCACGTCTCTTTGAACAAGGAGACTGTAATGACAAATTCAACGAAAAGCCAAGAAGCATCAAGCAGAATCTATAGCCTACAGAAGGGTTTGCCTTTCAGATCTCTCTACCTGGAGCCAAATCGACCTCAAGAACTAGGGTTGGTCACAGAGCAAACCAATTCATAACAAACCAAAAACATTGGATTTTATGGTCACTGTCTTTATTTTTACCAGTGGTATTTGCAAGTGACAGAAGTGGGGCTCGTTGTTTATTGGACATACTGAAACTTTCCAATTGAAGGTAATCATCTCGTTTCACGAGCATCATGGGTGGGCAATTGAAAAGGAAGGTGTTATAGCCTAAGCTATAACTTTTCAGTTAAATATGAATGAATAATTGTAATATATATTAATAATAATAATAATTTCAAGTCGGTTATCACTGCCACATTAAAAGAACGAACGAGACTTTAATTCAATTCAATTCAATTCAATTTTATTTATATACCGCCAAATCACAACAACAGTTATCTCACAGGGCTTTTCATAAAAGAGCAGGTCTAGACCGTACTCTATGATGTTATTTACAGAAGCCCAACTTTAAGTGCAAAAGAAAGAGAAGCCCGCATCATCAATTGATTGTTAGCCAATCGCCTACAGATAAGCTCTCACGTTTCATATTAAGCACTGCTGTTGGTGCTTCCTCTATCCCTTACTTGTCTACTTATTTGTTTTTCTTTTTTTCATATTAATACATGCCTGTGTGGCTCGCCTCCCATAGCTTTCCACAGTTGTACCCATCACTGTTGATGCTCCATGCTTTCCACTGTTTTGGAGTAGGAGGAGGAGGAGGTGTAGAAGAAAGGGGGGTGGGGGGGCGCCGTGTGCGTCAGTAAGTCAAACATGTTCCAATAACGGGCGATATATTATCTGCTGCTATTTGCAGTTTGCTGTACCCGGGCGCCAGACTGAGCTTGAGCAAAAACCTGCAGCGCTTTTCTTATTAATCTTCTGTGATGGAAACGGCCTCAAAAGGAATGGCATCTGCAAAGCAGCTGGCAGAAAAGAGGTAGGCTGAAGTTGTCTGTTAGTTTTGGGTATGCGGCGTGCACAATAATGAATTAATTCAGAAGAGATAATTGAGTTTTATACGCTGTTGATTATTCAGTGGACCACCAGCACAGATGTCAATTAAGATGCATGATTCGCTGCCAACATCATTTCAGAACTACGGACAGCGACTTGATGTCATTTTTAGGGAGGGTAGTAAAAAACAGAGGACGTTTAATAAAAAAAACTGTGATTTGTGAATAAATGGCCAAAGTTACTTTTCTTTTTTACATGATCCAGCAGGCTAGCTAAAATAGCATGCTGACATGAGGAAGTCTTATTGTACAGTCTTAAACAAAGCTCATTTGCTGCCTATCTCTGTCCTTTTCTCCAGAAATCTAACCCATACCCCTGGCACTATGAGCACCTTGCCAAAAACAACACATTCATCTGAACCTGAGCTCTAAGAGGAGAGAAGATGGCAGGAGGTGTGGAGAGGAACACAGTGATGGGGAATAGATTAGTATTATATGTGAGGCTGTTGGCAGTGAGTGCATTACTGGGAACTGATCTGAGCGGGTTAGGCCTGAAAGAACAGGTTGCGGTCATTGCCCAGAACACTGAGAGAAGAGTATTAGCACATATCCCTGGTGACATCATCATAGGAGCTCTCTTCTCTGTCCACCACCAACCACCTGCGGACAAGGTACATGCTGTGTGCTTCTATGTGTGTGTGCTCACATTTTCCACGTGTGCATATGTGATAAATTTTAGTAATCCAGTTGTGTTTCACTTTGCTCAGGTCCATGAGCGAAAGTGTGGTGCGGTGCGTGAGCAGTATGGGATCCAGAGAGTGGAAGCCATGATGCACACTCTGGATCGAATTAACGCAGACCCCACAATCCTCCCAAATATCACTCTCGGCTGCGAGATCAGGTCAGAAACCAATCACCAAACTTCTCATGTTGACCTTATATAGCAATAAATTGTTGGTTGTCTTCACTGTTGGACTATGAGTACACCATGTGCTGAGAAAATGAATCAGGATGATAGAAAAAAAGGACTAACTTGCAACCAATTGTGGCTCATCCATTTGTATGAGACAGAGACCAGAAAGAAAACAAAGCGTATTCATGTAATGCATGTATGAGATAGCAATTTTCTTGAATTTGCCAATTTAAACAAATACTGCATCACAGGGTGGGATAATACCAAGAGATTTGGCATAAAACAGTTTCTTTAAAAGACCACATGTAAGGACTAAAGATAGGCAAGCAGACTAACAACTAGAACAATTACCTGAATTTGGCAGAGATGTTAGGCATCACCCTAACTAATTAGTTACTGGGTAATTATCACAAATGAAGCACATATTATTTGAGTTTTGCTTTTACATGTGCAGTGTACTTTTATTAAATTTCCAATCATTCAATGTGGCAGAACGTTTTTTCTGGTCTTCTGACACCTTTGGATATTTTAAAAGTTAAGTAAAAAGTATTTCACTTATTTAAAAGTAGTTTTAACATGGACATTCCATGCCATTCATGGCATTTACAATGGTGTGGATTTTCATGTAAAGTGTTACCCTTGAAGGAGCAGGCAAACATCCAGGGAACTGTGGTTGGAAGAATATGCCATAAGAGAAGACTGACAGTTAACCTAGAAGGGTAGGCAACATCACAGACATCGCAGACATCCACTCCTGCAGTTATTCAGAATGTCAGGTTTTAAGACCCACAGGCCAACAGGGCAGTCTGACCTACTGACAAAGAGTGGCTGGAGATATTGCCTTACAAATGAAAGGAATGGAAGCTAGTGCAGCACTCAAATGCCATGTTGAAAGAGTTTGTCGCTGCAATTGTCCCTCCTTTCCAGGGCTGTGAAGGGAGCCCTTCCAAGGACAACAGCGCTGTATGAAAAGAGGGACAAAAGCCACAGTCTTGATTTCATACAAAATCATTCTAATGTTCAGCTGAAACTAATATGACGCTGATGTTGCTGGTATTGTTTCCCAGCAACAAACCTTCATGTGACTAATAGGAAATATATCTCTTTCTAGTTCTACTAAAAATAATTTGGATGATACCAGCTTGATTTGACTGACTCAGACTGCTGAAACCTCATATTAGCTTTGGCTGAACTTTGGGTTGCACCCTTCTCACTGATCCAAAAAGTGTTTTTTTTCTTTCAAATGACTGTGTACTTAAAAAAAGCATCAATTTGGCTACTCCAGGCTATCCTCCTCTTATTCCCACCCTGCTTGCCTAAACAACAATGTGAACTCAATCTTTCTACACCAGGGACTCGTGCTGGCACTCTGCGGTGGCGCTGGAGCAGAGTATCGAGTTCATTCGGGACACGCTAGTGTCCAATGAAGAGGAGGAGAACCAGGGCAGGTGTACTGCAGAGGCAGGGAGTTTGCTGGTGCAAGGGAAGAAGCCCATTGTGGGACTGATTGGACCAGGATCCAGCTCTGTGGCCATCCAGGTGCAAAATCTCCTCCAGCTCTTCAACATCCCACAGATAGCATACTCAGCCACTAGCATGGATCTCAGTGACAAGGTAAGACCAATTACCAAAAACCATCACATTAAAGTTTGAATTACATGGAAGCAAAAACATCTTCACCAAATAACAAACATGGCAGAAAACCAAAGCAGAGGCAGTTACTGCTTTTGGGTTTGATAAAAATCAACTTGATGTTGATGTCAACTTCATGTCTGCTTTTTACTTATTACTATTGTATTGCAGTGTAGACTTTACAAAGTAATCTGACTAATCTTCTGATGATAATGCAGGTATGACAACAATGAAAGCAGACATTTCATTGTGATGCATTACCTATCTCAGCTTCAATTACAGCATGTGTAAATCTGATTTGTAGTAAATTGCCTAAATACACCAGAATTGGAACGTACAATGAGATTACATGGAATGGGGTCTATAATATGGGTAATTATGGATGCATGTGTAACTAGTAGACAAGCTGTCACGTGGAAACATAACAAGCACCCTTTCAGACTTGTGAACATGTACATTCCTGTCAACAGAGCCTGTATAAATATTTCATGAGGGTGGTGCCATCAGATATGCAACAGGCCAGAGCCATGGTGGACATTGTCAAGAGATATAGCTGGAGCTACGTGTCGGCAATACACACAGAGGGTAAGGCTATGTATGCCTCACTGCTTTACATTTGTCATTCATATCATTCTTTCATCTCTCTCTCAGCCATATTTACATAAACTATACATAATCTGTATATCCTTTACACAGTCTAATCTGTACAGTCTATTGTAGTCTAGTACAATAGTTCAAAACTAAATTGTATCTTTTTGAAGCTTGCAATATTCTCCTTTTACAGTACATTGGGTCAGAAATACATGTATCTGCATTATCGTAGGCAGTGACTGATTCTGTTCTCTCTGTTTCAGTTCTTAGTTTCGGTAGTTTTTGAGTTTTCTGTCTAAATGAGCATTATAGAGAAGCATTGTACTTTTACCTACTGATACAATTATTTGAGTGCAAATAGCCTCCTGCAGCCAGCACACTGGAGCCAAAAGAAGCCTACAACTTCACACAAACACATTCACATATAATGCATAGAGTCACTCCACTTCCTATTCAGTGGAGACCGTTATAACTATGGCATGAATATGAAATTGAGATGAAATTAGCTGTGATTATATATTCTCTATAATCCTGTTCATCATTGGCAAAGCTTCCCAGGGAACATCTGCCATGGGCTTTGAACTCTCTGAGTATCATAGCGCTCTGTCCGCTGATTTCAGCGATACTTCAGCGATCACATTCTCACAGCAGTTGCTCATTATCAGATTTACATGCTATTTCATTATTTATATGTTACCTAAAGAATTATAATTAAAAGTAGTTAAAAATATTCAAGGTGCTTTAAGGTATAAATCACCCATCATTTTAAAAACACGTGTTAAAAAAATAGGCGGAAAAAGCATCTTTATTGTTGTTTTTTGTGGACATGTAGATGGATGGCTGCAAGCACAACATTTTACATTTTGTCATTTTGTTGTTACCACAAGTATATCTATCAGGTTTTTTTATAGTGCATATACAAGGCTGATCTCCAACTCTTGCTTCAAAGCAACCCCCACCCCCTGCTGTACACATCAAGGCAACATCAACACATAGGGTTATCACCTCTTCAAAAGATCCAAGCCGTGAAGCACTAATCCCACCCATTCAGAAACAAAATACACGGTGCTGGCATCACTCTCAATATAGGCCTGAAAATTTCATACTGTCCCCATCAATTTACTGTTTCTGTCACAACCTCATAGTGGCTCTAGGTCATATGTTTATGAAGTAAATTCCTCTAAGTGATAAATCCTGAATGGATCATTCCAGTTATTCCATACAAATACTGTTGGAGGATTTAAAAAAAGTCTTTTGCATGTCAAATGTTCTTTTCCAGGATAAAATCTCATGTCATGGGTAGCATTTATTATAATAAAATGTTGCAGACTATCTTGCTAGTGTTTTCTAAGTCCAGTAGGCCATAGGATGTTGTCAAAATGTCTGCACATTTGTTATTCTATGTATGTAATTATAAACTTGATTTACGTATATATTTATTTATTACATATCTGACACCACTAATATAATACCCTATCTGTCAAATGCAGATGCATCTTGCTTGTTACACTGAATGGCATTTGCATAAACTAATGACAAGGTTTATAAGCCAGTAAATTATGTCAATTTTTTCACATTACAGACATAACTGGTGTCATTTAAAGAAGCACATGCACCTCAGAAAGATTCAGTATTTACTGTAGCCCCAGAGGTTATGGTTGTGGTTATGAAACACTGTACTCAGCCTACTTTCCATTACATTTTGCCTATACCTGCAGGCAACAAACTCATTATTATTAACAATGTTGGCCGCGTAGAAGGTAAAATGGCCTTGGGACGTATTACAGAAGATAATAAAATCATTATAATGCAAACCAAAAGGACAGTATCATCAGCATAAACAAAAAGTTCAGTCGAGGTAAAAACAAAAATACAAAGTTTAAAAAATTAAAGACTATGTTGCCACTCAAGGGGGCATGCCACACTTGGGAGAAAAACTCACACGTAGTAATGAAAAGGATGCCTCAAACAGTGTCATACCACTTGCCAAGCAGCAGAAAGTAGGTGACCTCATTTCCAGCAAAAACAGGGAAGTCTAACCCCTGACAGTTCCAATAACGGGAACAAAATTACCAGATTCTCAAGTGTTGTGCTGGCTTTACAACAGTGCATTCAAGTGTCTACACATCTCAACTGCTTTTTTAAAGAGTCCTGGTGAGTTGAAGAATTGTGTTGCTAATATGTTCAGTTTGTTAGCTTACACCAGGTTTTGTGTGAGTAGTATTGTATGCTTATGAACACCATTGCATGCATGCGTTTTCCCTCCATAGGTAATTATGGTGAGAGTGGTATGGAGGCATTTAAAGACATGGCAGCAAAGGAGGGGATCTGCATCGCCCATTCTGATAAGATATATAGCAACGCAGGGGAACAGAGATTTGATAAGCTGTTGCAGAAGCTACGAGGCCACCTGCCCAAAGCCAGAGTGGTGGCCTGCTTCTGCGAGGGCATGACAGTCCGAGGCATACTGATGGCCATGAGACGACAACGCCTGGTGGGAGAGTTTCTGCTGGTTGGAAGGTGAGTGTTGGATTGTGGTATGTTGAATTTCTGACTGCATTTCTTACCCATGGGCTTTTTTTCTTATTAGAGGCTTAAAGAATTGACTGAAATATTGTCTATTTCCGCCTTCTTCTGCATTAATTTCCAATCCAGACTCTCTTGAGATGTCCGGCATCATCAGACAAGATGCATTTGTTGTCATTGGGGCCATCTTTGTCCTCTCATCATCATCCTTATTATCATCTTCATAGCATCCATCAACTTCATGGTGGCCTAGGAAATTTAAGGTATTGTTCACAAGCTTTTTTTGTATATAGATGACAGTGACATGGTGCGACAAACTTTTGTGAGACTATCAAGATGCAAATTTTTTTTTATCTTTAAATCGGACGTACTTGGTACTTTTTAAAATATATTTGGTATACTCTGTATCAACGCACCTGTTGTTATTAAGAAAGGCTAATCCAGCCTGCTCTTTTTTTTACTATTCCAATAAGGTTAATTTATGCAAATGTTTTACTGGAGCAGCAGTGCTCAAATGGCTAAGTATATTCACCCTGCAAAAATGTGCTTGAACAGAACAGTCAATCCCTACAATCTGAGGATCCATATAGAGAAATACAGTAAAATCATAGTCAATCATGAAATTGAGGCAAAGCTGGTAGCCATATAAAGTCAGCATCAGTGACTCTATTTGTTGTTGACAGTTTAAAACATCAGAAAGACAAATTAATAGATAAAGTGATTATGGTTTTCCAACATGATTAAACATGCAGAATCCTAATCCATCCTTAAAAATATAACAACACTGCGGACATTTTCTATCTGGGAAATAAAGACTGGGCATGTGGTGTAAGAGAAAAGTATGTAATCAAGAAAAATTTAAATAAGAAAATAAGCGGGACAGAGGGGATTGATTTAGCAGGAGGTTTCACTCTCTCCGAGAATAACATGTTTTATTTTAAGGTTTAGCTCTCTGACTCACTCTCGTCCCTGGTGTTCTATAAATGCCTTTCCTCATTAGGAGCCACATATGTAGGCTGTCGCTCAAATCTGACAGCAGGAAACATAAAATAACCTTGAACTACATATTGCAAAATGCCATGTCTATAATCCATATTACCACGCAGAGTTTTCAGACAGTTCTGTTGTGGTCTGCTCATTTTTAAGTTGATGGTGAATTTGTAAAGATGTTTCTCCTTGCTGTTGAGTGTACTTAGATACTGTTGAGGTGGCAACTTTTGATGCACATGCATTAATGCAATCGTACATGAGCATGCACTTTTATGTTTCGGTCTTACTAGGAGTTACAGTATGTCCCTCTTCAATGGCATGTTTTTGACCTCACTTTGTTGGCTTCATCACCTTTATTATTATTCTAGTTAGTTACCAACAGAAACCATCCTTTTCATGTCAGTCTAAGGGATCAGGTTTTTGTATGTTTGCAGTGCATGAATGCTTATGTTCTATTTATAGAAAGAGAGTGACTGAGGGAGCAGATAATGTTTTGTTTTGTTGTCAGCACTGCTTAAGATGAATTTGTACTGTTGTCTTCAAGCCACTGTCAGCCTTCAGCTTGTTTGCGTAGACATTTTTGGAGGAACTAAAAGAGGTTGACATCTGTGGTTTTGAGTGAAGTAGGCTCTCGGCAACTATTGGATAGTTTGACAATATATTTCTTGTACACATTTATGTTCTCCTCAAGATGAATTGTAATCTTTGGTGATCACTTCAGTTTCCGTCTAGCCCTGTCATCAGGTAAATTGGTCCCAGACAGAAGTTTAGTTCAAAGATTTGTAGTCAAGATTCCCACTTATGTTCAGTTTGTTGCTAGTTGAAATCTGTCACGTTCAGTTCAGTACAAAAGTAGCCTATACAAGCATTGCACAAAATGTTAATGGCTTGGCAGCCTGCCATTAACAACAGAGCTCTCCGATTATGATTGTTTCTGTGGCTTTCATGGTCTTTTAATAGGCTTTTAATAAGAAAGTAACATTCTTTGTATGACAGCTTAAATTGCACTCAGTCACTAAGTGTGGGAGTTTCACTGCTAAAAGCAACTGATTTGTTCAGTGACATGACGATGATTCACTATAGTCTATTCAGTTTAAAGATTAGTTTGTCCATGTACTGACCGCTAACTTATGTCCTCATGAAATCCCTGTCAGCTTCAGCTGTACTTTGTGTTTAGTGCTAATTGGCAAATGTTGTTATTCTAACGCTCAAAACTAAGATGGAACATTACCTGCCAAGCATCAGTATGTTAGCATTCTTGTGAGTATGTAGCTCAAATTAGGTAGGTAGGTAGGTAGGTTTATTGTCATAATATAACAAGTTATAGAGTGGAATTGTGTTTTGTAGCTCCCTTGCTCCCTCTGCTACATAGCAGACAATATACATTAATACAGAATCAACAGAAATAAACTATAATTAATGGACGAGTGCTGAGGATGATTTAGAGTTTAAGAGTCTGATAGCTTGGGGGGGAAAGCTGCTCTGCAGTCTGGTCGTGTGGCAGCAGAATCTTCTATATCTCTTCCCAGAAAGCAGCAGGGTGAACAGGCTGTGGCTGGGGTTGGTACTGTCCTTTAGTATCCTTTGGGCTCTATGTAGGCACCTCACCTCACTGATATCACTGAAAATCGGGAGATGGGTACTGAGCAGTATTAATCACCCACTGAGGAGCCCTCCAGTCCTGGGCCATGCACATCCCATGCCAGTTTGGGATGTTTCCAGTCAGGATGCTTTCTATTGCTCCTCACAAAATTATACAATGCGCCTCAAAGAGCTAGCATGGCTGTACACTTTTAATACTTTTAAACATTTAGTGCCACTCATTAAACCTACAATCTCTCTTGCACTCAAAAAAATATCAGCGCAAATAATTCTAAAGTTGTTTTAATACAATCAGGTCTTCCATCTCCATCAAGTATAAAAGATTTGAATACATTTATCACATCTTGGGTTTGTTTTGCTAACTAAATCTGATGTTTTCTACTAATTTGAGGCAGTCAAAAGTCAGTTTATATAGCAGAAGAGGTCCGGAAGAGAAGCCGGTTCTATTTCGTTAGTTTAGTCTAACTTGGTGTCCTTTTTACTCCCAATTTACACTGGGCATGCTCTTCCACAGTCCTCATCACTGACCTCGCTGTTGGTGGCGTCATGTTTATCAGAGGAGATGTACAGTACCGCAGTCCCTTCACACAAGTGTTCCAACCAACAACTTGGAGTTGCTAGGGTTAGTAAAGCAACACAATCCCCAACTTGCTTTCCTCCCTCAAATACTGCCATTTACTTGTTGGAGCACCTGACTAAGCCGTAAGGAAACATGGCACCCAAGGTTGCTTAGGCCGTGGGAGAGTTTTTATTTGTCATGTTTAGTTTCATTTTTTGAAATTGACACCTTTCCCTCCTCAAGTTTGTACCACTACAGAGTTCTAAAGTATGCATCCAGAAAAGATCTTGCTGCAAAGCTGACCAGTACTGGGAAATAAATGCATGATGTGCTTGTGTGTGTCTTCAGGCTTGTAGGTGGTGTAGCAGCGTGCTGCATACAGCATATTGCCCTCCCAGGTCAATGTGTGGGTTTCAGAGCTCACTTTCAAGAGTGATTCAAACTATCCAGAGTCAAAGCCCTCCATGCTTTTCATATCCATTCCTATCTTTTTTATGCCAGTGTACAATTTCTGTGCTCGCTTCTCTAAGGATGTGTTATGAAATGATCTCCTACCTCACCCAGAGAACCAGGCATCATAAAAAAAAAACCACCCACACTACTGTTGTGTAACTCCAGCTCTGTTAGCAAAGTTTTCAAAAATGACTTCTTACTGCTTTTTTTGTCCGTCAGAAAGAGAAGAGTGCATTTCTTTGTGTCACTGAGGTGTGCGTGTTTACATGTATGCACATGTGTGGAGGTGTAATCAACCTCCTGTCTTTGTTGATTGCAGACAAGTGTCCAGAGGGAGAGATAACAATAGATGGAGTAGAAACTTTTTCAAACAGCTCACTGATGAGAAAGCTTATCGAGTCTAAGCCCACAAGGTTTTTTGAATAAAGAGTGGATCAGATGTGTCTGCAGGTCCTGCAGTCTGGTGGTGTTTGTCTGGTGTTTATTGAGCATCAGGTATCTTTTCTGTAACTAATGTCAGAAGGTGTTGCACCAAACTGCCTTTCTGTAGAATGGAACGAATAATGAATCATTTATGTAAGATTTCCAAATTACAATATGCTCTGACTTTGTCATAATCAAATATGCATTGACAGATTGGTTCACAAAAAACACCATGTTTCTGCAATGCACAGCTCGTATCTTCAGTGAGATATTTGCTCCTAAATTTGTTCAAGTCAAGTAAATCAATATGCTCTTCATTACAAGTGTGTCTCCATGGACTTCACAGATAATGAGCCTACAGAGATCTAATTAATCAAAAGTCAGATTCAAACTTTTTTTTTGCAAACAAAGTCATGGAAGTAATACATGCAAAACAAAGCATACAACATAAAAGGCAAGAAAACACATAACAGGCTCCTTTATCCCAGCTAGCCAAATCCTCCAGCACCATCAACCTTTGTTTCCTGGAGGTTTATCTTTGCACATGAACATAATTTAAAACATTCACTTTGCAATTCTTAAAATTGGATGTTTGAGCTAATATTTTCTATTTTCATCGCCCAATGAGTCCTGTGTTGGAACATTTGAGTCATCATGATAAATATTTTATTCTACTGTAACTCTCTGCAGAGAAGTCATTAGGTTCATTTTGTGAGGCACCACCTGTCTCTTTCAATCTGTGCAACAGTGGTACAAAATATACTGCAATTACAAGCTCCAACTACAGTTCTTGCAGGAGGCCACATAAAACATTCACTACAATCATGGACTGGATGGTATTTTTACCCTAAACCTAAATGAATACATGTAAACCGGTATTTAGTTATAACCTTGATTTCTGGCGTATTTTTAAAGTGTTTTTTAAGATGAGCTTTTGCTACCATTAACATTAGCTTTCTGGACTGCTGAGCTGGGCTATTTATTTAAGATACAGTATCAACCACCCTGTCATCCTTCTGTTAGTAAAATCAGTTTCACATGGTGAAATTGTGAACCAGTGTAGAACCGCAGTTCATAAGCACAGTGTTGGTGAGTGGTCGCTCTCGTATTCTGCATAAATTCTCCCACCCCTTTCTCTGTCTTGTTTCCTTATCACCTTCTTCCTCTCCCTAGGGTTATGAGGGAGTCCATCATGCTCATTTCCCAGCAAAGCTTCCCACAAAGAGTTTCATCAATAAATTATTTAAACGCCTCTGTAAATGACAATCATAAGGTGTACATTTCAATCGTTTGTTTCTCTGGCATTGTGTCAGGTGTCCAATAAGCTTTCCACATGTCTTGCTGAGGTGACATTGCTGTCTAAACAGTCAACTTCTGATGTGGGTTGCAATATTGAGCAACAGTTAGCAAGATGCTAAAATTATATACAGTATAATGTACTGTATATACTAAATGGTGGTGTGTGTAAGAATTAGAAAACTATTCCATAGAAATAAGTGTGTATGTCCACGAAAATAAATAAAACAACAACTTATGAAGTCTAATTGGGACTGATCCTTACTCTGACTAACAACCTGCTGTACCTTTGTCTGTCTCTCTTTTCTCCTCCATTTTCAACCGCCTTGTCCAGTGATGGCTGGGCGGACAGGTATGATGTGACAGATGGCTACCAGAAGGAGGCAGCAGGTGGAATCACTATAAAGCTAAAGTCGGCTTATGTGACCTGGTTTGATGATTATTACCTGAACCTGAAGCCTAATGCCAACCTGAGGAACCCCTGGTTCCCTGAGTTCTGGCAGCATCGCTTCCAGTGCAGGTTGAGGGGACATCCGCAGGAGAGCAGCATGTACAACCGCACCTGCACTTGTTAGTACAACACAGGGATCATGTTCCACACACCTCTTTACACGCTTTCTAGCCTAGTCTATTTTCACGTCCTAGACCTTTCAGCATCAAGTCAGATTCGAGTGATTGGGTTTCTCCTTATGAGCAGATCTCTGTTCTCCACAGGGAAAGAGTCTCTGCGACATCAGTATGCCCAAGACACCAAGATGGGCTTTGTCATAAATGCCATATATTCAATGGCTTATGGCCTGCATGCCATGCAGGAAGCCCTCTGTCCAGGATATAAGGTACTATAATAAACAGTGGCCACATTTGTGTGCTTTCACATTGGCTGTGTCAGCAGTGACAGTGCTTGTTCCCCCCCTTGGTGTCAGGGTCTTTGTGAGTCCATGCGGCCCATTGATGGCCGCAAGCTGCTGGAATTCCTGATGAAAACCAACTTTACTGGTGTATCTGGGGAGACCATCCTCTTTGACCAGAATGGAGACTCACCTGGCAGGTAAGGATTGTGATGATGGGGAAGGAAGAAAAGAAGGGGAGAAATGAAGAGATAGTGAGGCGTGTTAAATGTATGCATATGCTGTGTAATGCAAACAGTATGTGTGCCTCAGGTATGAAATCATGAACTTCAAGCGAATAGGGGAGGATGAGTACGCTTATATCCATGTGGGCAGCTGGGATCAGGGTGGCCTACAGATGAACGATGAGGAAATCTGGAGTAACAACAGTGACATGTCTGTGATCCAATCAGTCTGCTCTGAGCCTTGCCAGAAGGCACAGATCAAGGTACACACCACTCCAATGCGCAACATTTTACATTACAGTCGTTTTTATTATTTAAATTACAATACATGTGATAACTGTACCTACCCTTTTATTTGCATGCATGCTGTAGAGCATATAGCAACATCTTCAGTTTTGCTAATATTGCCTGTTGTTCCTGTTGATGATGATCTACAACAAAAAAACATGGTTTCATTTCATGCTTCACTAAATGTAGTTATTTTAACTGAGGTTCAGGAACAAGACCACGCCTCTCTCTCACTAATCCACCCACCTGTGCTTCACTCATTTCAACCACCTGTGCCTATCCAATCCAATGTCCTGCACATATATGCCTATGTCTAACCCCTTACTCGCTCGTCTCTTGGTTCTCACATCCCTCCCCCGAAACCCCGTTTATCTCCGCTGCAATAGGCAGCACGGTGGCCCAGTGGACAGCACTAGTCTCGCAGCAAAAGGTCCTGGGTTCAGACTTCAGTCAACCCAGGATTTTCTGTGTGGAGTTTGCGTGTGTTTCCCCCGGGTGCTCCAGTTTCCTTCCACCATCTAAGACATGCATTATAGGCGTCACTACACCCTTTTTACTGTTGCACGTGCCCCTGTATCCATGTGCTATGCCCCGGTAAAATTGTCAAGACACCTTGGCGTTGTTTTTGGACATGTAGGGCTCCGGGGATAAGTTAGCAACAATTGGCAACATCTGCAATGACCAGTCAAGTTAGCAATAATACATATGCAACATCTGGTTACACTTTCAATACAAAACTACAGGTTGATGTGAAAGGGCACGTTGTTAGCGGCAGTCAGGTAAACATGTTTTCTCTCCTCTCAAAGTCTGACGTGAGCAGGTTCATGTGTAGCTGCAGTGAATCTCTCTGTCTGTCCTGCTGACCCAGCTGAGCAGCGCTTCGCGGTCTGTTTTTGTCTTGGTTGGTTGCCAGACTGTGAACAACATTAGAATGAAATAGTATTTATTACGTTTGATAAACGCCGACATGCAATGATGTTTATAAACTGCAGCATGAAAAAGATAACCACGTCGCGTGTCCATACACGTGCGCATGCACGAAATGAAACTTGTGTATTCCAGGAGAAGTATCGGCTGAGCGGTGCTACAGTCCGCAGCCGGACCTTATTGCATTCCAGTAGCATCATTAATGGGACCAGTCCAGACATGGATGTGATGGCACCCCTCGTACACATTATTTTAAAACGAGACAACAATTATCTGTGTCTCAGTTTAAGTTTAAGTGACAACTAATAAACTAATGCAATGTGGAAAGCATTGGATTCACATTGACTATTATAATGTTGATTAGCAGGGCAGACTGAGTAATATGGATGTACATCTCTCAGTAACAGCAATGGCAAATTGTTTACATGTCTCACGAGTCAGGTAGGAGGGCCCCATAGCAGAATTTTATTTTATTTTCTTAATGTCTTGCAATGGCCCTCGGGCCACCACGACACAGATCAACCCCCTCCATCCCTACCTCCTTGACACCTTCATCCCTACCCCCTTCAACCCCGTCTTCCCTTCCCCCTCGGCCCCTCCATCGTTTCCTGAACCTTCTCGTTTACCAAATAAACTGCCTGTTATACCTCAATTGGCGTGGTCTCAATTAGTGAATAGACCAGAGAGTAGATCATAGATTTACTGAAGACAGCTGTCAAGCAAGACCCACGCAGTAGTCTTGACTTGGTCCCACAAGTTTGCAATCTACAAAACCAGTCCAATCAGATTCTTGAGTACACCGCCAGGGACTCAGCAAAGCTTTTTGTTCAAGCTTTAATCATTTCCCATCTGGGCTTCTGTAACTCCTTGCAGCCCATCCAAACTGTAGAGAACACTGCAGTCTGCCTCCTCTTTATCATCCCAAAAGTTACTAATATTAAACCCTTCCTACACTGACTCCCTGTAATGTGGCAGGGAATTCAAAACTTCAAAACTCAAGCTTCTGAGGAGATCTGCATGTTCTTACCTCCAGGCCTCACACCCCAGCCCGCGTTCCTAGTTTTGGCTCAACCAGCTGTTTGGCTCTGTCTGACCTGTGCTGACCTTGACAGCAGATAGGAGTCATTCCCTACTTCCCATCATGTTGGGAAACTTAACAGTTCCCATTTCTGGGAGGAACCTGGAGCACCCAGGGGAAGCCCAGACAAAATTTTAGATTTGAACCCAGAACTTTCTGCAAGTGACAGCATACGCAACTGACCTGCCACCACTATCTTTAGCTTATTTTAATTGTATTTCCACACTGACGGGCTGCTAATACAAAGAGAACCTTTTTAAAATAACGAGGCTCAAAGATTCTCTATACATCTTTCCTTTTTTCTTCTTTTGATCCCCTGACAAAGAAATCCTTCCCCGTCCCACAGGGCAGTCAGAGTGTAAGATTAGCTACAGAAAAATGCCATTGGAGCTTTGAGACCTTTCCACCCTTTCATACTGGTGTGTGTGTCTCCAGGTGATCCGTAAAGGAGAGGTGAGCTGCTGTTGGACTTGCACTCCCTGCAAGGAGAACGAGTTTGTGTTTGATGAGTACACTTGTCGAGCCTGTGTCCTTGGCTCCTGGCCCACAGATGACCTCACTGGTAAACACACTTTATGTGTCTGTACAAATACAAGATTTCCAAACAGGCCAGAGGAGCCTTGAATCTGGGTCACACACTCACAGTGCACCCAAAATCCCCTTACATCTTACGTACCACACCAATGCACACACAAACCCCATAAACTGGCAAACACTCTGAACTAAGACACACTCACTACTTCACATAAAAACAACTCAAATACTCATGTCCTATACACACACCAAGTACAGAGTCTTTAGATCCTTGCCAGAACAAGATTTGGCAGAAGCCAGATTTCTTAACTCCAAAGTCTGTAAAAACAGTTTGAAACCATTTTCCTACACTTTTGTAAACACTTATCTACCACACTATTTCTGTTCCTCTGTACTTTGAAATAACCCGAAAAGCCTCCTCATGACCTCTCTTTATCCCTCAGGTTGTGAGCCAATTCCGGTGCAGTATGTGCGCTGGGGAGATCCAGAGCCCATCGCTGCAGTGGTCTTTGCCTGTCTGGGCCTCATGGCTACACTTTTTGTTACTTCTGTCTTTATCAAGTAATTATAGCCTACAGCTTTACTAGTTGTACATGTGTACATACACAGAAAAATCAATGTTTCAGTATAGCAAGGACATAGTTAGAGTTAACAATAATGGGTTAAGTTTATCTAGTACCAGGGTGTTGTTATTTACCCAAACTAAAATTCACTCATACATGTCATTATTTGTTATTGAACGTTACTAATGTGTCTATCACATCTGCACATCATTTTGTACAGCTAACAATACATTTGTGACAGTTTTATGGTAATAACTACATGATATAACTATTACTATGGAAATGACTACATGACATTTATTTAACATTCAGACACAGATATCTACTACCTAATTAACAGTGGATACAACATCTAAATGTATTCAAATATGAAAATATAGAAAGACAGTATAATCATGCTAATACAAAAAATAGCATTACTCTACGGTAAAGCAAAAATTGTTTTTATAAGCAATCCTCATTGAAACCAGTGAGCTTGGGAATATTATGTGTTGAATGTCAGTGCGCCAAAAGCAGTCCCTTCATTGCTCCAACTGTCTTTCTATCTATCTGTAGATTTTGGGACACTCCTGTGGTCAAGTCATCCAGTCGTGAGCTCTGCTACATCATCCTGGCTGGAATATGCTTGGGCTACCTGTGCACCTTTAGCCTTATTGCCAAGCCCCACATAGTCTACTGCTACCTCCAGCGGCTGGGAATTGGCCTGTCCCCTGCCATGAGCTACTCTGCCCTGGTCACTAAGGTACTTTCTTTTCTGTTTTGTTGCCAGGAAGTAGAGGAACAAATATACACAGTTCAAGCAGTATGGGTTAGCGTCATGTTTCACTTCCTGTGGAACTTTGTGAGCCTCAAGGCTCCATAGTCAGCTTCATTTGATATCTTTTCTTTTTACTCTACAATGTGAATGCTGAGGTGTAACTATTATTACACAAAGTAAAAAAAGCTATATTTACACTCTCCTATGAAAGTTCTGATTAAAATTCTCTGTTCTTTCCATTTTTTTTGACACATTTCCATGTGAAACAGGATGTTGCGATTATTCTGAAGTCAGCAGAACAAAACTGCAAAATGTACACTAAAAGTACCTGTTGAAGATTACTCACTTCTTTCATCACACACACACTTACAGAGGAGGTGGAAGACAACAAGGAGAAACATACAGCATGCAGTATACTGTATATGCTGGAGCCTACGGCAGAGGAGAGAACTGGCGATGATGTTACAAACTGACACCCACTGATACATTACAGCAGTTTATGCAAGTCAGAATGGTGACAATGTTACATTAATACTTTAGAGAAGACTTAATGGTGACTTTTTAATTTCATATTTGCAAAACCACGTTTGATCAGAAAACTTGTCTGCTGTCATAGCCCGATGTTTTTTAAACCTTAAGCATAAATAGAAGGGCATCTAAGCCTAAGGGCAGGATTAAAAGAGCTACCTCCAGAGTTTGGATGATGGCCAGTTGTAAGGGATGTACGGAAGATGTTAAGGGTCTGTGTGTAGGCTGAGGTTGATGTTTAAGATCTGGGAACTGAAAGGGGGATTACTGTTATGAATCAGCGCGAGCCGAATTATCCACAGTCGATGTAAGTGAAGCCTGCATAATCATTTGATCTATTTTTGATCCAGACCAACCGAATAGCACGGATTTTGGCAGGCAGCAAGAAGAAGATCTGCACCAAGAAACCGCGCTTTATGTCCGCCTGCGCACAGTTGGTCATCGCCTTCCTACTCATACTGCTGCAGCTGGGGATTATTGTGGCACTTCTTATCATAGAGCCACCACAGGTGTGTGTGTGTGAGTGTGTGTGTGTGTGTGTGTGTGTGTGTGTGTGTGTGTGTGTGTTTTACAATGTGGGGATCTTCATTCATTTATTTAAACAACATGAGTGACTTCTTCGTTTGTCTCCCCTTAGGTGATCTATGACTACCCCAGTATCCGGGAGGTACACTTGATCTGCAATCTGACCACTCTGGGGGTGGTGGCGCCCCTGGGCTACAATGGCCTACTTATCCTTAGCTGCACCTTCTACGCCTTCAAGGTGGGCCTATTTCAGCATTTCAGTAGTTAATAATAATACACATGCTACCCCATGGTAATATATTTATATTATATATATATTTCTTTCCTCGCACACTCATCTTCCATCCCCTTGAACTGTATCCTGTCCTTGCTATTTCAACTTAGACTGCTTTAAATTACATTGTTCCTTTTCTCCCACAGACGCGTAATGTTCCGGCTAATTTTAATGAGGCCAAGTATATTGCCTTTACCATGTACACCACCTGTATCATCTGGCTGGCCTTTGTTCCTATTTACTTTGGCTCCAACTACAAGATCATAACCATGTGTTTTAGTGTCAGCCTCAGTGCCACGGTGGCTCTCTGTTGCATGTTTGTCCCAAAGGTAAGAAATGGAGACACGTCCTCTCACTCAAACATAGTTACAATAGAAAACTCACACAGTTCTAAGAATATTTTTTGGTATTATTTTGCATCCCTGCATCTTTACGCTAACAGTTATTTGTTGTTGATTTTTATGGTCAGGTGTACATCATGCTCGCCAAGCCTGAGAAAAATGTCCGGAGTGCTTTCACAACATCCACAGTGGTGCGCATGCATGTAAGTGATGTCAAGAAAGCTGCCAAGTCCAAATCCTCTAGCAGCATGGCCAACTTTTTTCGACGCCGTGGGTCTGCGCAGGACGACATCAGGTATAACTGGGTATTAAGCTGTGAATAAATTGTGACCTCCGTATCTAAAACACCTGAGCCCTGAAGAAAACATTCCCTTAATGTAGTTCTAATTAAGTTTCTACATAAAAACAATTGTGTCAATACACATAAATGTGTGTGTGTATGCATATGGATATATATATACACTCACATACATACCTATATATACATACATACATACATACATACATACATACATACATACATACATACATACATACATACTATATATATATATATATATATATATATATATATATATATATATATATATATATATATATAAGGTTATATAAAATTTTAATCACTCAGCCTCACCTTAGTTAAGGACTTTGTTAGTAATGGTCTAGGGTACAAAAGGATAAAACCCAGCGACAAGGGACTAAGAGAGATAAGTTGAAGGCAGGTGTTGCACAGAAGCAGAAAAACTACCTGCTTGGCTAGTTATTAGGCCATCTTAATACCCTGAGTACATCCACATGCTTTAGTTGTTTCTGTCCATGAGTCCATGTATAGAGATGAAACCTCTGTTGAGATTCATACATCTCTGTTCCTTCTTAAACTGTCTCTGATAAATCAAAGCTGAATCCACCACAACAGACTGGGTATTCCGAGAAAAACTGCTCCCTGAGCTGAGAAAAGGCTATCTCATTTGGGTTAAGTAGTCCCATAGGAGACCCACTGCCTTTAAGGATTTCTCTTTCTAGGGAAGATGAAAGAAAATGGAGGGAGAAATGAAATTACAATGAAAGTAAAAGATAGAACGGGGGATGGTAGAAATACTGATAAGAAGAAGTAGCACATGAACCTCAGTGTAGATAGGGGAGGTTCTTTTCTCAGTGTTTTCCTGGTGTGATTGTAATATACAGCATATGTGTTTACACATAAGGTCTTGCAGTATATAGAAGACATGCTGCATCTGTCATACAAATTTTCAACCAATGTAGACTAATTTTATGTTTCTGTTCTTCATATGTTTCACAGTTCCAATGGGAAATCGGTGACATGGGCGCAGAATGAGCGCAGCTACAGACCAAACCTATGGAAGAGGATGTCGTTCCATGTCAAGAAAAAGGAGGCAGTCGAGGTGAACCAGACAGCCATCATCAAGCCCTTCTCTAAAGGAGGAGATACACCTGCGGACGCTGGCGTCACAGAGCAGTACGAGGAGCCACAGGTGTCTCAGCCCTTCACCTGCTCCACTGCTCAGTCACCTCTGCCCACTATCAGCCTGCATGCAGCGAAGGCACGGGGCTTCCAGGGAGGAGAGGATGGAGAGGAGCCACAGGCTTTACCCACCTACGTACCTGAGCACCCTGCTGGGGTCAGAAGAAGAGGCGGGGACAACAGCCAGGGCGGAGGTATGCCGGATGGAGCGGACATTAGTATCATAGGTGTGGGCGACATCGGCATAGGGATTATTGGCAGCCAACCTCAGGGCACCACCATCATGGACCAAATCAGCTGTGTGGTGAACCGTTTCACTGCCAACATTAGTGAGCTGAACACCATGATGCTGCCAGGGGGAGCTACCGTCAGCCCCACCTCCACCACTGCTCTGCCCACAGCTGCCGATGCAGCCCCCTGCCCACCTCAGTACCTTGGATCCAGGAGCAGACAGGCCCCCTCCACTGTCACCACATATGCTGAGGTCGCGGCCGTCTCCAATTTCTGTGAGAACCGACCAACAGGTAAGATTTATGAGCACCTGGCCGGGACTTGCGTGAGTGGCAGGCGTGCTAAGGATATGGAGGAGCTGGTGGCTCTGACGCCTCCCTCCCCCTTTAGAGACTCGTCTCTGAGCTCCGACGGCAGCTCGCCTCCATCGCTGTCTCCGGCCTCTGAGGCTGAATATGACCAGCTGCTGCTGAAACACTACAGCCACAGCTCCTCTTCTCTCTAAACCTGCTCTCTCTACACCGTGATCTCCCTGTTTATTATTTCTTTGGGAGTATTTTACACTCCAAAAGACAAAGCTTCAGACTGGACCAAACTTTTGGATGCCTTTCTACGTGTGGATGTTCTGAATGTTTAAGCAATTTGTGAAATAATTTTCATTTTCAGATTGGATTTAATGCACCCACACATGGCTACACTGAGGGGTATGTGAGAAAAATACCAGTGGGAAGACTGCAAATTATAAATGCTGAAATGAAGCTGAGCAATGTCAGTGCTTCTTTTTTTTTCCCAAGTCAGTAAAAAAAACGGTGACAAACTGAAACACACATCTGGGCATTTTACTTTTAAATTACTTTTACAGGTACTGACAGGGGTTTCTACAGTATCTCAGTTTTAAACTGTTCAAGTTCCAGAATACAAATGTAATTCTACAATTATGTGTTTATTTCATTATAAAATGGTTATCTATCATAAGTGGGGGAAATTTACCAAATATTTCTGTTCATATATTGAATCTCAAAATGGCATTTGAATTGTTTATGTAAGGTATTAGAATACTAAAGATGTTTTTCAGTTTTTTAATTTTGCATAGAAAGCTGGGTTTGTTTTTTATTGCTACTACATATAATTGCTGTTGACTTTCTGTACATGTGATGTTTTTGTTACTGACAAATTGCCCTAGTCTTTAATATTGTGAGACCCAGGTGGATACAGATTGTATCAGCATGAAGACATCTGTTCAGAACATAAAAGCTCACATAACTTTGCCTGAAATCAAAAGGTCAAACTAACTAATTTGCTGTCAATCCTGTAAGGCATTGTGTATCCCAAATGAGAAAGGGTAAAGATTCTGCATTGTGCAAATCAGGACGCAGGATTTTTCTGTGTGGAGAGTTCTCAATGACCTTCCCTTGTCTTGGAAAGGAAACATTTATGAAGAGTGAAACCATCCTGAGAAGACAGGCGCTCTTTACATCTCAAGGGAATGTACTGTAAGACATTGTCTCAGTGGATGCAACACCATGAGGTGTCTAACCAACAAAGAGCTTATGGACTACTTGGATGTCTTCTTTAATTATTTTCTCTAGATGTGACATAGTTGAATGTACGATACATTATCAATTGAAGTGGGCCAAAATGATCTTCCACCTCAGGATGTGTCTCAACCAAAATACTTTCCAACTTCACTGCTGAATGAGCACTGTCATCTGTTGGCTCAAAATGTTTCCAGTTTGCATGATGTCAAGATTTGTTTGCACTCCTTATGTTATATTTCTAATGAATCAAGAATTTTGATTGTTGTACATGTCAAACCAGTTAAGATTTATAGATACAGTAGCAAAGTAATGATACTATTATTGATGTTGATGTGTTTTTAAGATTAGTTTTAGGAGAAGAGAAACAAACTGAAAGTGTGCTAGATTTTCTTAGACATCTATTGCGAAACAGCTTGTTTCCAGCCTGGCTTTTTACCTACATATGTGCCAATGTCTCCTTGCATTAAATTGCATTGCATTTCTATAAATGGGCTCACATTAGGAATCCTTCTGTGAGCCCATTTAGATTCTAGTCTTTCAAGCATTCAGGCATTATAAGGAGAGCATTAATATTTTTATAATATTTTATGATAATTTGACTATGTTATTTCTTATGCTTGAACATTTTCAATGAATATTATTTGTTATTATTTTTTTGTATCTGCCTTTTAGCCTCTCTGAGGATGTAGATTAATAATAGTATTGATTCACTGACAGGAGAAATAACTGATGATGTTTACGTGGGGGCTAGCTTGTGTTTTTTTTATCAGATGGGGGTTTTTTTACGTTGGTTTCAGTCCTTATTTTTGTGTTTACACAAGCAGGAATGTGTTCATGTTTTTTGTAATGTGCAGTATTTTCTACTGGTTTTCAATGTAAAAATCATCATAGACAGTTGCCGTATGTGCATGCAGGTTTGTGCCAACTGAAATTTTGTAGGTCCATTTATATGAATAATTCACTGATATAACCTACAGAAGACATTTGTGTTGGTCTTATCTCTGCATCTGCTTTTCAGATAGCCAGAATTAACTATGTAGACGTGCTGCATTAAAGGTTTCCGTCCAAAATGCAATATATTTTTTTTGCAATATATGGTAAATGCTCCATATTTGCGTTCTAGAAATTTTTCATTTCATTTCATGCAATTATAGGAATAATAATTTATCTCAAAATTATAGTACTGTGCCATACTTATTTACATTCCTGCAGCAACAACTTTGAAATAATAGGGTGGAAATAACAGGGTGGATAAGTCATTTTTGAATGACTTAAAAATCCAAATTTTGTTTTTATCATGCTGCTAAGAACTGGATCGTGTGCAGCATTATTTCTGGACTTTTCTTTTCTGGAGTAGATGTTACTTATGAACCTTTTCTAAATAAGAAGATAACTGTGTCAACTGTATCACAGTGCGATAATTAATAAACCTAAAGGGAAATAGGGTTTCTAGGGCACTCTTTATTAAATAACATGCCATATAATTTCCTATGCCATAAATGTAGACCAAAATTGCTCAGCGAAATTAATATTCACAAGATGGTGGGTTAAGTTTATTAGTAGTTAGAGTGTAATAGCTTTGAGGAGCCCAGAGAGGCAGCAGGTGGTATCTGCTGTTACATGGGCTCCTATCCTCACTGATATAATGGCAGGGGTGGTGACGCTCACTATAATGTACTACAATTTAACAGCACCACAAAATGCAGCCTCAAAACGACCACAAACACTGAACATTATAACCATCATGAAGATATGGATTTATTGCAGAAACAAATGAAGTGTCAACTAAGTATAAATTCTTCTTTACAGATAATAGTCTTTAAACGCACACACTTCTGCTTGGAGAGTTTACTGTCCCAAAACTGGAAGCATTTGATTTCTCTCACTCCTACAGTCCACTTTAGATTCACATGATGAAAACTCATGTGGGTCAAGTGCATCGGTGTTGGGTGTGCAGAAACATATGTATAATCACATGCTTACTCATAAACACAAAATTCTCTGCATTCTGGTCAGTTTTACCGTACCAACACCTGCCTTTCCTGCATCAATTTATGGTGGAAATATGGTGGGGTCTAATGCAATATGGCACTGAGGCATTCTGTATTGCCTTCAAATATGTATTCTACTTTAGATAACAATTTCTCATTTAATATCATCCCACACTTATATGTGTCAACTGTCACAACCCAGCTCAACAGCAAGTGACAAAAGCGGGAAACCACACAGTCTGAAAATAATAATAGATATTTTAATAACTAAATTAAGCAAAATATACAATTGTAGGTGTCTGTCAGATCAGTATGTATGCAGTGTATGTGTGAGTGGAGTGTATGGGTGTAGAACACAAAGAACCAAACAAAACAGAATCAGTCGGCACGCCAGGAGAAGAGGGAGCCAAATCATCAAGCAGGCTCCTTTGTAGCCACCTGAGCCCTCCCTGCTCAGGTGTGTTGCATCTCACACCAGGTATCAACTCCACCAACCAATTACCTAGATTAAAGGGACAAAACACAGCAAGATACAACAACAAGAGAGGGCCCACACCTGGGGCCATCCCACAACACACATGTAGGGTGTTGGTTTAGTTTAGTCTTCCCTCCTGCCTTTTTTGGGGGGGAGTTCGGGGGGTCACCTCTTTAAATATGCATGTGGCACCTTTTCACATCAATGATCTATGAATTCATTTTAATTATTTTATAAGCCCCTGGATTTTAATAACTCCTGTGTTTCAGCTCATGTTCAAAACTTTCTGCACATTCAAAATATATCCCACATATCTGTGTTCTCTGACATTTGAAGAATAAAGTCTTAATATTTTGAGATGTCATAATATTTATAAAATAAAATAAATCTACCTGTCCTCCTATACTCTGCTGTATCAGTCTACGCTCTGCTGATGTGGTAGTGCCGATCCCCTTCAGAACCTCTGAAAGACGCAGAACCACGTTTGGGACTGTACTGGATGAGACAATGGAGGTGGAATATCGAAACTTACTGAAAACACTTCTGATCAGGCATAAATCTCACCTCAAATCCACACAAATTTATGTTAACTTCATCAACTCCAATACAGGGCAGCTCACAGCCGCTTCAGAGGGAAGTATCCTGGAGCAGTGAGGCAGTCCCACACAGAGCAAAGGAGTCTAAGCAAGGGGGACGCAGAACAGCGACACAGAGCTACCGATCAGAGGAAAGACGCCACACTGCAGTCCAAACTTTAAAAAAAATGAAAGTCTGAATAACTGTAGAATTCCAGGAAAGATTAACACATGGACATTTGACTCAATATATCTATTATGACTTTATTCTGGTAGGTTATTCTGGTTAGTTGCTTGATAGGTAGGGTGCACCGTGTTTGTGATATTATGAAAATAAAACTATAGTAGGCCTATTTCAGCCGTTCATTTTACAGTAGAGCGTGTGTCTTCAGAGATGGGCGCTCTCTAAATGACAAGGTGTATGAAGCATTGACAGTTTGTTTAGTAGAGAACACTAAATAATGAGAGGATAGAGGAGATATCATGAATTGTCTTAGTAATGTCTTAGCCATGTTTGCTTTATTTGACGTGCCTGAACCTGCAGTTGGATGCCGTGTGTGAAAAGGTAGCCTATATTGGTTAAATATTTACCTACAGTAAAATGCCTTGCAATAATGTGACGAAAATGAGAGACCTGTACAATTACTATAAGTATATTTTTGACATGGACATGACTATCTGATATTACTGTCTTAATTGCATTATGACTGCACTTTTGAGCTGCATGTAAACATTCAAGGAGCATCCACTCTTTTGTCAGATAATGGAGGCAAACGGGGAGGAGTTTAAATTTAGCGTTTGAAAAGGACACTTTAAACACTAAAGTATCGCCCTTTTTTTCCTGGAATGCTTTAGGCTTCGTCTTTATCATGAAGGCGACTGTCTCTCAACAGGCAATGGGTTAACATGTGACAACACTTGCATAAAGTGGCCTATATTACACGAAAGACTCACAAAGCCCTCTAACAGGAACTACACGTCTTCAACAAACCGTGCGCACTGCGCGTCTCCCCAGGGTGACGAGGCGAGGTCACAAGTTCCCAAGCACAACCCCTGAGCAGATCACACGCTTCCCCACAGGGAGGGAGGTTCCACAACCCAATCCGAAGAGGGAGACACACGGGATAAAGGGCTCCAGGCCTCAAACGCTCACTCATACAAAGTTGTGAAAGCTGCTGCGTCTGAGATCCGACAGGTGGAATGACCAATTACTCAGCAGAATCCAACGGCATGCAGACTATCCGAAAGGAGCACCTGTACAAGGTCCTGGTTATCGGAGACCTGGGGGTCGGGAAGACTTCCATCATCAGGCGCTACGTTCACCAGTCCTATTCCACCAACTACCGGGCCACCATCGGAGTGGACTTTGCCCTGAAGGTGTTGAACTGGGATTCTGAGACTATCCGGCTTCAACTGTGGGACATTGCAGGTGGGACAGTGAAGAAGTTGAAAATGTTTCAGGTATTTAATTTGCGGGGTAGCCTACATGTACATAGTTATCTTCTGCTGCTGTCACTCCAGCAACTGAAGCAAAACTAAATCATCTGGAGGGTCCAATACAGCTCATTGAGAACAATGCATTTGTATTTCACAGTGTAAAAATCTAAAGTAGTTTTGTATTTAAACACATCCAAGAAGTAAGGAACCATTTCACACCCTCACTGAAAAAAGTCTTAACTGTTGTTTAGCAAGATTGTTTGTCATGGTTCCTGAAAAGTTGATGATTTGGGGAGATAAGACTTATCTTCAGAGTGACTGGCTGTTGTAAAACATTCATAGGTCTATGCAGTGTCACTGTACAGAGATGGAATTCCACAACGGTGGATTAGGACCATTATAGATTTTTTTTTTTTTTAAAGCCGTGGAGGGGGTACTAATATCCCGAGAAAATACTCAGAAATCGTAAATTTACAAGGGGAAAAAAAAACACAACTCCGATATTATCTGAGATTAAAGTGTTAAATTACGAAGAAAAGAGTCTGTGTGCAGAAATAAGAGAACAGGTGAGCTTTTAGACAGTTAGGCAGATACAAGGGACTCCAACTAAGTCTCTTGAAAGCACGTGTCACATCGTAGGCTAGTCATTTAGATGTCTGCAGTTCTTCCCCAATTTGTTATGCTTTTGGTATTTGAACAGAAGGAAGTATCTCATAATACTGGTTGGTGAAAGTCCCTTAGATGTGATGGCTGTTATTAATATCTGTATACCCTGCTTTCAATAGAGTAAAGCCCTTTAATAACACAAGCACATCTGTAAATAGTAATTTTTTTTTTTCTCTCAAATGTATGACTTTATAGAGTATCCATGTTTTTTGTTGATCCATGTTCTCTGGCTTGTTTTTTTTTTTTTTTCCTTTTGTTATTTCTTTACCTAATAATTAAATTACTATTTCACACAAAGGATTCTCTCACTCACTCTCTCACACACACACACACACACACACACAAATTGTTGCTTAGGCAAGACTACCATCAGTCCTTCACTCATGGTATGGTTCTGTCATGTGGTTACCCATGTGAGGGAGATGTTCATTGTAGCCTACTAATGTGTTAATGTGGATCCAACAAATGCAATTATCTGCCTAAGTCTTGCCTACCTGCTTGAAATTCTTCCTAGGGAGGCGTAGGGACAGACTAAGTATAGACTGAGAAATTCTGGTTTGTTATCATTTATAGAGCGGTACATTTTACATGTTGTACTTGGTGCAATTTGCATTATATGATTTCCATCAGTTTATTGAATGACCGTGTGTCAGGTGACGTGTGATGCGAGTGTCTGTCTGAGTCGGCTGTCACACCACTGCAGATGAGGGTTTCTTGTGAGTTATAAGAATCATTCATACACTCTCTTGCACGAAAGGAGGAAGTTCTCAATCCATGTCCTGTCAGATTTTCCATTTCCTCATGAGGCAAATAGTAGCATTTTGTCCTCGTCAACATATTTCTAGCAAAAGCCAAAAGTGTACTTTCACGCATTAATATTTATCAACCATGTAAACGTTCCTGCTGAAAGGGCATAGTATGTAATACGAGCACGATGCGCACACCCACACGCTCCGTTATGGACCAACAAGTCCTCACATTACACAGCAGAACACACACCCTCGGGTAATGTCATGTTGACAGCTGTTCCAACCTCCTGAAGCACCTAATTTCCATTTCCTGCACAATACACACGGATGAACACATATACATGCATACTCGCACAAAGACATTACAGATACATTCTATGAATACTGTTATCATCTATGTCAAAGTTTATTTTCATTACAGGTCAGGCAAAATACAGGTTCAATTTAAGTAGGCCTATTATCAGCAGGAACAAGGAGTCGCATTGACAATCTAGTTAAGTGCAACGTGACAATAAGACCACAGGAATGTGCTGTTTCATGGGAATGCAGGCACTGCTAACTGCAGTCTTAATAGCAACTGCATTAGATTTTTTGCAGCAAAAATGCAGGAAAACAATGAAAATCTCTCATTAAAGTGATTGCTGGAACCCACAATGTTGCCACACTAATGAATGAAACTCCCTGTTTGTGTGTGTGTGTGTGTGTTTGTTTGTTCCTCACAGGTCAGGAACGTTTTGGAAACATGACACGAGTGTACTACCGTGAAGCCATGGGAGCCTTCATAGTGTTCGATGTGACAAGGCCCACGACCTTTGAGGCCGTCATCAAGTGGAAAGAGGACCTGGACTCCAAACTAATGCTGGCTGATGGACAGAGCATTGCTACTGTGCTGCTGGCTAACAAGTGTGACCAGGGGAGGGAGTTCAACAACAATAGCATCAAAATGGACCAGTTCTGCAAAGACCATGGCTTTGTCGGGTGGTTTGAGACCTCCGCTAAGGTGAGACTGGAGCAAGGTTATGGTATTCTTGTTTGCTAATCATCTGCGATGTGTCATGTGAAATCAAATTATTTAAATAGTTTGCCATTTTGTTAAATGCTCTTATTTTTCTTTCTTGTTGAGAGTTCGATGAGAATATTGAGTCCACTCTCATCTGTCAGTTAAATATGAACCTGGACCCAGGAGACAGTTAGCTTAGCATAATGACTGGAAGTAGGGGGAAACAGCTAGCATGGCTTTGTCTAAATGTCTACTTGACTAAATGCAGATATATATATATAATTGGTGAGCTTTAGGGGTGCTGCTATGCAGATTTTACACTGCCAGACAGAGCCAGACTGGCTGTGTCCCCCTGTTGTTAGTCTTAATGCAATGCTAAGCTAACTGGCTGCCTGCTTTAACCTCATATTTAACAGACCGACACAAGAGTGATCTCATAAAACTCAGCAAGAATGCAAATAAGCGTATTTCCCAAAATATTGAATTATTGCTTTATTCATCAACATGACAATGAATGATTGTGGGCCAGTGAGTGGCTGGTAGAGATAATCTCCCACTCAGGTCACTTCAGTCAGTGAAAAACATCCCCTCAGAGCCAACTGGAATTTCATATCCTCATGGAAAGTGGCTCTGTGGGATAAATTTACTAAAGAGGGTCAGAACAAGTTACTGAAGTGAAAAGTTAAAAGCATTGGAGGACTGGGGGTTTTTTTGGGTTTTTTTCAACGTGGTATTCAAAAATTCATCTTTCAGGGAGTTCTGCTTCCCATCGCATAAAAGTTATTTAATCAATTCCTTCTTTGAGTAAATTCAAATTTGATCATATTATCTATCACACTATATATTTTGTATCCGCTTAATCTAACATGTCATTGAAGCTTTATACATTTTTTTTATTGATTGAAATATAAACTTTCAAGATGTCAATTTAAAATACAGTAAATGTGGGATTGGACAATTGTTTTCTGTACAGTACGTGTTTATAGGGACCTGCCAAATAAAAAAAATAAATACAAATTTAAAAAGCACCCACACTCTGCAATACTTACACATAGAGTATATCAATTCTACAAATGTTGTCTTTATTCACACATCTTCTGTTGACACTAATGTGTTGCAGCAGCATAAGTGCGCTGCCATTCTTGTGGTGCCAAGACTCAACATTCTGTAAGGTCAAGGATCATAAGGTGCAGGTTCAGCCAGAGGTGTCAGAAGTTGGCCATGCAAACAGACATAACCATCCTTCTTTAGAGAAAAAAATTGTTTATACCACTCACATTAGGTAGTTTCAAACACTTTTAAGGTGCACACATGGTTTTGTTCATATGAAGGAAGATACCAGTTACCCAAATTCTGAACATACAGTAGGTCAACAACTGTTAACATAAAGGATATGTACCTACATCAAGGTATAAAAATATAGCCGCAATGATCATGATCCAAACAAGTCACAAAAATACATTTGACATTTTCAGAGAAGAAGAACAGATACAGATGACTTGAGAGACTTGAGTAATGAAAGAATTTGGACTTTGAGATGATTTCGGAAACGCAAACTCGATTTTTACAGCATCACCTTGAGATCAGAGAGTGTCATTATATGTACCTGGCTACTGGGTGAAATGTTCAACCCACCTGCAACATTTTGTGTTTCCAAGTTTTAAAGTTTAAGCTGCACAAATACATTTAAGCAGAGAAAAATAAGAATAAAGTGTCATGGGATCCAAATAAAATGGAGAACTTAAAGTCACTATGATCTGAACATCCTCATTGTCTCATACTGTACAAGTTACAGCAAGATACTGAAGATCACTGCAGACTCACTGTTTGAACGACCTGAGAACCCTTTGATAGTGGCCATCTGGAGAATGACTGTCAAGTTTGGTAGTGTTTGAAGAAAGACTTGTGGAGATATAGGTGTTTATTGAATTAGCATATTCTGAAAAATATAGAGTGAGTGAGTTCTGAATTGACCATAGGTTGCAGTGAGGCAAATGTCAGCTCTATAGGACGTACGGGTAATTTTCTTAGATTTTTTTGAAGTTAGGAATGAGAAATGTCTAAATTTCTAAAATACTCTTTTGAAAACTTTTGATCAGTGACTTCCATAGGTGATACTGCAAAAATAGGTTTTGGGAAAAAGTGATAAAAAGTCGTATAATTTGACATTTTTAGAGCAGAAGACCATTGGAGCAAAGATGCAGATAAATACAGAGATTAAAATAATGAAAGAAGTTCAACTCTAAATGAAGCCGTTTTCGAGATAATTGCAAAAATGCAAAGTTGATTGTTGTAGCGCCACCATGAGGTCTATGAGGTCTTTTTTTTTGCCTGAGTAGTGGGTAGAATTTGCAACCTATGAGCCAATTTTTCGAGTTTTCATCCAGCAGTTTTTGCTGCCCAAACACTTTTTTAACCATCCCAAACTGTATCCATTAAAATTTGTTTTTTACTTGGGTACTCTTTTTCTTGGGGTCATAGATCTTTTTTATTCTCTTTTGTCATTGTCCTAGTGCAATAATATAAACAATCCAAATGGCAGTCATTTATAACAAAACAAAGTAAAAACTAATTATAGAGCCATCCCTAACTTTATCTCTCCTTTAGGACAATCTCAACATCGCTGAAGCTGCAAACTTGCTAGTCAAGCACATCATGGCCACAGAGAACGACATCCTGAAATCTGTGGTCCCAGACACCATCTCACCTCACCTCGACTCCAACAGGCAGATGAGCTGCTCTGGCTGCTTCAAATAATGAAAGGAGGGAGGCAAGATAGAACAGAGTTGAGACACAATAGGACTTAGAGGGACAGTCACACCACACGACCTTTCAATGAAATCTAAATACCTGCGATACAGTTAGGCCTCTGGTCCAAACCAGAGTAGAAGATTTTATTTTGCTGCCTGTTTGTGTTCTCAGTGACCAGTTCTGAGCCAACCTGAGCTTGCAAACTAAAATGACATGGACTCAGAAGTTACAAATGTATTTTATGTAAAGTTCTTGGCAGACAAACAAGAATAACACCCTTGTCTATGCTCTCTGGAATGATTATTTAAAGTATCAAAATGCCAACCTTGCCTTTTGGTGCTGCTCATTCTAGCTGGTCAAGATTAGGTTCTCATCTAACACCTGGAAAAGGAAAGGCAACTGGCACTCACCTGCCTGACCAAAGTGAACAAAAGGAATAAATGTTCCCAACATGCTTGGTGCAGTAATGACAGAAAGATAATTCAAATTATATATATTCTTCACCATTTTAAGCAAGTATGGTTGTGTTGCTGTTCACTGTGAAGGTAAACCAGTGTCAAAATCATTTGTAGACAAATGCGAAGCAATCCACATATGCACTGTGATCAGCAAACACAGATTTGACACTTGAATGCTGAGCATTGCACATAGTTTATATACGTATGTTGAAACAGTGGTTTGAAAGGGTTAGATTTGAAAGTTAGACTGTGTTGGTTTGCAAATAGTGAAGAATGCTTTTGTAGAACTTTTAATTTGAAAAACAGCGACAAAGTATTGTCAAAATTCAGAAGACATGCAAAACAATCAACAAATAAAATATGACCCATATGCGCATTTTGCGTTCATTCAAATTCTGGTTTTCAGGTATAAGTCACTGATTTCTAGTTGTGGATCATGATGTGGTTGTTTGTGGATTTTTAATCTATTTGTGGATCATGTTTTATATTTGTGTATCATGACGAGTTTGTAGATTATGAATCTATTTGTGGATCGTGTTTTATATTTGTGGATCATGATGTGTTTGTTTGTGGATAAGTTTATGACTCATAGTCTGTACATTTACAATGATGTTGAGATAGATTTACCCCCACAGTTCTCACTCTATGTACCTTCGTCTCCACATACACTTGGGGATAAAAACAATGTGGGAGACATGCAGGCTTCCTTTACAGTTAGTCTGCAAGAGCCAAAGAAAGCAGTATTGACCACTTTCAGTGGATCCCAGACTTGCTATTGTGAATTTTGCACATACATTGCTTTTTTGTTCTGATTTTTATTTATTTACAATATGCTTTTATGAGTGTACTGCTGGTAAATGTATGATGCTATTCTGCTTAAAATATTTCCTACAACTGACCCTTGTGTAAGCCTTATTTAATTAGGCAAAAAGTAACAATTCATATTCATAGCAACCACTTGGTCGGGGCGAGTAGCTGCAAAGAAAGGAAGAGTTAAACACAATCATCCCAGAGCTTGCCTAATGTTTGTCCTGCTGCTGGGCAGCTCCAGGTGACTAGTTCTGGTTTCCTGTTAGTAATTAAAGGCTTGTCAGACATGTTTTTTTTGTTAATGGAAGAAATGCTTGTCCTGTCTAAACTTTGCTGTGATAATTAAAATACTGGGCTGCAACATCTGAACATTTGCATGTCTTGTTTTCAGAGTTGTTTCATTTGTGCATGTGTGTTATTTTTCTTCATCAGAAGGAACATTGTGTTGATTGTGTGGATGTAGCTAAACTGGACATTCTAATGAGTTCACTTGCCAAAGCCTAACCCTCTGTATCCATGGTAACTGGATCAAGTCTTTTTTATGGGTGTCCTCTAACGTCTGTGTGAAGCTATTTCTCGCTGTGCTCGCAACCATACAGACACACATGCATACACACACCATCCTTCATTTTACCATTTTACTTCGTCTTTTTTGCTCCCCTACTCCACTCCAACCACCCCTATTGTTTGTTATCCTGCAATTGCTGAATCTTTGTAAATAAATAAGAGTATGGTCTAGACCTGCTGTATATCATAGGTGCAATGAGGCGGTATATAAATAAATAAAATTTAATTGAAGTAAAGATCTCTCCGTCCTCTCTCAGTATGGCTGCTTCCAGTGTCTTTCTTATATATGTCCCCTGTCCCTCTTTTCTCAACTTTCTCTCATTCTCTGGTTTATATATAGAATGTACAGCACATTATATAAATATAAAATCTACACAGACTCATCTACGTTCATACCCAGAGATGCAGTACTAGGGTTAGCTGTGGCTCAGGAGGTAGAGAGGGTCGTCCACTAACGGTAGTGCGATTCTTGGCAGTCTGGATGTCATCCTATAAGTGTCCTGTACTGAACCCCAATACATTATACAATTTTGTCCATTCACCATAACTTTAATTGATCTTACAACAGGTTGACTGGTTGCATGCATGTGATTTTTTTTTTAGGCACGGTATGTAAACCCACTGTTGTCTTTTTTCTTATGCACACTCTCACACCTTTTCTGTCTTAAGACAGACTTTGTATAAAGTGAAGTTTATATACACCTAGTCCCTGGGTGTAAATGTGTCAAAGCCGGAGATAATCAATTGCATTATGTGGTGTGATGCCATTTACACAAATTACAGTCAGTTTACAATATGACACCAACATGACAGTGTCATGTGTTAGTACATTTGGTCCTTATATAGCCTACTGTACTTAAACAATGCCTTCTCCACAGGATCCGAATTTTACAGTCTTAGTTTGGCTCATCATGAGGGTTTGTGACATCAGGCATCATGTGATGTCAGCACAGTGTCACACTGTAGATTTTAATGATTAAGTCTAAAGAAAGAGCGACATTCTCACACACACTACGCTTCACACACACCCGCTATACTTTACAAATTATTTCATGTTTGGTCCTGCAAGTATCCTGCACATCTTCAGCTGATGACACCATGTGTGGATTGCCACACAGTTGTTCTTGTTCATTATTTATTTTACAATAAATAAAAAATAATTTAAATTAAAACTAATTTCACACATGTCCCTGTTTTTTTTTATTCATACAATGTGATGCCAAAGTACCCTAAATTGAACAAACCATTTTATAGCATCATTGTCACTGTACTACTTTAGAAAAGCTTCACAAATCACTGATCAAGAGACAGTGAAACAGCTTCCACGTGTTAGTTTCTACTGAGAAATGTGTGTGTGTGTGTGTGTGTGTGTGTGTGTGTGTTTCCTCAGGCTGATCCAGGACTCCCAGGTTCTCATTAGGAAACCACATGACTATGTGGATTATTCTCTGCCTGAGGGATTAGATTTGGTCGTTTGCTCTTGGCTCATGTTAAGACATCACCAACAACAACCCATCAAATTATCCAAACATGCTATATAACTACTTTTCTGAAGAATTTTGTCATCTGAAATTCATCAAGTAATATATAAAGGTCTGATTTAAATTATGCACATGTTTTAAGAAACAAGCTCCTGACTCCTGACATCAATCATTTTCTTAGTGTTGATAAAGTGTTGTGAGTGGGTGTTATTGTTTCAGAATTTAAATTACATATCAAAAGATCTAATTAAAAAATAACACAATAAAATTAAATAAATGAAAGTTTGTCTGTTAACTCTTCCTATGGCAACAGCTGGCACAGACCTAACTATTCATTACTGGGACTATGAGCCCAGCATATTGTGCTGGCTGTAGTTCTCAGGCTCTGCCAGAGAACCACCCACAGAAAACACCCACATATTCTCTCAGAGAGAAAGAGCGAGAGAGATGGGAAGAAGCAGGTAATAAAGGAAGAAAATGAGATAGGAGAAAAGTGATGCTTAAATCTTGCAGTAACAAAAGGTTACAGACAGCTCATCAAGAGTGCATGCAGATAAACAGAAGCAGACACACCAAACAGGTCACATTCAACTGCCTTTGAAATATTTTCCAGACATAATTCACACCCATTATAACTGATAATTCTGTTAAATCACAAATCATTCAGCCAGCTTATTCATAAGCAGACCAACACATTCTTTTGAAAAGTTACATAATTCAACCACAAGAACTGAAGATGATTTGATTTGATCAAGCATCTTTCGCTATGCTCTTGACTGCAGTAATTGTTCATGTGGTGCCATCTGTTGGCAGATTAGTAACACCGCAGGCATTTTATTCACTTCAGGGCAATTTGAAAATTCATAGATTAAGTTGTGGATGCTGAGTGATTGGAAACTACCAACCCTTTTTCATTTCTATTGGTGTTCATTTTCTAACCTCTACTTTATTTAAAATTATACTAACTGAACTTCCATGGCCTAATAAGGCCTTACTGCATGTCTCCAAAGATGTCTAATTTCCAAAGAAAAAACACAAACATTAACATTGTTGGATGCACACACACACGCACGCGCGTGCGCATACACACACACACACACACACACACGCACACACCTTAGTGTTAAAGTGAAGTGCAGCCACATGAGAAACTAATGACCTCTATTAGGGTGACTTTCTCATCTTTAAGCCCTGGGACCTCAGCAACTCTTGGTTCTCACTCCCTAGTGCCAGAATCTATTAGGCCATGCTGATCTTCCCTTATTTCTCTCTTTTATGATAAGGGCACAAATGGTGAGAATAGTGAGCCAGTAAGAATTATTAACATTATTGTTATTTCCAGATCTTTGTATAGTTTTGTAATCATCCGAAGTGCATTACAAAATGTTTGCTCACATATAAGAAATATGAGAGATTAAATAACAGTTTCCGCTAATTAAAATAGCCCACAGAGAGAGAAAGGACAAGTGAAGAAAGAGAAACTCACAAATTAAATTAAAAGTAACAGAGAGCAGACTAAGTGGGAGAGAGCAATTGAGATTCAGAAGGGAGAAACATGAAAGACTAAGTGCATTTTTAAATCATTAATATATCTGTCCAGACTGAAAGATGAGCCCTCTGAAGACCTCATGAGTTCTGCTATTCGTCACTCAAACTGAACACTGACAGATTTTACAACTCATTTACCACTAATGATTTTTCAATAACGCTGCATTTTACTGACAATCATCTTCATAAGTTGAGGCTGAAAACAAGCATCTTTTACTGTTTGGAGAAATTTCTTTTTAATGTTGATTGGTTCCGTTTCACTTTTGCTTTAAAAAATACAGGAATCCACCTGGACATTATCATAGAAAGATACAGTGATTTATATGCATTAAAAATAAAGTAACACAGTAGACAGGAATTTGTGCAGCATATACTGTAGTACACATCTTTTCAGCTCTAGGTCTACTGACTGTACATGCACCCATCACTAGAGGGCAATAAGCACCAGAGTTATCATGCATTAGCCGGAAGTTGGCTTGGTGGGAGAAAAAAAACTCAATTCTTATGTTCATTAACCATATTACTAGATGTCTATATTCATTCCAACCTCAAAAAAACAATGAGGTTACTCAGCATATTGTCATAAAATCAGTGCATAACTGATATAAACCTAAAACTATATGCACATATAGTGAAACCTGATCCTGAGTAACCAAGGTTATAAGTTGCAAAGCTGGTTTTCTGTGAAGTGTCCTGAGTGTCAAATATTTACTATAAATTGGGGGACAATAGGTGAAAGGCTACAGGTGAAAGTCAAAAGAAAAGCTACAGAAAATTGAGTAATGAATTGGATGCACAAAACAAATATCAATAATTGCTCTGTTGACTGTCCAGACATAAAAGAAAAACATAAATCTGCTTGTACCACATTGTTCCCTAGACCTATTTCCATCTAATGAAAATAAAAAAGTCCAATGCCGCAATACAGAGCAGAAAAAAAATGATAGTGAGGCAGCTTTTCTGCTAAAAGTGTACTTTGTTCATATATAAATGCTTCACTTTAAAACATATGAAGGCAAATAGTGTGCAGCCTAAAAGAGCTGTGTCACTGTGGTCAGGCAACCACAATGACAGGCTTAAATATGACAGGCAGACATAGGACCAGAAGGTAAACATGGCACACCATGTCAAGTCTATTTGCTCAGTTGTCTTGTTTTTGGTGCAAAATGCTGTTTTGTGTTGCACTCTCTGTAGAAAGGGCAAGACCAACACTGTCTGCAAGAGGTATTATGAGCTGTATTTTCCTATTAACACCTGAGAACCTTAGCGTACCAACTGTATCAAAATGTTTTCTTATACAATAAAAGTACACATATAAAGTATATGGATGAGTGTGTTATCCTGAGGTAATCAAGCAGTGAAGCACATTACAAATATGGAGACCACTGTTCCCTTTGATTTATGATTAAAGGTGTGATTGTCTCAGTGCTGATTTCTTTACATTCTCAACATTGATTAGCAAGCAGGCACATTTAACAAGAAAACAAACTGTAAATAGCTAGTTGGACAAATTCACTACAGACGGTCATCAAATACTTAGAATTGGTGTAAAAGTAAAATGAATGATTTTTGACCCCTGGAATGCTTTCCTGGCCTCTCAATATAAGTCTTAAAGTTTTAAATTGAAAAGGTTTAAACTGGTGCTGATTACAGCCTTCCCATTCCCATGTATCGTCATATCATGATGAGATCATAAGTAAGCCACTGCTTTATTTTTTGTCCTGTACTCAGACCACAGTCTATGGTAATGTCCTCAGATACAATATGATAAAAGGTATGATACAAACCTTTGGTTTAATAACCAGTTTGACATCATGGCAACCTCTGGCTCTACAATCCTATGAGTTTCGTACAAAGTTGAAATGTGTGTGCTGAGTGTGCATCTAAAGCGAATGTTGATCGTCTTCTGTGATTGTATCACTTCTGGAGCTGGACGAAGCCTCCTCACCCACCATATACTTATCAAGGTCCACAGAACAGGCCGAGAATGAAGCCCGAAGCTGGAGTGGCAACCCAGGTTGTGAAAGGAGCGTGTCTATGTAAGGAAAGAAAGAGGACAGAGGGCAGTCTGTTGTGGTGTATTTGGCTAACACCTGGAGCTGCTCTGGCTGTAGGTTGGCTTCAGTGCAGACCCTTTGGCATAAGGTGGAGACACTCTCACATGTTTTCTCTTTCAGCTGGTTCAGCTGGCTCTTCTCCATGATCAGTTTTTCTCTCTCTGTCTTCTGCGACATACACATGCAGCACACACAATCTGATTAACATGTCTGCAAACCAGATGTGGCTTCATAACAATGTACAGATTTAAAGAAAAAAAAAAAACGTGTTTATTACCAGCTTGTTGATTTCGCACTGCAGATTATAGATGCAGTCTAGTTTCCTCTTGCGGCACCGCTGAGCTGCGAGGCGGTTTTTGCTGCGCCGTCTCATATCATGGACTAATTCCAGCTGTTCATGAGTGAACACCTGTTGCTTCAGCAGCTGTTGGAAGTCATTTCTGCTTAGATCCACAATCCAGTCTACAGAGAATGGCAACTGAACCTGAGGACACCGAACAGGAAATTGTAGTTTTGCAAAAGAGTATCTACATCAATAAAAGAGCACACTTAATGACAGATTAAGTCACTGCTTTTTATATAGATATTTTTGTATGATGTCACGCTGTAGATGACATGGGCCTGTGTGTCTTTTATGTATGTATGTTTTGTTGAATCACTTTAGTGAGAATGAATGCACTCAGATAACCTGCAAGTACAATACACATACAGCACACCTGCTTTAAAGCAGCAGTCTTGTTAAGATAGCTTTGATTTGCTTGTCTGGACATCATAAGAAATACTCATAACTCATTAAATGATCACTATCAACATGTTTTTAACTAGTCTGAAAAATGTTTAACTAATCATGTGACATCATTCGGTTAATCAAAATACCAAGTATGAAGTTTCAAAAAATGTGGTATGCAGCTTGCTGTACATGGACAGAAAGAACAAAGTTAGGCAAAAGTCTAAACAGATATGTAGTTAAGTAAATAAGTTATATTTTTACCAAGATGTTAATTATTAACTTTTAAAAGCAGAGGTCAGGTACTGGGTTACTGCTGCTCCTAAGTGTGATGGGAAATACACTCACTAGTTTAATAGAGCAATTCAAATATTGTTGTGGTGTATCTAACGTAAATAAAAGCATTGTTTGTCCTCCGAAAGGACTTTAGTTTTGCCTACACACTGTTCATATTTTCAGTCTGGACAGTGGCATGAGACGTTCCTCAAACCTGTTGTTTGTGTCGCCTGTAGTCATTGGTAACTCAAAAGGCTGAGCTGTCAGTTTCAGCTGAATTGGACTCTGAACTGAAGACACATCCACACAGTCACAACACACACACAAGTGCGCGCGCACACACACGTCATCTCTACTTGTAATATACCTAAACTTTTATCTAAAACAAACATAGAGAAATAATCCACAGGAAGCAGCTGGGCAAATGTATAAAAGAACAGAGGGCAGCTGTAGAGCCGTAGCAGACTTGATTCACAGTTTAACTGCTCACCTGTCTGGCCCTCTCTCTTGTGTAGGACTCACTGTCTCCTTCTGTTTCTGTCTCTGAGTCTCCTTCGTCCCCCGAGTTGAGGGATGACACACCCGACTGAGATGCCCCCTCGCACTCAGACAACTCAGCCCCCTTCCATAAACATCTGCTTCGGTCCAGATCCTGGAAAAAGGGACAGCTGTTGCTTGGTGAGCTGAGGTTGACGTGGAGCTTCAGCCACTCTAAAGATGTGCTCTGTGCCTGTCCGTTCCCTGTATCAGAGGAACTTCTCGCATCAGGGTCCTGGAAGTTCACCTGAGACAAGCCCACGTCGGACACCTCCCTTTGTACGGTGTTCCTGTCTCTGGTATTATTTACTGACAGGGCTCTCTCCATGCTGCCTGTTTGTCCTCCTTTTCCTCTTTCTTGCCGGCCAGAATCTATCTCATCATCTGCTCTTTTCTGCTCAGCTTCTACCTGCTCCTCTGCCTTTTGAGGAATAGATAGTACAGAGTCCCTTGTTTTCTTGTCCTCTGTAATGTAAGTGATTGCAGGGCCCTCACCAAAGGTCTTCTGGGGGCAGTGGGGTAACATTAACTCTGCTGATCTCTCACCCAGCACTGTGCTTGGCCCTGAGGGGACTGCCTTGGCACTGGATCTGTCTGAAAAGCTGATGTCTTCCATGTCCATATTTCTTTTCTTTTCAATCCATTTCTCCTGCCTTTCATTTGTTTTGTTTTTAACCATAACAACCTCCCCTCGGCCCAATCCAGACTCTGTTTTCGTGTCATGTATTCCAGTTTTCCATGGGTCATCAGCCCCTCCTTTGCTCTCTCTGGAGGAATTTGAGGTTGAATTTCCAGGGACTTCAACCTCAGGTTCATTCTTACTGTTCGCATTGCTGTAGTGGGGCGAGCACGAGAGGTCACAGATATCCCTGACTACTGTTACTGGACTGGACAGACTTTTCTCTGTGACACAAGTTTTCTTACCGCAAGCCAGCTGCCTGCGATACTTTGGACACAGTATTAAATTGTCATTTGTCACTTCAGCTACAGGTGTAAGAGTACCTGCACTGTTCTGACTTCCCATTTTGTTGTTCACTGATTTGTTACAGGGCAAAGCCGCTTCCTGTTGAGGTGGTGAGTCAGCAACTGGTTTTACTTCTTTCTCATCCAGCAATACATTGTCAGAGTTTACGCCACGGTCTACCTTTGATAATCGCCTCTTACATTTCCTCTTACAGCAGGTCTTTCTCAGAAAAGTGGCACAGCCATTGCTGCTGGAGAAGAACTTAGGGAGGAGGAAATCAAAGCATGCCTCATCCAGGTCTCTGAAGCCAAGGATGGTAGCTGAATTGCGTATTTCTAAGACGTCTTCTTTCCCGAAAAGAAGTTTGGATGTGTAGGCAAACTTCAACAAGGGTTCAAAGCCAGCAACTGTCACCTGCAAAAGAAGACAAATGGTGTGAATGAGCACTTTCTATCCTCTAGTTTGTCTCAAGGATAGCAATCGGTAATTCTAAAATAATATTGTCCTTATTTGTTAGGACTGTTGTTGTTTCAGGACTCTTCTTAAAGCCCCACCGGAGTCCCCTTTTGGGATTATATTTTGTTCTATTTGGATGTTTCCTCTAGTAACAGATTGGAAACCATTAAGAACCACAAACATTTTAATGTTGATATGCACAAACTACAGTACATTTATAGTTATTCTACACTGTGCTTAAAAGGCAAACTGTAGTCACACATTGTGTGTTTCAATGTGACAGGTCATAACAAGATTTTTGACTAAATAGCATTACAAATTAAACAATTAGATAAATCCCATACAGTCAGCCTACCGTACCATCAACGCTTGTTTGAGGAAGTAAACATTTCAGTAATTTTCTCTCTTCACTTTTATACAGTGTTTTGGTGAGGCAGCAGGGCTTCTGTGTATCTACTTTCTATCGGTCATGAGGCGACGCCTCACCTCTTGTGGTAGAGTGAGGACCGCTCCATGCTGTGTGAGGGAGGAGATCCTTTGTGTGAAGTACTCGCTACAGGAAGCGAGTACTGAGCGGTGGGCTCTGAAACTCTGACCTTCCACCACCACCGTAACATCACACAACGTTTCCCGGCGACGTTGCTCGTCCAGGCACCGCAGCACATGGGAGGAATGCACTGTAGACTCAAATGTAAACACAGACGACCGGGGGGCAGGCATGTCCATCAGGGAGCCCTAAATGTACACACAGACAAACACAAACTCTTATAGTGAACCATATCCCCTTGTATCAGAATACATGCTGAAAAAGTTATACATTCAAATAACAACAAAAAAATGCCTACCTTTCACAGCTGATTTTATATATCCAGGTTTCTTAGAGCATTAAAGACAGTCCCAGGTGTTGAGCACACATGGTTATTTCTAAATGGAATGCTGTCCAACCAGGCTACGTTTCCCAGAAAGCCTTATCTCAACTTGGCTACAAACTAAAAACTGAGCTTGACTCAGTCTTATGGCCTGTGTGTGAATATGTAAGAGGGAGGAAGAGATAGGGGGAGTGTGTGTGTGTGTGTCGCAACAACTCTGGGTGTAACAGACCAAAACGCTGACTCATGCACTCCTGCTGATATAGAATGAGCAAGCAGATTTTCCCGTCTATACCAATCCCACCCTTGGATCTGTCTGGTAAACTAACAGGCTTTTCCCAGAAAATCCCTTTATAGATTTAGCCAGAACAAAATTCAGAGATTAAGGCGAAGGTTGGAAATATAAACCCAGTGTTTAAACAGGATATAGTCTATTGTCTGTGTCTTTAGGTTTAGAGTTGTCTGGACTTACTGTACTAATTGACGATACAGTGCATTTTAAGAACAAGTTGTGTAAAAACAAATGAAACTGACCTGTTGCAAGAAGAGGTAGGCTACTGTGTCAATCTAAAGCTCGCAATGTCTTGGTTGTCTCATATCTTGTAGTTTTTCCAAGTAGCAGTAAATCAAATCTGTCTGCCAGCTCAGTTCAAGTCTTCTTTGTTGTGTGTTTGCGTTTGTGCATGTGATTGTGTGTGCTTGGCTATGTCAGGGAGAGAGAGAGAAAGAGAGAGAGAGAGAGAGAGAGAGAGAGAGAGAGCTGAGACGAGCCCATGTCTGACGCCTCCCTTTGTACGGTGTTCCTGAGGTTGACGTGGAGCTTCAGCCACTCTAAAGATGTGCTCTGTGCCTGTCCGTTCCCTGTATCAGAGGAACTTCTCGCATCAGGGTCCTGGAAGTTCACCTGAGACAAGCCCACGTCGGACACCTCCCTTTGTACGGTGTTCCTGTCTCTGGTATTATTTACTGACAGGGCTCTCTCCATGCTGCCTGTTTGTCCTCCTTTTCCTCTTTCTTGCCGACCCAAATCTATCTCATCATCTGCTCTTTTCTGCTCAGCTTCTACCTGCTCCTCTGCCTTTTGAGGAATAGATAGTACAGAGTCCCTTGTTTTCTTGTCCTCTGTAATGTAAGTGATTGCAGGGCCCTCACCAAAGGTCTTCAGGGGACAGTGGGGTAACATTAACCCTGTTAACCCTGCTCTCACCCAGCACTGTGCTTGGCCCTGAGGGGACTGCCTTGGCACTGGATCTGTCTGAAAAGCTGATGTCTTCCATGTCCATATTTCTTTTCTTTTCAATCCATTTCTCCTGCCTTTCAGTTATTATTTTAACCATAACAACTGGTTGTCTCATATCTTGTTGTTTTTCCAAGTAGCAGAAAATCTGTCTGTCAGCTCAGTTCAAGTCTTCTTTGTTGTGTGTTTTGCATTTGTGCATGTGATTGTGTGTGCAGCTATGTCAGGGAGAGAGAGAAAGAGAGAGAGAGAGAGAGAGAGAGAGAATACCTTGCAGGCAGAGGTACAATAAGGAAATAGCTGTAAAAAATTAGCAACACAACAATTGTCCTCATATGAATTTTAAATTTTATATATTTTTGTGGCCTTTGACTTGCCAGCAGATGTTATTGGCCATGTTAATACTTGTGATAGGATGACTATAGATGTGCATGGATACTGCCAGAAAAATAATGTAATGATATACAAGTGAGTTTTATATAGATAAAGCAGACCTTTAACAAGAGTTAAATAATCATCACTACAAAGCAGTATTGCCAATGTCACATGGTTTGAAGGAGGAAGAGGGAAGCCTGCCAGAGCCAAACTGGCCAATCAGGTGACTATTTCATAATTCCAGAATGAGCAAATCCCCTCATGAAAAAAAAAAAAAATCTAGTTCCTTTTTCCATGTAAGCCCTGCAATATGGTCAAAAAGCACACAACGAACACAGCAGCACCGGCTTGGAGAAATGAAACTAAGGAACTGATGCTGGTGTTAAAATGAATTGCATTTTATTAACGACAAGGACGATAAGCAACAATTCATCTTGTTGTATACTTCCCCTTCAACAGATAGGTGAGACACGCTACATCAAAAAATGTACAAGTCTTCAGTTTTGTGCCGCAGAAGATACTTTTTTTTATGTGATATGGATAGTCACCCTTCTTCTTTTGCTGTTCCTCAAGAATAGCTCTAATTCCCCTGATCCCTGACATTGTGTTAAACACTCCTCTCATTTCCTTTTTATCATAACAGGAACTTGACGGGCAAGTGATGGGGTGGGAGAGTGAGAGAAATATAACATTTGGACCACATCATACCACATTTGGCTCCCTCCACAGACCTCAGGTAAAATATCTGAGTCTCCACAGGACCTGAGACAGATATCAGAATATCTGGACACATTCACAGCAGCTGACCTTGTATAAATATACCGTGAGGTATTGCAGTAGTGACCAGGAAGGTTCTGCAAGATAACATAATAAAACAGTACAGAGAAAGGTGGTCTTGTGTCGTAGCTTGGTAGAATCACTATAGCAACTTCACACTGATGATGACAGAACGTCTGTGGCTCAAACAAATGACTCAGACATGAGTAAACACGGAGCCTTTCTGTGTAATTAGCTGATTCACTGACTGTTGTTGTGTAGAATGAGCACTAGCTGAGCCTTTATTTCTGTGTTGTATCCTGGCGTCAGCTGGATGTTTGGGGTCTCAGGTTCGGCGGATGTCAGGGGTCACGACGAGGAGTCCTGCCTCGTTCGATTGGTCAAGCAGAGGCTCTCCAGCTGCTGAGCGCGCTCATTGTGGACAGTCACCAAGGTGCGGTTCTCCTCTGTTAGGCGCAGAAACTCCTCCTCAAGACGGACGATCTCAATGGCAACCTTCTCATCCTCTACCAACTCTGCCAGCAACTTACGCCTAAATAGATGAGTGAGATAAAGATTTTAGCAGCAGGTTTTACATGATGTACCCATAACAGATCCCCGTTTCAGAGAAAGGTCAGCAGATGATCAGGCACAATTACACAATGAGCAATTTTTATGGAAAGTGGTGGCCCAAAGGTTTGTTAGAGAAATGACCTTGTGACCGGGAGGTCGCCGGTTCAATCCCCGGACCGGCAGGATCAAATCTGGGTGTGGAAAGCAGTTCTTGCCCTCCCTCATTTACTACCACTGAGGTGCCCTTGAGCAAGGCCCATAACCCCAACTGCTCCAGTAGAGCTGCTCAGTGGCCAGCAGACCTGTGGTTGTATTGGGCAGCTTCCAGGTGTGAATGTGTAACAGTATGATCAGGGCCTTCCTGCAAATTAGAGGTTGTTCTCAGTGAAGCTCCCTGAATAATAATAAAAAAATTATTCTCCAGCTATCTTGTTTCTGGAAGGAAAGGAAGGAGACCAGAGAAACCAAAGTAACTATAAAAACAATGCAAACTTACAGGAAGGGCTGAGCATGGGAAAAAACATTGATCCTTTTGGGAAACAAAGCCAGCTACCACGGAAATAAGACACTTTGTGGGCCGTGTCCAAATAAAGTGTAATATGGGTGATGCTTTTTTGTTCCTTACATATAAGGAAAGATGATGTGTTGATGTTTGGTACAAACCTAACTTACTAACATATTGGATAATGAAAAACAGCTACAGTGTAGATCTGCAGAAGGTTACATTTAAATACATTACCATCAGATATAGAGATATGCAGGTTTAATGGTCTTTTTGAAGAGAAAATACTTTCTGATTTAGATGAGATTGAAGATGAAATGCATTTTATGTTTTATTTGCCATGATGATTTAAATAGAGCTGCAGCACACATAGTGACATGTAATCCGCCCACTGCCTGACCTCACCCCTGTGGTTTTACGTGTTTTTTTATTAAACCACGTAAATCTATTCTGGAATGACCCCTTAATAAAATTATGAACCTGAATATGAGCATAATATGACCACTTTAAGGGCTACAAATCTTAATACAATGACCTTCATTTCTTTTGAGTTCTTCAGGAGAGATAGACCTTAAGTTGCAGTTGTGGAATTTTTTTTTTTGTGTAGAATTTTATTGAGTTTCACGGAAAGACAAATTGCTTTGTTTACAATGTAATGTTACACATATATCAGAAGTTATGTTCTTGTCTGACAAATGTTTCTCTATTCCAACAGTATTTTTGGAGTATTGTCTGTCACTGTGGGGTGGGCGCTAACTAACAAACTAACAACATTTTTCCCAATAAAGCCAAACCAAATTGAATGACTATAGCTCTGGTTTAGGCAGCAAACAGTGATTTCACACTCTGGGAAGAGATCGGCCTTTGGACTTGTAAAGACAGTGTGTACATATGTGCACACACGTATGTGTACAATGTGTGTCATAGCCTCACACCTGAGATTGTGTGACTGTTGTATTACAACCAGGAAGTGCCAAGTCACATAACAGCAGTATTAACAAACAAGAAAAGGAGTCTCTATTCTACAATCCAGGCCGTCTGTAGAGCTTTAGTGACATAACTATGACGATATGGGAGTTTTCTTAACTGGGGGATGCAATGTTAAGTGATTTAAAGGTATTCATTTCTTTTCCCTAAGAAATTTAAGCCCAACTCACATACACATGTGATAGGTTGACCCTAGTTGTTTTTTAAGCTATGTATAAAAGCACAACTGATTGACACAAATATGAGGATAGGGTTCGTCCCGACCAGTGTATTCAAGGGTTTTGAATTTTATTATTGAAGCAAATAATTTGTTTGCATACGGATCACAAATAAACCCTTTGAATCTTATCTAAACACATTTACTAACTATTACTTTTAAATCCTCTTGTCCTAATACCTATGAAACCAGTTTCAGTTGATTCACTTTCTGAAAGAACAGTAGTAGGAAACGATAATTAAAAAAAGACTGTTTGGTGGAAACTATCTACACAGCCACAATCTTACAAATGGATTGTGGCTGTGTAGATAGTTTCCCTTACACTGGTAATTCCATCTGAGTTGGTAAGCAGAACTCTCTTTATGATTTTTCATACATATGACACACACACAAACGCACTAAACACAATGAGTAGGCATGTGGTTACTGTAATATATGATTTTGCAATCATACATGATTAAACTGTTTTTTGGGTTAAATAAATGTAATTAAACTACAGGTTTTTGGACCGTGAGTTTTCAACTATACAAGTTGATTTACAGTAAAAGATGTGTGATTCTGCTGAATGTTTTTTTCTTTATTAGAAGCAAGTTGAAACAGGCATGCATAAGTGCATGTGGGCATGTGCGTGTGCGTGTGTGCATTGTTTGTGTGACAGAGAGAGCCTAGAAAAGGGGAAGAGATCTTTTTCAGTGAAAATAATTCACCCAGAAACCAGAGAGTGCAGACCAAATCTGTACATACTGTGTACAGAACACACTTTTCTTATTCAACTAAAGGTTAAATATTATCACATTTGTTCCTTTTGTCTTTTCTGGGGAACACAATTTTGTGAAGAACTGAAAAAACTAGAATGTAAAGAAGACAACATTTCAGACACTGGCCAATTTGAAAGATATTTTCAGATATTACACAAACTCAAATTGCTTATCCTGTGTACCAAAACCAATTAAAAACTTCCAATATGGACATGAATGTTTTAAAGAAAAGCCATGTTTTTACAATTATTTCACAATGGGGCTATTTCTTGTGTAATCTTATTGTATCATAGTGATACCAGTAATAGACTTAACTACATTAGGCACAGTGTCAATGTCTGAGTCAATGTTGTGTCTGTACACACTGAGGAAGGTTTTTCCGACTTTGGAAAAATCAACATTTTTTGTTGACGTTATGTTAGTGGAATACGATTCGGTTCACCGGCATTACAGGACTGCTTGAACTGACTGATTCTATATAAACTGGATCATTAAAGTTCAGAGTTAAAGTTCACAAAACAAATGAGTGCTCCAGGAGGTACTTGTTTGACACTGACAAAAAGCAGACTGAGTGAATTTTGGAAAATCCCTCTGCATTGTGTTGTTCCTGTTGTCATACTTGCAACACTTCATTGTACATCTGAAACTCTCTGTCTGTGTGTAATCTTTCCAGTATGGGAAGTAACTAAATGTTCATTGTATCATGCATGAAATGGCTAAAAATGTTCACTCTTCCAACGAAATATATTCAATGTTCTAATGAAAAGTATTAGTATCAGTGATACCTTAAATAGTATTTTTAAAAGAAAAAGCACAATTTGTGGTATTGCCTTCTAACTGTGTGTCATTCTATTATAAGTGTGCATCTGAGTTTGTGTGTGTACGTGTCAGTGGATGTTGGCATGAGTTACCGTGTGAAAAAAGAGAACCAAGAGTTTCTACCGGACTGACTCATCATGTTCTTATCTAAACTCAAGGCTATACTCATCCCATCAGAGTCTGCCTGCTGTTCCCTATTTCAGAATGGCCAAGTGGTGTAGGTTGAGTATGTGTGCCTGAGTGTGAGTAGGTTTGGTGGTAGGGTAATGGCAAGGGCCTTGAAAATCCCTCTGCTAAGACTACCCACAGCTGCTGAGGGCACAGGGGACAGTGTGTGTTTGGTGTGTGTGTGTGTGTACACCCCGCTTCTGTGTAGGCATATAGAGTACATATGTGCATGACAACATACGGCAGGTCTCACTCAATTACACCTGACAAAGTTTGCCGTTAGGGTGGTATTCACCCCAGTAATGGTGCTACTGTACTAAATGTGATCAAGAATCAAACCCACTGTACAGTATAACCTTCACATCCACACTCATTACACATGCTTGATCTTGTTTCTAATTTAGTAGTAGTTACAATATATATAATGTTTTTTTTATTATATTATTATATTGTTCAATCTTAAGGAAACCATCTTAAGGAAACTGTCAGTAGATCAGTTCTGAATACTGGAAGCTAATAACATGTGCCATCTAGTGGTCATGTTGATCAAAACTGCCTTGCAGTCCTACAATTACTTGCAAAGGTGGCTTTAGTGCGAATATTCTTGTCCAAACATGCACCCATTTTAGAATAAATTATTATTATTATAACAAATTGTCATTTGTTCTCCTTGAAACAATGTTACTTAATAGTGTACCAGTAAGGTGGTGTCCTCTGTGACTTACATGCCATCTCTAGCCAAAAAGACTACATACAAAGCTACCAGTGTATACAGTAAGACTAGATTTGTGACCCCTGACGTGATAAGAACACATGAACGTCTGATCTGGAGTCAGATGTGCTACCATTGTACTACAAGATCTGCAATTTTGTTGTGTTTTTTTAATGAAAAAGTATGTAAAGGGACTCACTTGCGATCCTCAAGCACGGCAATCTCATGTTTGACCTGGTTGAACTCTCTCGCCATCCTGCAGTGTTCCTTGTACACCTGAACACTCTCTCTCAGAGACACACAAGGGGGCACTGGCTGCAAGAGGCCAGAGAGAGATATGTGACATCACAGAGATGCAGTTTTAAATTATTAAAAATTTTATATTATAAAACTGATTATATCACACAAGCAGCATTATGTACAAACCTGGATGTGTTTTTCGGACAGCACTTTGAGGCTTTAAAATGCTTCCAAGCTAATTTTTTTCTGACATTGTTTCTAATTTCAATTTAAGCTAAAAGGCTGCTAAAGAGCTAATTCCTTTAGTGATCCGTTGACCTTTCCCACAGTGCCACAGTAGCAAAATGTCAAAATTTGCTGCAGATGATTTGCCTCCATATCAGTTGTATAAATGCTTTATTTCACACAGTGGAAGGCCTTTCAGTGGAAAACTATGTGGTGTCATGGTAGGGCATCTGACACTAGATCAGTTGATTCCACTTTTTTAATCATGTCAAGGTTACTAATAAATAAAAGTCTCAATGAGAAAATAGTTAAATGGGAATGAAACAGAAATCTGTTAACCTCTGTTGGCTTGTCGTACAGTGTATGGAAGCTATCACTCATTGGCCTGCTACAACTGTTCTCATTTGATACTCTGAACCAACATGCACTTTATGTGATGCTGGCACTCGTTGAAGGATAATTCAATGACAACACTAATAGCAGTGTGAGCACACAGTTAAAAACACTGGTTTACAATGTTGATACACGAAACCCAAGCTTCTCCTAATGTAGAGATTGATTCTCTTACCTAAACAGAACAGTGCTTAAGAGGAAAAGTCCACAAATACACACACTTCTAATATGATCAGCCTGTAAGGTCCAAATCATTTGATGACTTTGAAGATTCTCAGTCATTCTGGTCATAGTTTGCCAAAGAAGGTTACAGTCAAGGGCAACTGGATCTAGTTGAAGATACTTGAAATTGTTCCAAGGGGCTTCTTCAGTTCTGACTGACTGGCAGGGAATTCCAGCTGTTTAACCTCTGTGGGGTTGTTTTCAAGGTGATGGATACAGCTTGATTCATTAATGCTCCTGGTTGTTGTAACAATGGTCATTGTGGTGGTTGGGGTCACATGAGGCCAAGTCTGGATGACCGTTGTTGACATCGTCACATGAGGGCAAATGTAAGCATTTGTTCACTCTCCTGGGAAGAGATGAAAGAACAACATTGTAAGTTGTGTCTTAGCCCTCCTCCTCTGTTTAGCGATGGTCTCTCTGTTTTGGTGTAAATGTCCTCTTTCGAACCATCTGTCGTCCCGGTCCAAAATATGAACATTGTTGTCGTCGAAAGAGTGTCCCTTGTCCTTCAGATGTAGGTAATGGCCAGACTTGGCCTCGCGTGAGTCAAACGACCATAATGACAACAGTTACAATAGCCAGGAGCACTAATGAGCCAAGTGGTATCCATCATCTTTAAAACGACCCCACAGAGATAAAATTTTCTGGAATTCTGAAGAAGCCCCTTGGATGAGAGCCGAAACGTCTTCAAGTATCTTCAACCAGTCCAGTTTCCCTTCACTTTAACCTTGTTTTGGTTCACATTATTCCAAGATTTGTTTTATAATGAGTTTAATTCTTGATCTACTCATTTTTGAGTTTTGAGTTTTTCATCCACTTTTTCTCTTTCCCAGCTATTTTTAGTGATTTCCAGAATTATGTTTCTGGCATTGCCTTCAGTTGTGAGTGGAGAAAGTGATAATGACAATAGCAATAGTAATATTAACAGAGCAAAATATGTTTTCAAAGTCAGAACACATTTTAAAGAGATTAATTTGGCATTGTTTGACAATCCATTGGCATAAGAAAAATACTGCATTTAGCCACAATGCTAATAGGTAGAATGCAGGGCAGGATTTTGGATTTTTCGTTTAAAAGGCATGAAATGCTATTCTTCACAAGCACGGTGAATTTCATTGAAAGTCATTGTCTTCTCTTCCATATTCTGCCTCTCCTCTCTGGTGCTGCTCTGCCAACAATACAAGGTGTGTGTTCGATGCAGTGTGATGCTACAGTGTGTACTGTATACCTGTAATCGCTGTTCAAGATCTGGGAAAGTCTGAGGGAGGTCCTCCGCATCTTTTACATCTATTGAAACAGAACACATTATTCAGTTACAGCTGACTATTGCAAAAATATCTAGAATGTCATTTATTGAAATTCAGTACAATGATCGTGCAATACGTCCTGTGACATATTAAAACACAAAATTACTACATTACAATTAACTACAAATTGCATATACTTTACTGCTGACCATTTTCCAAAGCATACTGTGTGTTTTCTGCAATGGTGGATAAGAAGTCCTGCGCTAAGAAAATGTTTAAGAAAAGTAAGAAAAGAAAAAAATGTGTAAGAAAAGTATCAGTTTTTGTGAAACTACTTAAGTGAAAGTACTTATTGTACAAAATGTTCACTTTCAGAGTGTTTATTTATTTTGTAATTATTATTGTTGTGTTAACATGTAAGGGGTATGTTAATGTTGTTGCTGGTCAAGGTGGGGCTAAGTATTTTAAATACTGCTGAGTATTCACAACCATCTTTTGGTAAGATGATCATTATTGTTTTGCATAAAATCTTAATGTGTAAAGCAACCAGTAATTATATCTGTAGTAAGTAAAAGTATAAAGCAGCAGAATATTGCAACCCTCCAGTAAAGTACCTCAAAACTGTACTTAAGTACGTTACTTTAGGAAATGTACTTAATTATTGTACTTTCCACTGCTGGTTTTTTGATTAATTTCCTTCCTTCCAGACAAACTTGATTTCCACTTATTTAAGTACTCCATCAGCCTGCAGAGACTTGAAACATTTGTGAGATCATGTGGTGACACCACTGTGAAACCAAGTGAAAAGACTTGCAGCCATTATCCATGTCCTTTGAAAAAAAAACAGGAAGACAAACAGCAAAAATGTATCCTTTTAACTGCTAGTGTTAAAGAACAATGTGAGGACATGTGCTGTGATTGATTACCTATCTTGCTTATTTTCATAGCATGCTAAATGAATGTCTGCCTGAACCATTCATATCCCATTTGAAAAGTAATCTTAACTTCATTTCTTAGTCAACATAGTGCATTATGTCTTCTGAGTTAAAATGTTTTTTTTCCATTAATATTGTTTGCAGTATGTACTTGATGTACAGCCAAGTGACTTGTCCTACAGGCAGTTGCTTTAATGCCTTTCTCCACCTCATAAAATGGCCTTAAATGAAACACTATAGGGGCCTCTTACATGACACCGCAACATAGCAACACAGTGCTTCACTTATAAATGAGCCATGTCCTCTTACTTTGCAGCAGTAATGAGCTGTCAGACTGAAAGACATGCAGGGTGAGAACACAGGGGGACAACTATGTGAGCAGACAGACAAACACAGTGGGCAGAAAGAACAGACAGACCAGATGTAGGGACAGAGAGGGATTCAGACAGGCAGACAGACAGACAGACAGACAAAAACAGACAGGTTGTCTGCACCAGCCTCTGCCTCGCCAGTAATGTCCCCCTGGAGTTGTGGAACACATGTGGAGAATCCTGGGATGATGCAACCTTCTAAAAGCAGGAGTATTAGTGGACCAGCCTGCAGCCATGGGGCCAATTATGATGTGGAATAAATACAGTTCTCATGCTTAGGATTGACACAGTGTGTGGGTTAAGCTATTCTTGGCATGAAGTCATGAGGGGCCTAGAGGATGATCCCCAGACAGAGCACAGGTCTCAGTCCCCCTGCTGAGAAACACAAGTTCAAAGAGGCAACAATATGATCGCCTAGCGAATATCCATTTTGAAGGTTAGGGCACACTGTGCCTGAACAACTCTGGAGCAACTAAAACAACTAAAACTAAAACAAGGCATGTAACCATGCTGTCAACTAGAGCAGGTGCTGTACAGCCACTGTGACCCTTAAGATTTATCAAAAAGTGAACCAGCCCACTTGACAAAAACTCATTGGAATATGGGGTGAAACTAAACTGAATGCACGCAAATTGATAATTGAGGTTGTTAAAGATGGAAGAAAAAGCAAGCTAGAAACAAGGTAATTCAGTTATAGGCATGTTGCCATGTGCGATTGACAAGCAGAATGTCATGGAGTTCAACAAAACTCTGCTCAGAGTCAGATTTGAGTGTGTGTCGTTCCTTCTACAGCCCTTCATCTCACTTGCTAAGAGAAAGACAAGGGGGATCAGAATCGGGTGGAGTAGGACTGGAAGTGTTAACTGCTTATAAATATAGGCCAGTGTTCTAAAAGCTGAACAGTGAATCAGGCAGCAGGACACTGTTAGTATTAGAGGGGAAATCTGACTCTGCCATTGCATAGCTGCAGCTGCTGTCCCAGTGCCTGGCCCCACTGCAGTAAAACATCCTGGCAGACAGTAGGCCTACCTAGTACCATAGGTAGGGTAGACCTTTAAATGTGTGTGTGTGTGTGTGTGTGTGTGTGTGTGTGGGAGCAACAAAGAGAATTGTGCATGTTTTAGATTTAAGATTAAAACATTAATTAACGCTACTCACAAAAAAGGTTGTGCAAGTGCTTGTGTGGGTGCATACATATGAGTTCTGCGAGTGCACAGCTGCGCACATTCACGCTGTGGTCCTACAGAAATAGAGGGAGCACCTGTCTCAGAAGTAAGAATGGACAGAATGAACACAGTTAAAGTGACGTGTGTGTGGGCATTTGTGTGTGAAGTGAACACATTGGTAGTGTGCGTGTGGATGGCTACAGTATGTGGGTGGGTGTGCGCAGTTTGTTAGTGCGCGTGTGTTTACCTGATGTGTCGTCGAGGCTGAAGGCGATTCTAACTTCAGATTTGTCGGGAGACACTCTTCTGGTTGAGGTGATCATTTATCCCTTCACGAGGCCACAGGCACAAAACAGAGCTGTTACCACAATCAAAAGGACCTCATGAAAGATGAGTGATGATGTAATATTGAAATGTCAATCATCTTAAAATAGACATTTCTTTTAAATAATCTATTGATAATTAAAAAGATCAAAGCTATCAAATATATTAAAACATTTCTTGCCTTTCTCTGTTTTATCTGACTGTTGCTTAGACAGAACAAACAATTTGAACATGCCATGTTAGGTTTGGGGAAAGTAGAGTTTTATTCCTACCTAGTACCTTGTGATTTCACCCAGAGAGAGAAACTAAATACGGAACTCAGCAGGTGATCAAACCACACAAGTATGGAGCCTCATGAACACAGAAACCGCCACCGGTTTCATCATGCATTTAGAGTTGCAGTGGGATTAAATAATTAGGGAGCTTTGAAAGACTGGCTCTGAGGTCTGGATTTTGCATGCCCCCCCTACAGTGTAGGTACAGGCTTTTTATATCAGGGCATTTGCCTGCTTTAACTCTGGTAAACCCTCTGTCTCAAACAGCATACCTAAATGACCTTCTACACCAGCAAATAAGCAGTATTTTTTATTAATGGCTCTCTCAGTTGTTGGAAAAGGGTTGAAAGTTCAACTTTAGATGTTGTAATGATGAATTAAAACATGCGTTCTGGCATTGACACTGGCAGTATTAGTACATGAAATAGTATAACAGTGCTCATTTTGTAGGCATATAATCCACTTTATTATGGAGACTAGTAAACCCTATACATATGGACTATCTCCAGCATGCAATGGGTAGCTGAAAATGGCCAACAGGTCATTGTTACCTGAAGCAGCACAAACCCGACCCTGGAAATTTCGTATAATAAAGTTTAAAGCAGTGAATGTCCTCAATAGTGATCTCTTCCCCGTCGGACCCCTGCTGAGGTCTCTTCAGAAGAAGTACAGGTCGTCTCTCAGCTGCTGCACCCCTGCGCAAATTCAGCAGATATGGCACAAGTACCTCTCCAAGAGTTGACGCCACTTCCCTCTTGAGACTCCAACTATTATTTTGAATTCAGAAGTTTTCCACCATAGTCAAGGCCTGCACTGCTCTGGTGTCAGTCAGAGGGACTCCAGCAACTCAAGTTTGCGTGGGCATGGACATGTTATCCACAGACTGCAGCCATGCGGCAAAGAGCAACACAACAGGGCACAGGCAGTGGAGGAATGCCGTCCGCTGTCCCCCTGTGGCGGCCTGGGCCCAATTAAATGTCTCAGATGACATGACTTTAGCCCGCAAAAATTCCCATTGCTCCAGCACTGCTTTGAGTGACACAGTCATGCCGGTGGGATGGTCTTTGGTTTTGCAATAGCAGTGCAATGAGGCAGTTGCTTAGAATGAACATATCATGCTATAATAGCTCTAGCTGAAGAAAATAGAGCATCCCAGTCTGTTTATCTTAAGGGGGGTTGTTTTGGGAAAAAACTACAGGGCGAGCCCACTTAAACACAGGTGTTATACTATTTATACTGAAAGGGAGGGGAGTTCTTACAGTATGTAGGCTACATCAAACATATGATTCAGGCTCCTAAACGTAGGCTTTTTAAAGGGACACACGTTTACACAAAGGGTCAGTTTTCTCATCATAAGGAGTCGCTATTCAGCCTGTGACAATAGCTGTATTGTCACTTTTGGCTCTGTGTACAGTTAATAACCCTGATGATGTCATCAGGCTGGGATTTAGACACAGTTACAAACTGTGGGTGTGGATGTCCGTGAGAGTGGGGTGGAGTTTGACAGATTGGGCCTTTAGCAGGTGGGAAGGGTCTTTTGAAAACACATTGAGTTGCATTATAGGAAGGGCAGGATTCTCTGGAACTTGACCCATTCTAGGGACTAAAATTGGGATATCTCTGCCTCTGTTGCTTCAACTTTCTATTGCATTCTTTTTTAAATCTTTCTCTCTCAAGTCCCATGGCTTTATGGAGGGGCAATAGCAAATTGCTAAATTATCCCTTATAGATAATAAAATATTTACCTGATTGTTTAAAAAAAAAATCACAGATAGACAATCCTTTTTACATCAGGATGACTCTCCTAGCTGTCCTGTGAAAACCACTTTTGTGATTTGGAATTTTTCAGATAAACTGAAGGGCCTTTCCCAAACTGTTTGCTACTCCCTCTCCCTACATACTTCCACTCCGTTTGCGCGGAGAGGTAGTGGGTGGTTAAACCCTCAAATGCCGAGTTAGCACCGATGCTGGCTTGTTGAAGGTGTGTAACACCCTTTGCTGCACGGTGGTGGACCTTTCTTTCAATTTGCGTTCCGTGGGACTTTGCCGGTTAACATGTGTTAACTACACTAACATCGTCACGTCACCATTTACAGGTTAACAACGTAGCCCATAAGATTTATATTGAAATGTTGTATTTGTGAATGTAACATTTTTTATATAGGCTAACTTAAAAAGGTTCAAATAGTCTTTCCTTTACAATGAATATCAATCTTTTCATAAAAGAATATAATATGAATTTTTCGTAAATATATAAAGTCATGTTCACAAAGGAATATTTGACACGAACACAAACACAAAATGAATGACAAATGCTTTCACTTTCGTTATTGCAAATAACCCACTTTTCCTCAACATCAATCCTAAATCTTAATACTACTATGGTTTATTTGATACACGTATTATAGCAGTGAGTGCAGCAGTAACGTCAGATCCTATTTATGCTGGGGAGAGAGGGTAGTTCGCCTGAAACTTGTCGCTGCATTTAAACGCGGGTTAGGGAGCTCGATTTGGCCTGGAGGGTGATTTTGACCAGAGTTCACTCCGTGTCGGGGTGGAAGTGGCGAGGGTCTAGTTTCGGGAAGGCCCTACGTGTTCCTTCCAGAGTTGAAGATTTGCCAACGGCTTCAACTAAATTAACCCATTGGATTATCTGAAAAATGCATTGTCACAAAGCTGAAAAGGGGCTGTTTTACTTTTCTCATAAAAAAAGTGGATGTTTTGGAAAAAACAAACATATTTACATATTTAATCTGAATTTGAAACTTGGGTGAAAATCTGGTCTGTCAGAGCTGACATAATTGTGTAAGACCAGAATTCATAAGAGGATTAAACATTATCATAATAATAATGATAAAATAAACTAAACCTTTAAGGACAAGTCTAAAATAAAAAAATACATCATAAATTAGGCCCTGTGGTTTTCTGACAGAATTACTTTTGGAGTACTATATTCTGTAGGCCATATCCATAAGGCCACTTTACCTGCACATCAGCAGATGAGCGCGTTTCCCCATTATTTACAGCCAGGCTTTCAGATGGTAGCAGAGAAACAGAGAGACTGAGTGAGAGAGAGATAAATGATGCTCTGCACCTCCAAGAGTCCTCCTCTTCCTCGTTTGTCTTCATTGGCAGGCTGTTGACACAGAACAGCCTTATCAGCCCCAGAGAGTGTTCATCTCATTGTGATGGATGGGACACACTCAAATGTCTGCCACTCAGTCACCGCTTAGATTTGATTCTTCTGTACTTGTATGTACAGTCGAGAGCCTGGTGTGGTGATGCGGGAACCAGACTTGACAGGTTTGAAGGATTTATATGTGAGATTTAAAGGGATAGTTTGGGTATTTTCAAGTGAGGTTTTATGAGGTAGGCTACTTACCAATAGTAGATGGCAGTCAGCAGGTCCCCAGTTTGGAGAAGCAGCAGGAGTCTAGCAATGCACTGCTGTGGACGGGGGCAGCAAAAAAAGTTATTTTAACTGCAGATCAGCTGTTTGGAGTTACAGCGCCATAAGCAGGCACCATCGTTGAAATTTTTAGAAATGTGAAGTTTGTTTGTTGCTGATCTCGCAACTTTCTGACCCAAACAGCTGATCTGCTGCGTAATACTGTCCACTGCACAGTTGGGTTTATGCGTAGGACTATGTGAGTTCTACGGTTAGTGGCAGAGAAAAAGGCTGTCTGTCGGCAAGATAACACAGTGAAAATATTCTTAAAATAGCATACATATAAACTGATATTGATTATTTTGAGGCAGGTTTTTTTTATGTGGCTAAAACATGTTTTTTTACAGCCCCCATCCACAGCAGTGCTTTGCTTAGCTTCCCTGCCAGGGGTCCATAGAGAGGCAGAGGTTCTACAAGAAATGGCAAAGTCCTTTCAGATGTAAAATGTATTTTTATAATGCAGCTGCTTTTATACAAGGTTGTCAAATTCATCTTCTCTATAATATACTGTTGAAGATTTCAACAACAGGCTTTTTGAGCTGTCTCTCTATCTTCCTTTCTCTGGATCGTTCTCCCAATTTCTTTTTTCATCTGTGCAAGAGGTATAGATGTATGGATTCGAATCTGTGACCTTCCTACTGACGGCATAAACACACAGATGCCACAATCACTTTATTTCTCTCCATTTCTCTTTCACCTGTCCACCAGCACCAAGGTTGGGGGCTCTGCATTTCAGGATTACTGAGACAAATAGTTTCTGTGGGTGAAACAAACAAGGACATGAACACAGGTGAGGAGAGAGACACTGTCCGACAGCAGAACATTGTTCAGGTGAGGTCATCTTAGGTTAGTAGTAGTCCTGCTCAGCTGCGCAGAATGCCAGAGTTGTAATCCATGGCCTCATTCATGACGGATTAGATAATGATAAAAAAAAAAAAAAAATAGTGCCTTTGGTTTTGATTAAGAATTATGGGGTTAGGAGATTAGACAACCAAACGGTATTACATTGGACTGAGCCCAATCCCAGAATTAATCTGAATACCAAAAAGAGAAAAACTCATTACATGAAGAGATTAAGAAAAGCTCGGTCCAGTTCTCTTAGGATGCACACAAACCAGTGCACACAATCCACCGAAAGAAATGTCACAACAAAACCTCTGACTCGTGTAATTTATAAAGTATTTATATCCGTTTATTGCTCTCTCCTGTTTGAAATGTCAATGCATTAGCTGGTAAAAGCTGGGAATGTGAGGTCAGTTTTGAAGGTCTTGACATTACTGATAATGAACTGTATTATGATTTTATGCTTAAGGTGCTCCATTAGTAGTCTGTGTCCTCTTTATTTTTCCCTCTGCAGTTAGATTCTCACCAACATTTGGTCATGTTGACATTGTCAGCATAATGTGTTTGGTGTGTGTGTTGTGCATTTGTGTGACTGCATTGTTTACATTGTTGTGAGTTTTCTGATGGCAGTATTTCCAGAATGTCATGACTACTGAATTGAAAACTGAACTTTCAGCACGTATTCCTCAAGGGTACGCCGAGCTTGTAAAATCTCTTAAAGAGAAGCTTCTGACTTTGGGCCTATCCACTGAGATCCACTGTCGCTGCTGGGAGACAAGATCCCCCCTCAGGCTTTCAAATTTGACAACTGCAGAAAAAAAATTGCATACTGGAAAAACAAGACTGTTACTCCCGGCGGAACAAGGAAATTGTGTTTGTCTTTGACCTCCTGATAATTTCATGCATTAAAAAAAGCTTCTCATTTTGTCCTTCTCCCTGTATCTGTATCATATCCTCTCTCTGGTGCCTAGAGCTATATTTCAGCCTATGTGTGTGAGAGTGTGTGTGTGTGTGTTTGGGGTGGGGGGTTGATATCTGTGATGTTGGTACTTGAAGGGTATAAAACAGCAGGTGTGTTCCTGACTTTCCTTAGAGGTCCTTATCTCTTTTCACTAGCCAGGTTTGGCTCAGCGATCCGCTCTGAAGCTACATTTCTGACTGCCAGTAGGCACACAAAGAAACATGTGCACACACCGCTGCCAACCACAAACAACGACAACAGCAAATGGGACAACCGTTTAAAAGATGCAAAAATCTTTTTACTCTGAAAATCAGTGAAGTTGTCACACATTTACACAGTGGGAGTATCTATAAAGTGTGCAGATTCAACTCTGCAAACTGCTCATAATAGTGAAATACAACCATGAGGGAACAGCAATCGTTTATACTATGAGAGCTTTCACTCTCACAGTCCTCACGTTTTAACATTATTAATGTTTTTACATCTACAGTAAATGCTTAATGTAATAGCCAAACACATAATAGTAAAAAGACAGGGGTGATGAGGAAACAACTTCATATCATTCGGTGGTCCACAAACAAATCTGAGGAGTGGAGAGCGATCAAATAGCAGTCTCTGATCTACGTTCCATCAGTTTTTAGATCCAAGGCTCACGTGCTGGAGTCCCGCCTCATTCCCTCCCTCCTTGCAGTGCGTTTGGGTTGACAGAAGATGCAAGTTGGTCTCGTTCCGCTGTGGGGTTGTGACCTCCTCCGGATGCCTTTGTAACACTGCAGGGAGATGCCCAAGTCCTCCATCACGGTGCTAAAAGACACGCACTGCCAAAGAGAACAACAATTAAAGGCCTTGGTTCATGGACGTGGTTAGGTCTGAAGCCTCCCTAACTTGGTCCTAAGCCCCCCCAATAAGAAAAATAATTATTAGATTTAGATTAAATTTTTTTAACAGTGTAAACATATACTCAACAAAGAGAAGCAAGAAAATTGATAAATACTATAGTAATAATACAAATGTAATTTGAATTTATTGGCTTAAAAGAATCCTTCTTTCATAATTTAAATCCCTGCTCTAGTCGGACGCCTTTCATCGCTGCAACAACTTACAGTGAAACTGTCATTAACTGTTGTTAATTGGTGACTGGCAGGGCAGCTGATTCTGACGTCAGTAGTGGTCTACAGGTCTAAGAAAATGTGTGGAGGGGGTTGCTTTCTTCTAACAGACATTTGTTGGCAGGTCTAGGCACCAAGGCAAAGCTAAATTATTTTAGGATATTTATTATATTTGCTATATTCTGACCAACTTCACTTTCTGAATGTATTGGCTGTAATAAATTAAATACATATGTAGATGTTGCCTAAATGGCTAGGCTATACATGAGCATAAAGCCACAGATATACACACAGGAAAATATAATGAAATAAAATCAATCATACATACATGTATCCATACATACAGTAATCATTACTCCAAATCTTTTATTCCTTCCACCATCAGATTTTTAAATTCAGACAGTAGCCATGTTAAATAGGATCATTATCAACAGCTTACATCTATATGCTTGTATGCAAGCCAAACTACAGAGCAAAATCACACTACGGTTGAAACAATCCACAGTGCAGTAACAGTAATTAATGTAATTAAATAGCATTATTGGCAACTTATCTAATAAAGAGAGATTTAGATGGTATTACTTTATTTATTTACATGAGCAGCTGGGTAGAATTTAAGTCACAGCCTACAGAAGAACTCAGTCTGGCCTAAGTGAATTCCCCCTACGCAGCGCTGATGTGTCTAAAAGCTAAAGCTCGTGCCTGCTGCGCTGCCACAAGACAGCAAGGTAAACAAAGCATTTTAGCAAACCTGCTGCTCAGGTGTGTCTTTGTGCTCACATACCGTCACTAAAAAAGCAGCTTTTTAAGGGAGTGTTCATCATTTGTTCACCTGATGCTTTTAAAGGCATCATGTAGTCTTTGTTGCAGCATTGAATTACAGTTACACTATGTTGTTATAAGACTTATAACAGAGTTATCTGACATTTTGCTAGGCTAGCTAGCTACAGTAATCTTAACATTAATAGACCAGAGTTGGCAGCTCTTTGAATCCTGGTCAATGAGAGAAGCTAGCTGTGGTACCAGTGCCAAATCTGATTCAAAAATGGACTGGACAAAATTATTGTTTTTTCATCTGAATGTGTGTTGACTCAGCAGGCATGATATTACATGAAAAAGTTGATCACAGGAGAAACATATCTGCACTGACATTCATTGAAGTTCTGTTGCATTTTAAATTTTGAATTGTCACCTGCCACTTCAATTTTGTCTTCTTCTTTGCATAGATAAAAACATCTTGGCCTTTTCACTGGTTGTTGACATAAGTGTAGTTCTAATACAGTAACAAAAGATGCGAGTGCAAAGAAGTGCAAGTTACGCATACCCTGGGGGCTAAGCCCCCCCCCGTCTTTCAATCTTAGAGACATCTCTGCCTGGTTTAAGACACCGATAAAGCTGATATCCCATAAAGTAATTATGAACTTTGGCTACAGGTTTAAAGTCTGTGTAAATGTTTGTGAAAGTTTAAACCTGAGGCAATTTCATTTTGATTCAGCTTGCCTGCAGCCAAATGTGAGCAGGCAGCCAATGACTGCAAGTCAGCTCTAAAGTCTGACCAGACAAACACCAGAAATGACAGAAATGATTTATGAACACATAAATTGTAAACGTACGTCAAACAGTTTTAAAAGACTTGTAACCTCTGTCGTCTGATCGTAAAACACAGACAAGAGATAAAAGATGGTGTCTGCTTTGTAATACTCTAATGCAGGAAGCTATGAATTCATAATACCGTAATTATTTGAAATGATCAGAGAAAAGGCCATCTGAAATTTGAGGCCTCAGGCTTATTTGATGCTGCAAAATAGTACATTGCATTGAACTGATTAATCTTCGATTATGTTTATTTGCCTATTATTTTGCTCTCCTCCGGAGGGGGTGCTCACTACATTTATTTTGCAAATTACTATTCACAGCACAAAGTCATCCCATTTTTTTTGTTGGTCTTTGCACCGAAGGACCATAGAAGGTGTTCCTCTTTCATCCTCAGGCGTTGCCTAAGGCTTCTCAAACATACATGGCTTCCTACAGGGTTTCCCATGAATACTGGTAACACTGGAGAAAACCTACGTTGTACCAATGTCACATCTTAAAGAAGGTGGAAAGAGGTCCAAAAACGCAGATTCAATTTATATATTTTCAGGATTTGTACTGCAAAAACATAAACTAGACTTACTTAACTAATAGGAACTTGAAATTAAATTCCCTGTAATATCCCACAATTAATGATTCTTGCCACCTGACAGTCCTAGTGTATGTATTTGAGATTCACCTTTGGACACTGAAACACACATACCAAAAACATGGCTGATTCTGGTCTTATTTAATAAGGTATCCAAATTATTCAGTGGTTTACATGATTATCTTATGTGCACTGATTTTATACCCTTTAATGATAGTAGTATCAATTATTCCTCTATTTAGTGTTTAATATTTGCTATAACCAACTGAATATTTTCTTGGGGTATATTTCCTACATTTTGGAGAGAGATGGATCTTCCAAAAAGATAACAAGGTCAGTCTTCTCTGTGATCCCATTGATCATTACTTCAGTTAAATGGACCTGCAGTCACCAGAGGTTGATTTTTGAAATTGCTGAAAAACTTTACTTACTTTACTACCTGGGTCTGTGTCAAGGGACATCTTAACCTGACACGTTGTTCCATCACTGTTACCCAAATTTCAGCCACCCAAACCAGTCTACCAACAGGATTAATGAGGGGGAAAATATTCAAATAACATTTCCTATCTTTTGATTTCCCAAAAGGCATTCAAAGTCTGCTTCTAAAGCATACAGAAATGCCTACTGAGACTACACTGAATGAAGCAAAACTTGTGGGCTGGTATTAGAAAGCTACAAGCAAGAAAACAGCAGGGCAGAACTGCAGAGCTCTACACCGTTTATTTAAACTTAAATGCCACATTTTCCAAACTACCCTGCTGTCTAATAATGTGTGCTAAAAATGACACAAACAGGTGACTCACACATTTGATATAATAACTTGCAACTTAAAAAAAAAATGCTTTCCAGATGCCCTGAGTGTTTTTCCTAATTGAAGTCTATATTTTCAGGCTTTCATCGGTAAAGTGCTCCTTACATGCTGTATAACAAGAGCATGCAAATTTAGAGGTGCTGGTCACTGATGAAGCAGACATGCCTGCTTGTGTGTCTGTGTAATCTACTGCTGAAATACACCCTGTTGTATAATATAAAACCACAAAATAAAATTATTAAAAATTAATTTTCTTAATTAAACAAGGACTACATATGAGGACGTTTCAGCTGAAACCAGTTGTTACTAATAGAAAAAAAGTACATTTTGCAGGAAAGTATCATGAGCACGAGGGTCAGGTAAAATGGTAATGGTATAACTTGGATTGGCTGACACAGGGGCGGATATATTTGGGTATTTTCAATAGGGGCAGAGAGAAGGGCACCTGATTACAAACCTATCGCCTAGATTGTGCACGTGTTGTAAATGTGCTGCCACGGCTACTCTGTGTCGTTCCCCAGTAGCCTGCCGCTCTCCAGATCAGTAGATAAGGAGGTGCCAGAGGAGGAGGTGGAGCCACGCCGCTGGATCTGACGGGACTGCACCCCATAAAAGAAACAAAATGCCTGACACAAGCATGCATGGAAAAAAGGAGGGAGGGGAAAACACAAAAGAGATCAGAACAGATGTGTAAAAAAATATTCTGATGTTGAAAAAAAGAAAAGCATATCAGACACAAAAATAAGCAAAGAAACGAATCATGTGAATGGTTTTGTCGCCTTTGATAACAGTGTGGAATGAGATGTTTTTGTTCTCGAAGGCTGATAGAAGTCATTTTTCCGCTAAATAGTCATTTTCATTTTACATTGTATGCTTGACAGAAAAGATACCAAAAAGAGAAATCAAAGCATGTATGTTCAGTCATAAGCCAGCACTGATGAGATATTGGTGACATGAATTACATTTGACATGTTATGGGCATATGACAAAGAATTAGGTCATGAATAATAGTGACTGAACTGATGTCTTATGGAGCTGCCAACTCACCACTTCGCTACTATGTTTAACATCATGTTTACAGGGTAGAACTGTCAGACACTGCTAAGTCATAAATCCATCTAGTGACTTTCTTGTTGCAAGGACAACAGCAGCAAGAGTAAATATGATTTTGAGCAAATTCATTTTGATCAAGCAAACAACATCTAATAAACAGAAAATATTAATTACTAACTAACAAAGTCAGTGTTTGTACTCAGTCTCTGAAAATGTGTGGGGGAAAAAATAGCATAAATATAGCAATTAATTAAACCACATCCATTCCTTACATTTCTACAAGACCTCATTCAAATCACCAGTTCTCTCAGAGCAGAGTGCAACCTTTAATCCAGTCATTTCTCATCATCACTCAGCAGAAGAACAGCAGTTCCTCGCCTTCACTTACCTCTTCTATATCAGCATTCCTACGCGCCTTGTAGATGAACTCCCCGATAGCCACGAACACAGAGAGCACCAGACCAGCAGCCAGGACAATGAAGATACCGCCGATGTTTTCCACACCCAGGGCATTGGCTTCCTTGTTGTCCTCCTCTGGACAGCCATTGCCTCTCCACCACTTCTCCTTCATCATGTGCAGCTTCCCTTCCTCCTGCAGCTGAAGGATGGCTATGGTCACTTTATCCCTGTATGGAGAACCTGGCAAAAGAGAAGGTAAATATAAAGACATCACTTACTGGACTGAGCAATTACTTGTTTGTCATTGTTTATCGATAAATACCTTTAAATGCACCATTAATAAAATAACGCACGCCCGCCCGGCTGATGTGCCCCACTGTTCACAGTGTCTACAATGTTTCAGGGAGTCATATGCATTCTTTGCCTGAGATTTAAGCCAGTATGTGCCAGGAAACATAAATCCACATGTATCCTGAGGATATAAAATTCCAATTTGCAATATTTATTGCTATTTAAAATGCATTTAGTGTAACACTACTGGGCTAGGTTTCCATATGCACATAAAACCGACAGAAGTCCATAATTTGTGTCTTGTGATTTGAGCCATACAATTACTGGCTTTACCTGTATTAATACAATATACAAGCCAGGATGTATGTATGTATGTATGAACAACATGTAGGCAGATGCTCCTCTTGTGTCTTAGTTTCTGCCACATATGAAGCTCAGCGTAAGTTCAACTAGGAAGACCATCTTTGGGCTTAATTTCTTCACAACTCTCTGTCTCTCTCATACAGTCTCTCTCTTCCTGCCTTTTAGCAGCTGACTATGGGCGTTCTCTCTTCAGTTTCCCAATCAGATCAAACTTTAAATCCGTTCTCTCCTCTCCTGTCAGCTATTTCATTGTACGAATCGCTGCAGAACTCCACCACCCCGTTCACCTCCTGCTCATCGTATCAAAGCCCAATTCAAGCTCAGCAGTGTTGCTGTGTTCTTCTTGTACACCGTTTATATCTCTGCCTTAGATTGCTAGTTCTTGTAACTTGTGCCAGCAGGCACAAGATGCTGAATGCAGACAAATGATGTGGGCTGAACCACACGCAGCTCAAGATCAAACTGGACTGGATCAGCACTGCCGCTGTCCTCTACAACAGAGGTCAGTGCCAACCTAACTTTCTAAGGAGTATCTGCAGTACATATAGTAGCATGAGTGGAACTTCAATATCTGGTGGAGGTGTGTGAAACTACAGAGGATCACTGGCAATGCCTCTAACCCCTGACATGCCCTGCTCACATTATGCCGGGGGTGAGAGTCATTGGGTTTACCCTAAGTCTCTTAATTGCATCCATGTTTCCCTCACTTGCGTCTTTTCCTTGCGTATTAGTCCTTCCCACAGGGGATGCAAAGAGAGACGTGAGGAAACCATACGAGGAAGAAAGAAACTTGAAGCAATTCATTTTTGAATCATATTTGGCACCGATATCACATGAAGCAACATCCGTTTCTGATGACGGCAGCTGATCACAGCTAGATCAGATGACCGCTCTAACAGCTGTAGAGGCATCTGATGGAGTTTGTGTCTGCACACATGTGCAATGTGCTAATGCCAATAATGGCACACAGTTAACACTGCCAGAGCAGCCTTTTTTCTCTCTGCAGCTCTTACCTGTTTAACAAACACCTGCACATGAATACCAACCTGCATTCTGCATTTATACTGTGTCCCGCTCACAGGCACAGGAGTATTTCTACAGGCACAATGCGTTTATAATATTAATTCATTATTTGCATGTGTATTTATTGATATTATGATGGTGAATAGAAATTGTGAATATTGTGAATAACCCAGAATGTGAACATGGTGTCTTTTGATTGATTAGAAATGATTTATTAGACTAAATGTTTCAAATTGAAATTGGGTAACTCGCATCAAATCTGAGTCAAGAATGATCAGCCTCACATGTGACAGAATGGAAATGAGATGGAAAAAGGGGTTCTTGCTGACAGACAGACTCTCTGACTTATATTGTATCCATCATAAAAATGAAAGGAGAAAATAACAGATGATGTAAAGAAAATCTTTCTAATAAATGAAGAAAGTTGTTTTTGATCCTTTTGTTGTTCAGGCCTACAATGAACACAGACTTTTAACTAGATGAAGAATAAGACAAATCAAATGTAAAACCTGGGAGTGGTACACTTTATCTGACTTATATGAAACTCCGGTTATGTTGCAATCAGATCAGTCCGATTAGCTGCAGTGTCCAATCAATAACTTACATCCAATGAGGGGGAGTGTCAGATAGTGAAAGACTTCTGTGAAGGCTGCTCTCTGTATCCTAGCTCCTCGCTCTACTTATGCAGGTGTGGAGAATGTTCTTGGCAAAGACTGTTTGTGCTCAGCAAATCTACCCCAGTTTAGAAAAAAAAATGTTACTGGCTCTACAGGGAGTCAGGAGGAGGAGGAGTATATTTAAGAGAAAATAAATGACAACAAAATAAAACATCTAGAGAGGAAAAGAGGAAACACGAGAGAGACAAGATGTTAAGCACTGCTCAAGTAAACATCCAACAGTACCAACTGTAATCACAGTCCAGTGGTTTGACTTGCTTCCAGTTTAAGTTCTCAATCCAAGAAACTGGCCTGAAACCTTACATGAACATTTTCACAGGTGGAAGAGCTTTTTGATGGAAGAGCATTTGCATGTCAAGGACAGCGGCTCTGTACTTGAACTCCTGAAGAATGAAAATAAAAATTCCAAATAAATTGATTTGTATCCACAGTACAAAGCCTCCACATACAGTTCTATTAAAATTCCGTTCTATTGACCTTCAGTGCATTTTAATATGCTCAGGAGAGCTTGAATGTCACTTGTGCAGTATAGACTTGTCTATGGCTTGCTTTGACTAACTTACAGGCAAAACATTTACCACAGAGAACAAGCAATGAACATCAGAACGTTTACACAAATCGTAAAAGAGTCTCGTGTTGAAGTTACAAGGACAACTCCAAACGTTTCTCTCACAGTACAATGTCGCAAACATTTGCAACAACAATTTTTTGTCTCATTTTCAATTTATGTGCATTTTTATGATCCATTACAATGTCAAGACATTTAAAAGTTTGTATTTTCTTGATCAACAGTTGCTTGGTTCTGTTCATTCTCCACTAACTGACAAAGATGGTGCTGAGGAGTAAACTTACAGTATGCTATGATATTGACACTATGTCCATATTTTACAATCTCCGTCTCATTCTTCTTACCGATAGGCGTTCCCACGCCGTAGCCCTTGGAGTCTATGAGACCTCCGATCTGTGTGAGGTTACAGTTTCTCTGGCTGATGTACTCGATGCTGGTGGACTCCATCAGCATGGCGTAGTCTGTCGTCAGGACCCGGGTGATGCCTTCCTTGTTGTTTTTAACCAATGCAGTGTTCTTCCGGCTGCTCATAAACGCCCACATCTTCTCATAGGTGGAGATCTTTGATTTCTGTCAAAGAAGTCAAACAGGCAAAAGTTGGTTAAAAATGGTACGCAATTGTACTCTGTGTAAACATAGGCTATGTATGCTTGTGGCTGCACATAAACGCACCATACATTTTCCAAGGATTACATTTATTCATTTAGCTGACGCTTTTATCCAAAGTGACTTATAATTGCCATTTATGTCAGAGGTCACACGCCTCTGGAGCAACTAGGGGTTAAGGGTCTTGCTCAGGGACAAATTGGTGGATGTGTTACATTGGGGATTTGAACCCAGGTCTCTCACACCAAAGGCATATGTCTCATCCACTGTCCCATCACCACCAAAATCAAGGGCAACTGGACTTGGTTGAAGATACTCAAAGACGTTTCGTCTCTCATCAGAGAGACTCCTTCAGTTCTGACTTAGAGTATCTTCAGACATGTCCAGTTGCCCTGTACTTTAACCTTCCTTGGATTACTATGGCCCTTCACAGACACCATACATTTTCTTAACTGTATTTCAGACATATGAACACATATAAGTTTAATGGCGGGTTGTGTGGGACTCTGTCTTTCTTTGAGTGTGCGTCGTAGTGTATATGTGTGTGTGTTTCTCCTTGCTCAGTCAGAAAAAATGGGACAGCTGTGTTCCTAATCTCCTCCAGCTGATTCAATTTGTTCGAGCCATCAACACAGCCTGCTTCTTCCTATCCAGGCAGCCGTAATCACTGACTGCAATCTGGGGGGATAAAGCCCTGCATGGATCACCCCTGCTGAGCCACCAGGATGCAAGGAGAGTGGGTGGCAGTGGGGGAAGGAAGTGACAGCCCTGCCTGAGGACATCGGTACTTTAATACATTATATAATATGAACTAAAAAGGCATAAACATAGGTTTAACTTCAACACAGACCAAAAACGCAAACCCAAGTAGTCTTAATACACATCTTCTTCACTTCCCATCATATACACACCTCTTGATGCATCTACTTTGCATTTCATTAAAGTAAATGCAAGTCTTTTTCTCTGCCTATGTCTTTAGATTTTTTTATGTTTCATGGGATGTTTAACAAAGATACAGGATGATTGGGGAAGCTGCTGAGGGAACCCTAATGACCCTGATTTTATGGAACTGAACATACTGTACCACTGTACTGTAACAGCTTTTGCATGTTGGTTTTACTGAAGAAAAAATTGTTGAAAGCATTAATCAAATTGAGGATTTTATGTATTTAATGTAGAAAATGATACTTTATATGTATTATACATGAGACAACTTGACATTAATGTTTGAAAAAGGCACTTTGGCATAATAATTTCAGCTATTACTTTTCATTCTGTGACCTTGATACAGTTAAAAGCTCATTTAGAGCCCACACCAGCTGTACCTTGAAGAAGGTCATGGTGGATCCATCCCTCACTGCCCCATATTCAATCCTGGTCTGCTTCGCCAGGTCGTCTGCTGAGTCGATTGGTGCATCCATTCGTTCCACAGTGAGGAAGGCAGCCAAGTTGGCCGTGTAGGAGGAGATGATGATTAAGGTAAAGAACCACCAGATACCCCCAACTATACGAGTCGACAGAGCCTTGGGCATCAGCTCTGAGCCTGGAAGCGTAGTGATGGGGGACAAAAGGTTAAAAAATAGCTGTAATGAGTACAGTTTGTGTGTGTACTCTGTGTAGATGCTCTAAAATAAAAACATCTATATTTTTCCAAAGCAATGTCAAGTATCCCGTTCCAAATGGGGTTATCTAATAGCTGGATTCTCACCAGAGCTCCAAATGAATTTTCACCTCATCCCTGAATTATCTGAATTGTGCACCACTTCATACAGTGTGTTTATTTACTCCTTTCTGCACTACTTGTCTGGTCTAAAACACAGAGTTGCCAAACAATTGGATTAGTGTGAAAAAGCAAACATGACAAAAAAGTACAAATTAGCAGAACCAAATGTGATAGACAAAAGAAAGCTGAATATAAAGAAAATGAGGGAACACATTATTCCAAAAATGCAATCAGAAAATAAAACATAGTTAAAATAAAAAGTAGAAAGTGGAATGAGCCCTTCCTTGTGCAGAGAAGCAATAAAGGAATGAGGAATCCCACATTTAATGTGCCAGGTTTGGAAACAAGTGCCTATCTTTAAATCTTGTACACTTGAAGTGGACAAATGTTTAAAGGGTAACTTCTGTATTTTTCAACTTGGACCCTAATTACTATTCATTACTTTAGTCAAGGGAGTCTGGTGGCTTTGATGAGAGCAATGCAGCGACTGTTTCTGGTTAAACAAAAAGGATCTTACTCTTTAAAAAAAAAAAAAAGATCTGTAAGGATCCTTTCCACAATGTTTTCAGACACTCATAACAATCTGAGCCGGTCAGTGGCAAAAACACAGACATGTATATGACAAACTTTGACAGAGGGCAATTGCCCGCATGGATTACATTGCAGCCCTGTTTTGCTGCCGCCGACTGCAGCGCACTTGCTCAATAGTAGACCAATTTCAATAAATGTTGGCCCCATTAACCACATAGACACAAAACATGGTAAAATAAGGTTGAATAATACCGAGGTTACCCTTTGACTACGCTTTTGAGCAAAAAAATGAGGGATGGTTTAACATCAATGTGTCTAAAGTAGCAGCTACTCCTAGGCACAACATCCCACAGAAAGGTGAAGGCCACTGTTAACAACCAAACAGATTACACACACCACACACACATGCACATACCAGAATATACAGAATATAACACTGAGACATCAACTGTAGCTCACAGTATGTTCACTATAAAACCTTTCTGAGCTTGACACAGGAGGTTGAAGCTTTATCAGTAATTTGGTTTACAAATCAAAAATCAAAATAAACCAAAGTGTAAAGGCATCTGCGTTGTTAATGAAAGCTTCCCTGGCATGTCTCTTCATTTATCAATACTGCTGCATACACTGCAATAACTGATATATTTGACAGATGCTGTCAACCAAACCACAACATTTCATCAGCATCGCCAGTTTGTTGTGGACTGGCGGTCCGCAGGTTTGTTGGCCGTCCAATCAGGCACGTCGGACTTATTCCACCCAAATCTCTTGCCTTGAGGGAGGTCAAGATCCCATGAAGTGCAAAATAATTCCTATAACAGGGTATGGTTACAATTCATGGGGACTGGAAGCAGGCTATATGGAAAGGGCATTCACAGAAAAAAAGGAGGTAGATATTGATGTTTTGAATTAAACAGCTTAGAGCAGAGTTTACAATGTCAGTACAGTCTTTACTGCTGTACAAAGAGTTCACTCAACAGCTCTACACTGAGGGAGCCTTTAGAGAGCTATTAGTAACCCTTTAAACCTGCAATAACTGATTTTTGTGGAGTTGTGTTACTGACCACCTGACAAATTGAAGTTCACCATTCAATCTCCTTTTAGCTCTGATGGTCTCCACTTTACATGGAAATATATGTTATTTTAGCGGCTAAATGTTCCACCCCGTCCACTAGCTAGTCGCTAACTTTGACTGTCCCGCTGAGCAGGCTGTGTACAGTGGGTTTTACAAAAGCTTTTTAGATAAAATCAGAACACTGAAACCAAAACAATTAGAATTCCGATGGAAGCAAAGGAGGAAGTCAGATGACATTGTTATAGAGCAACAGACTTTGAGACACTTCAGGTGTCGTTCTAGAGGGCATGAACAAATTAAGTATTCTGTTGTTTAATTTGGAGGATTGTTTGGAGCAGCCTCGTTCACATACAAATAGTCGTTTGAACCATTGTTAACATAAAAATATTGATGATAACCGCTGTGAACTAAATACCTTGCCGCATGAGAGCTCCAACGCCAAACCAGAAACTGTTGAGTAAAGTGAAATTGTTCTGTATGAGAGTCGAGGATGGGTTGCATGGATGTGGGTTGTACCACTCGTAAGGAGTAAACCTGAAAGACAATAAAAGAACAGAGAGAAAAAAAAGAGGGAAGTACCAATATTAAAAGGAAAGATTCAAATCTAAAGAAGCAAAAAAAACCTCCATGTACTAGTTGCTAGTCTTGATGGATGGGGGCACAGTGGTCATGCACTTCTCTTAAGTGCATGACCGGTTCTTCTCCATTGCAATCTACACTTCACATTGAACTGCATTTTGATTTTCACAACAAATATATACCCACTGGCAGGGGTTTTACAAAAGCAAGCAAGCTCACAATTATCCCAGGCTACTTCACAACCACAGTGGAAGCCAATCTGGCAGCTAAAAGCGTATTTTTGATTTCAGAATAGCTATGCAAATTTGAAATTTGCTGAAGTACAGTCATGCCAGTTATTCCAGACTATTTGTTATTCTTGTCGTGTGAATTTGATACATCAGGCATGATTATGTCATTTTTTTTTTTTAATGCTCAGCGCAGGTGCCATCTCTCAGTTTTCCTGCCCATTTCAAATTATAAACAAAAGAGGTTGTGGCAAAGCTGACTGGCTGTGCACAGTTCAGTAAGCAGTAACCATCTATATGAGCTACAGTATACCCTCAGCAACCCTTATATTTTACCATCCCATCATACATCATCCCATTATCACAGGTATCAATCCATCCTCTTACCTGGCAATCACAAAGAGCACACAGCTAACTCCTGTGCAGGCTAGCAGCACGTACATCCAGATGTCAGGAGACAAGGGATTAAGGAAGGAGAACACGCCCGGATTGGTGCCATTAGGTTTGCGGTACAGGATGCTGATACCTAAGGTCATGAAGGGCTTGGAGAAGTCGATGACTTTCTCTCTAACGTAGGTGATGGTCAAGGGAGCCACAGCAAGGTCTGCAACCTTGGAAAGCCAGGAGACAAAGTAAGTGTACTACAGGTAAAGCATGTGGCTTCTCTTAGTATTTGTTCTGTTTCTATCAATCTTACTAAAAAATGTCAGTGTATCAATATCAAAATAAAATCTCAACCTGGTGTGTTCCACTTCCTCTCTACTAAAGAACAAATTGTTTTATTGAATTAATGAGTAATGCAGAACAATATATCAGGGAAAAAGCTATAAGAGATTAATGGAGGAAACAGACTGTTTCCTTAAGGATGTTAATAGAATATGAGCGCAACAGGCTACTTTGAACTAATCAGTGTCAAAAGTCCTGAAAGAATTCCAGAGCTATTTAAATGTAAGAGTACAATTAACTAAGCAATCTGTTATTTGTTAAAAGACTAGTTTATATAGCCTGAGGGGGCAACTGATCCTAACATGCTAAGGCCATTAATTACACTGAACCTCATACTGATATTATCAAAGCTATGTACTGGTCTGTAAACACCTCATCCTTAAAACAGGCTTTGTAACCATCTGGGAACTTAATTGTTGACTAATTTGTCAATTCAACATGAAAGCAGAATTTTTAGGACCCTGTAGGTGGACTTTTTAAGAGAGCTTATTCATTAGGAAGTGAATCTTCAACTCACAGTACAGAAACTACTCCACTACTGCATTCAAAACGTAGTAGTATGTAAGTATTATCAGCAAAATGTATTTAAAAGTACCAAAAGTAAAAGTACTCGTGCACTTGTTATCCATAATTTTGAGCAGTCTGTGCTACAACCATGCAACAGGATTTTATTACTGCTGCATTATTGTGTATGTTGCATTTTACTCCTATAGATGAGTTGCGCTAATTTTAACTACTTACATATTGTTGGGTTGTTTAAACTACAGCAATGCATCAGATTCTATAAGGTCATTATATGTTTGTAGCATCACTGTCCTGTGAGAACTGTATCTCTAAAAAGTCAACTCAGAAAAACAGCCATGTTTCCAGCAGATCTAAGGTCGGTTTATTAGCTTATTAGCTTAAGAAATAGGATTATTTTCTCAACCCTTTGCATTTCTGTCAAAAGATCCTACTAAACACTGAAATTTTAAGTAAATTTTGCTGATGCTATTTTTACATTGTGGTATTGGTGCTTTTATGTAAGTCAAAGATCTGAATACTTCCTCTATCACTGAGAATAGGTTATCATGGGGGCCACGTTCATGAAATGAAAAAGCTAGAGTTTTGCCCACATGTCGCTCATTAACCCAAGATACCTCCTGGCCGACTAATACAGATGTGAACAGGAACCCCTGCCGTGTGACTGCTATTAACTCACATGGTCAATCAGCTCCCGGACCATCCCGTTCCACTCTCCCTTGTCATTCTGGGCTCCATATTTCCCATCAGCCACTAGTCTGACTTCGTATGTAAAACCCAAGATGTTGGAGAGCTCTTTTAAAAGGTCCAGGCAGTAACCCTCAAAACGATCGTTCCCGACCAGCTCCTTGTCTGACTTTTTTTGCATCACGTATGGATTTTCCTGTACGGCAAAAGAAAACGCTGTATTTTTAATGATTTCAAGATTCTGATTTAATCATTTCTATGCTAAATACTAGGTTAAAGGCAGCTGAATTAATCTTGAAGATCATTCACCATCTTATCAGTTCTCAGAGCTGATGACCTTCAGATGACTGGGGAACTGCTAAAGAGCAAATCTAGTTGTGTTTGAATTAGTACGTCTGGATATTCCATCACTTTGATGACTAAGAGTCGGCTTAAATATATTGGCTCCTCTGTGTATGGTCTGTGCATAATTAGACAAAATTGTGAAAATGCTAATTCAAACTACTCCGTTCATATTTTCCTTCACCACTCTTTCCCACCGTTTCCCTCTCAATGCATCTGCCCCCCTATCTGCACTCATCCCATATGCACTCCCCTCCTTCTCCCTTTACTGTCCTCTGTTTAACCTTCCTCCTTCTTCCTCACCAGTATCGTGGTCACAATAAGAGTCCTGTTAGCCAGAGAGTCTGTCACATTGTTATTCTTTTCTCGGTTGGACTCCGTCAGGTTCATCCCCCTGTACGAGTTCCACACAGCAATCTGAAAAGGCAAACATGGCTTTAGATTTATTGAACCACATTTTCTGCTTTGTTTAGAATCACAACAAGACACATTTGATACCTATGGAAGACAACATTGCAGTGTATAGATGCTTACTTCTATTAAAGCTTTGAATAAGGCTATATCTTTTTCATTAAGGATCACTTACACTTGCTGTTAAAGGAAAGAAACTGATTGATTATCTCTGACACCAGTATGCAGAGCCTGGTTTAGTCTCAACAGGAAACTACAAACTGCTCAGATACACTTTTCTGATTCGTTGAACAGAAAAATGAAAAAGAAGTACAAAGGTTAAAAGACCTAATACTTCTGGCTCATTTTCAATCCTTCTGCTCCATTCACTATTCTACAACATTTCCCTTTGCTCACTGTGCTCTGATGATTCTGGGCAAAGTGCCAAAAAATTAATTTTATGTACAGTGGATGTGAAAATGAAGACGTAGTTTGTTCCAAACCGAGATGCTTATGGTGTGCATCATGTAAAAGTTTACATCTACTCTGGAGCAAACCAATATTATTCCCACTGTGTGCAGCGATTTATCTGAGACTCAGGTATTGAACATATTATGCAGCCTGAACAACTAAGCAGTTTTTCATAACAAATGTGAAGACAACAATTTCTTTATGATGAATTATTGCTTTGGATTGGCATGGGCATCTGTTAGCATTCATATTTCATTCAGCTTGAATATGAAATAAATCTTACTAATTTTGAATGCTATCTACTGACAAATTTAAAAATACACATATAATCAAATATAGTAGACAAGTTAATTACAGTAACTTATTTTTTTGCATGATATTACTTGAATATAAAGCTGAAAAGATAAATTGATTAATCTGCAGCTATTTTTTAAAAATATTTTTATATATATATACTATTTTTGCTGATTTGTTGCTTATGTCCTTTATGGCCTTTGATGACATTCCATTGTGATTTGGAAAATTATCTTTGCAATATTTTATGGATCAAATGATTAATCCGTTAATTGATTTAACAAACCATAGAATAATTGCCAGTTGCAGCAATACTTGAACATGATGATGAGGAATTGGAAATCACACCAGCAGTAACAGTATGAATGAGGAAAGGCAGGGTCAGACAGGGTCAGGAGGGATAGAGGACGACATGGTGTTTGTCCTCTGCTGTCACAGTAACTGTGAATGAGAGTGTCCAGTTCATCAGACCAGGCGGTATAATCCAGACAGTTATCAGATTAAAACAGGCGTCTGGTAGCTTAATTTTGACCCTTTCAAATCCCTTCACTGGTTAAGAGCAGAGCAAAAGTCAAGGGGGCTCAAGACAGTGATGCAATAAAGTTAAGTGCATTAAGCTTCATTCATTGTAAATAAAAAATAAAGTGAGCGATGGAGACAAGCTTTCCTACTTTTGCTATTCAGTCTGTGAACAAAGAGTAATGAATTTGGGTATTTTTAGTCAGAAACAATGTCCTGTTCCTACATTCACCGCATAAGAGGATAAGTAGCAGTGAACGCCTCAGTACTTCTTATTAAACGGAGCACTACAGAAGGTATAGTCTTATTTTTCACAATTTATTTTTCAGAAAAGGGCTGCATGGGATTATCTATTGGAAAAGATAAGATGCTTTTGACTCCTCATTACCTTCTATCTTATTCTCTTCACCCAGACAGACAGAAAATGTGCTCACTTATAACCTTGCTAAAAGCACTCTATTTCTCCACCGTGGCACTTTTGCAAAGGACCCACTCTGTGCAGGAGTCCATAAATCTGTCTTATCTCTGGACACCGCAGATGAAGAACACAGTGAATGGGGTTGGATTTAATTAATTGTATTGTCCTCAATCTCAAAGATAAATGGACAGAGTGAGAACAATATCTTTTTTGGGAAAATGTGGAGTGTATTGTGCGGTTAACTAGCTCAAATGGCATGTTGTAAAACAGTGCTATTTTGGGAAATATCACCCTTCATGAAATATCAACTGCTCGATTAGTCAGTTTGAAGTTTAAGTAATAAAGCAATCTGACCAAGCCAATGAAATCAACGCTAAAATATAGCCTAGGACCACACAGCATACACTCATCCTCTTTTAAACTGTTAAGTCTTGGTTTTACTGCATAGCCTTGGAAAAATTTATCGTGTGTACCAGAGAAGCTTCCAATAACAAAGTGGCCTATAAAAACTGGCAGGAAGTCTTTCTCATATGCTGGAAGTAAAATGCTATGAATCCTAGAGCTCATCTCCATCCAGAACCAAATCAGACTGGAAAACCGTTACCAGAGAGCAGGAGACACACTAAGCCAGGCTGAGAAAGCTGAGAGGGGTGGAAAAAAACGTTATTTCCAGAAAATCAACAACTTCAAGAGAACATAGTTTATTTCCCAGGAGACTTCAACTTTGTTCCCATCATCCTCTTCAGAGTGTATTTAACACTCCAGTGCCCAAGAACTAACACGACTGCAACGGACTGATAATTCATTTTTCATGACCATAAAGTCAAGCGTTTTATGTGATGTGCTTACCATGTTGTGGTTTTTCCTCTGAGGGGAGGCTTTTGAGGGCTAAAAGTACTGAATGGAATTAAAATTATTGTATAAATCACTGCTGCTGCACCTTGACAGCTGCTGCCTGCCTACATACCTGTCTGTCTGACAACTGAGACAGATGGAGAGGAAGAACTTTGCCAACTTACTGACAGTAAACTATTTGTTTGAGGGGTTGAATATATGAGAGACTAGAGTTAGAGGTGTAAATAAGAACAGAGCTTATGATGGTATAAATTTGCTCTTAAAATGTAACAGAATTTAACACTGACAAAATGGGTTTTCTAAAAACTAGGTTTATGTAATCACATCTTTTATGATTACATTGGAGTGAGCATTTAACCTGTGTCAATCCAAGGCCAACAAAGGAAGGTTACCTCTGCTAACTGCAGTTAGCTGCAATTAAAAACTGCTTGCCTGTTTGATTTCCATAAAAAAATTAAAACACTCTAAAAGCAAAGCATATTATTAAATAGTGTAGAGTCTCCACAAAAGTGGAGGATCAATAGAATAAAATCAATAGAATAAATTCTATTTCTTTCTTATTACTCACAGCCACCAGCTATGAGTAATAAGAAACTATAGGACTAACTTATTTCTAATTGAAAAGTACTGCCATGTCTACTTAAACAAGGGAATCTCATATTTTTTACTACCACTGCTGACAAAGTGTCAGTGGTAAAAGAAGAGCGCAATGCCTGGACCCAATCACGGGGAAAACTTAAATGTCAAATACATGGCATGGCTGTACACAAAATCAGCGAAGAGGAACAAGGTTGACAAGGCAAGGAGCAGAGAGGTTCGTGGCATACAGAGTAACAAAAGAGGGGAGAAGGGGAGGCGAACAACAAAGGCTTGGACCAAACATGGCACTGGCACAAACCTTGATCCACCTTTTCGTGAGGCGACTTCCGCCCTCCACAACACCCTTTTGAAAATGTGAAGAGGGCAAGATGAAGCACAGAGAGTGTGAAAAGAAATAATCAGTTGTTGCAGCATTACTGATATTCATTACTGGACAAATCTAAATCAAATCTAAATCAAATAATAAATGCAAGGATGGATTATAGGAAGCACAATCTCTGCAGTACCTCTCTCTCTCTTTCACACACACACACACACACACACACACACGTGTGCCTTAATGGAATGAATTAGCCGGCGAGGAAGCATGAGAGAGGTGTAATTGGCTGTTTCGGGCGTCTGTGCTCACCCTGGTAGTGCCATCCTCTTTGAGGCTGATGATGTCCAAATCAAAGTCTTTCCTCAGGCCATCCGTCTTATTAAGAACAATGTGCCCTGTCAGTCCATCCCACTGTGCCTAAGGAGAAGAGATGCAGAGGGAGAGAGAAGTGGGAGATGGTCTCAAATGCCGTCTGAGTTCAGTGTATGCGCGGAGCCCCATTGAAGCTCCCTGAGGAGCAACTGAAGGGAATCGTGCCAGTGTTGACAGGCGGCTGGAGGACTTGCTGGACCACATCAGGTGAAGACAGGAAGCCAGAAAGATGTCTACAGGTTGTTCTGTGGTACAATCTCAGTATGCATGAATGTTTGACTACATTTACATGCATATCGCACATAATAGTTCATATGTATTGGTATATAAAATGGAAAAGACTAATATTTGTAAAATTAAATACATAAATCATGTGTTTATGCATGTTAACATGCATGCACAGTGTACATATAAATTACTAGTTTTTGCCTGTTGAAAGTTAAAATTCACATCTGTGCATTACAGTATATACACTACATCAACATTTTTATATTTTTACTTAATATATGCTACATACCGTATATTTGATCTTACACTTTACACATACATGTATGTGAATGAAAAACTGATTCTAGGGATTCAAGGGAGGCAGACCTGCACATATACTTAAAACACGAGTAGTGCCATGTTGCACCACGCCACCGTCACCTTATCTTAATTCATGTATGAGTATGAAGGGAAATTTATGTATCACTGCAAGCCAGATTTCCCCTTTGGAACAAGAAAGTGGAATTTGTTAAAATGGTAAAAACTGAGGGTATTATGCAGCCATAGCAAAACTAATAAAGTTTTATTTCTCATGTGAAAATTGAGAAAATAACAGAACTTTTCGCCGTGTCTCTCAGTTCTTGAGAGTAAAAAGGAAGTTCCACGTGACAGGAGAAATCTTCCTACTTCCATTTCTTAGTGAAGAAACATTTTCTTGCAGTAAACACTTTAACTTGAATAAGGAATATTAATCAAAACTGACTTTAAATCAGCAAAGACACTGAATCTGAGAACAATTAAAAAAGAGGGTATTGCCCTCTATTCTGATTGCTGACATGATGTGCACCAAATAACAATAGTGTGTCCACACATTTAAAATGCAATTCATTTAATTGTGTCCACAGGAACATACTGAATATTGTGCACTACAATAGCTGCAGGAGAGAGAGAGAACACGCAGGTTATAGTGCCCAGGATTTAATTTCAGCCATTGAAATTATAGCTGTGTCCTCATATTCTGCGCTCTTTTGTCAGGAATGGATTTTAATTGAGTGCTGTGCGAGACATATTACTGGTTCTTGCAATCAAAAAAGGCTCTTTTCTTCTGATGAATAGCACAGAAGGACACATGCTTCAAAGGATGGGCAGTGGCAAACAAAAAATAAAAGCTGAAGAGGAGAAACACTGAGCTACAAAAAAAAGAAAGAGGGAGCGAAGGAGGATGGGGGAGGGCATGAAGGGGAAAATATGAGTAAGGGGATTGAATGATAATGTTCCCTCTCCATGGCAGGCAATGGTCTTCTGCTGGATTTAAGACTTAAGAGATCAAAACACTCTTGCATCAAAGGCCTCATTTCTGTCTGTAGGCATCCAGCCTGACAGTCGGGCCGGGCCACATGCTTTCAACTTATAAGCACATAAATACCATATATTTTCATGTTGTGTACTTTCAGAAGCAAAGCATGGCCTGTTAGAGGGGACCTATAAAGTAACATATCACACGAAATGATCTGACATCCAGTTTTGGCGAGTTTCACGTTTGCAATAGAGGCATTACATGAAGGATCTTGTGCTCGTGAAACCCTTTCAAAACACACTGCATCATCCAAAATGCATGGTGGTCAAGCTAAAAGCAACAAGGGTTGTTTAAGTCATGTTCTCTGTGATTCGAGCCCTTATCTGACACTGACCTCTTTGAAGAGGTTCATGAAGCGTGGTCCGAAGCGCCAAGGTTTGTGACGGTGACACTGCAGGGAGCTGACGGTCATCTGAGTGGCTCGCTGTGACGCAACAGCAACCATGAACACTGCGTCGTACATCAAGGCTGCGTCCGTCTGTGGAGGAGGTTGATGGGAAGGAAGGTGATTTTTTGTTTTCACACTACAATCAAAAGTCCATGTCAAGTACACAAGAAATCATCTGTTGTCAATAGCTGACTTCCAGTAAGAAAGAGGAAGAAACTGAAAAAGCATGCAATATGCAGTACTTAGGCAAGTGTGGAAAAAATGCTGTAAAGTAAGAATGCTTTTAAATATAGACATGTTAATAATTTCTATTTATCAATTAACAAAATGCAAAGTATATACAATACTTGGCGTGACTTTGCCTTCAAAACAGCATCAGCATTCTTCCAGGTAAACAAAATCAGGGATTTTGTAGGCCTATCGTCAGGTATATGATTAAATTACTATACAAAACAGGTGCTAATGATCACCAATTCAATATGTGGGCTGAAACACAATCATTCACTGAAACAGAAACAGCTGTGTAGGAGAAATACAACTAGGTGAGGAACAGCCCAACTTAGCTAACAAGGTGAGGCTGCTGAAGACAGTTTACTGTCAAAAGTCATACACCATGGCAAGACTGAGTACAGCAACAAGACAGTTAGCAGATGTTTGCAGTTTGCTACCATACGCAAATATGCATGCAGCATACAAATGTGCACCACTGGCTTCCGGCACAGCCAGTGTTTGTATTGTTAGTGCTCTGCAATGTCGAATAACAGTACGGGGCTTACAGTCATGATTCCGTCCATCAGGCCACTCTCTTGTTTGGGACCCTGCAGTCTTTCCATGGCCCACCTTTCCATTGTGGAGGCTACCCACGGGTCATCCACGTTCAGCAGTCTGAAGCCTGTCATGTTCACCCCGCTGTAGCGGTACGGCTCCAAGTCCAGGGCAAACAAATCCTGCAATTTAAGCTCTAGTTCAGGGTGTCGCTTTCTCAGCCTTTTACTGTGTTGATTAACCATGACACAACGTGCTTTAACATTCCCAGTGAATTTACGAGACAAGTTCGAGGCCAAGATGAACTTGTTTTTACTTGGTCTAGTATCTCCCATAAAACAACTTCAGTTGTACATTGTCCAAACTCACCAAAGTCGTGAAGAAGAAATGGTAGTACTCGGTCATCATTCCCATTGATGAAAGCTGCAAAATGAAAAGAAGAAATAAAGTAATAAGAGAAAATACCAGGCCGTATTGCTAATTTTGAATATGATGAGTTCTCCAGTAAAACAGTGACAGTGTCACATCTTAAATAAAGTAATTTCACTTTTGAAACATGTCATTCAAATATACGTGTACACATTTGGGTTTAAAAAAACATTACTAATGAATTTCACTACGCCTTGGTTATAAATCACACAACTGTGTTACTTAATAAAAAGGTTGATTAACGTTTTGTCCCTGTATAACTGTTAATGACAAACAATACAGACAAAAACCACATGGACGAGGAATTGAAATGTAATTCTACAAATAACGAGTTAAGTATCAGGACTACAGAAATGGATACAAGACTTTTCACTGTTCAGTCCATCAGGCATATTTGCACTGATGCACACAAAGATAGTCACAAAAATGTTTGTCAGCATGTTGGTTAATTCGATAAGCCATCAGCTACCATACTCCACTATCAAAGTTAAATTAGCTTTGACCAAAACAAATCCATATAATAGGAAATAAGTTGTGGACCATTTATAATTCTGACTATAAGGGAAGTGCTATGTCATCCTGAAGAAGCAACTCAACAACTTTATCATATCCTTTAATGATCGTCATTAAAATCTCAATGTAAGCCTTAGCATACAAGGTAATAGGTTTTATAAGATTTTCTACAACATTAAAAGACATTACATTGATGGAGAATCATCAGTGGTGTTGCCCCCATAGGACTCATAAATGTGTGGTAAAATCTGCAAAACAAACTAATGAAAAGATCAATCCCTGTACAAACCTGCTTCAGGAGCTCCGCAGCCATGCGATAGGAGCAGTCAAAGAGAATAAAAAATTCTTTGTCTTTCTTCAACTCCTTAAGCAGAGGTCGGGCATCTTGGTTACCCGGGGTCAGCTGGCGGATCTTGATCTTAAGGTTGAACTTTGCCGGAGCCTTGATCAACTCCTGCATCCGCATAAGGCCTGAAAAAAATAGCAAATTAGATGTTTCATTTATCCCCTCTTAAACTTTTTGTTTTTCATTCCTCTGCGGCAGGAAGGTCACAGGTCAGGGTAAGATACAGAACATCCCTCCTGAAGTTCAGGGTCTCAGGACAATTGAGGAGGACAGTGTCTTGCATGTGTGGGAACTTGGACCTCTATCCTTCAACCGAGGGATGTGATTTCAATTCAATACATCATCCCGCTTTCCAAACTTCTTGCTTAATGTCTTAAATGTTCTTCTCAGATTCTTCTACTTTCTTTTTAAACAAATCAAAGGCAAACAAACACACAACTGTGTTGTGCAGCCTGTACATATACCCTGCATTCCTCTTATCCTGTTCTTGTGTGAAATTGTGCAGGTATGTGCCTGTGTGACATTTCAGAAAAATACAGTTCTGATTGAAAATAAAAGGTAAAAAAAATCTATAAACATGACATTTCAACAGCGGCATTTCATATTCTTTGGGTCGTGGCCAGGGACTCTATATGGGACACCGCTGGATTCGAGCCCATCCATGTTGTGGTTTGGCTTTGCGCAGTGTGAAGTCAGAGGGCAGGAATACTGGCAGCTGTTTGATATGAGGCACTCATGCCCTGTCACAGATTGGGTTCACTGGCCAGCACTGTGGTAGACAGTGGGATTGTATTTTGTGAGTAATTATAACCATGGCATACAAATATATTGTCCAGAAAACACAAGCCAGCACTTTTGACCTCTTCTCCCTCTCAGTTCTTCACTAAAATGTCATGCACTGTTGATGGTTGATATTCAGCAATGCAGTGGGAAATAAAAGCATTAGCAAAATTCAGTCTTCAGTCAATTATTATTGTAGATATCCAGAAAAGGAGTGCAGGGGAGACAATGGAGCAGTGGATAAGACACATGTTCGGAGTGGGAGACCCGGGTTCACCTCCCACTGTGACACATCCAAAGTGTCCCTGAGCAAGACACTTAACACTAGTAATTGTAAGTCGCTTCGGATGAAAGCGTCAGCTAAAATGAATAAATGTAAATAATATAGTGATAAAGCTGATATTGGGTGGTCTTAAAGACTTTTATTACAGATTAAGAGCTGAATTGTTCTGTTGAGCCACTACCTCTACTTGTGTGATCATCATACCCACATTAATGATGTTTTTCTTGCTATAACTCAGTTTGACAATACTTTGCTTCTGAAAATTCGCTTTTATTTCCACATAAAAGGCTGACTAAATCAATTATTATGTCCCTTTAAATGCATGGCAGAATTGTGAAGTTTATCTGTGAATCAGTTCTGAAAGCCCTAATGGCAATCTGACAAAAACAATGTGTCCTACCTGTGCTGTCCTCATAGACCACCGTTAGCTTCCTCCATTTAAAGAAAGTGACCACGTCCAGGATGGCCCTGGCGATGGCAGAATACTCGGGATACAGGTTGATGAAGAAGGTGTCTTTGTTGTCCACTGACGGGTGTTTCCAGCGGGTCTGAATGTGAGGGACTTCTAGGGCATTGCAGATGGACTGAACGGCACTGACCGAGGAGCTGTGAGAAGGGCCGAACACAGCAACCACTCCGAGAGTCAGCTGGTCACACACTAATGTTAAAGAACAACACAGCGTCAGATGTTTATTATAGGTTTGTGTGACTTAAATGGGCAGATTTAAGAGTGTTTCACAATCAAATACCAGGTTTCACTTTCTGTAGATTTAAGAAGCTATTAAAATAATTTACAATAGCATGGTTTTAAGGGACCATTTGGTTTGGGAGAACTATGCTAGCTAGATATTTCCATTTTACCCAAAGTGAGACAAATACGATTCCTTAATCAAGGTCAATGCTAGCCATGCTACACAATTTACTCAATTAGGTCAGTGGCAGAAAAATATACCTTTTGCAGTGGTGAGGGTCTATGGAATTAGAAATGTTATTATCCAGGTTTGGACAACTTTAAAGGTGCATTCCTCTTATTTTGAGAGATGCTATTGTTCCCCTGACACTTGAATGAGTTCTGAAAATGTTGTCATCTCTTACAGTAATAACATGTAACCTACCTCTCCTGGAAGCCTCAAAGCCATCAAACAGGTTGATCCTCTGGATGTCATAGGTGAGAGTAGTGTTGGGCATCAGGGTCTTATTGCGGTTTATGTTATTTACTGCAAACTTGAAAGCCAGCTCGTCCATACTCACTAACTCACTCTCCCGGGTCTCAAAAATACCACCTGCACATAGAGATGGAGGACAAAGACAAAGTTTAAATCAGGAGAGAAGATTCATAACAGCTGTCACTACCAATGTACACAAACACTGCAAGTGCAGCAGTCTTAAATTCTGCCACCTTTGGTTAAAATGAAAGCCTTTCAAAACCCACCACACAAACTTAACATGGCAATACGGTCTGTCTGAAAACAAGGCTGCTACATTTTCACCTGTCACTAATGATATGCCATTTACTGAGTACTTCCATAGCATCAAATGTACTCATTGAGCAGCTGTACACTTACAAATACTAGATATTGAAGCCTCATAATGACAGATAAATGAGTGGGACATAAAAGTGTGAAGTTTGATAAAGTCAAATAGGAACAAACAGAAGGAAACTGAAATGGAAAAATGAGGAATTTTGTGGAATTTGGTAATATTATGTCCCACCATTGCATAATAAAGTGGTTGTTAGACCCAGGAAGGTTCAAAACAAGGCATTCGTACTGTGCAACAAACAACTTGTCCTAATGAATTCGATTTTATTTGGTGTAGATGTTATTTCTTCATTGTTATAGGAAACAATACGGCACCCTTACTAAAGGGTTTATGAGTTCTACTTAATGGCTTTATAAATGGTTATTCAGTAATTTAGTTTTACAATTTTAACTGGCTTACATATATATATATAAAAATATATTGTTGCCACTAAATGTAGGCCACTAAATGTAATAAAGTTTTATCAACCATTAATAAAATCATAGTTACAACATATAATATATATAATTTGTAAAGGGTCTTATTTAAAAAAAAAGGCAAAACATAGTCTTCATCCCATTCACAGAAGACAGAAATGGAAAGGTTACACAAAAACAGTTGTATAAATCTATAGTAACCCAGACGAGGTCTTCAACATTCATAAATATCTGTTGTACAGCAGCACAATTTAAAATTACACCAAATGTTCTCTGCAGCCTGACTTAATGAGGGTCATTTTAGATAGTCATAAAAAAAACATAAATACGTTGTCCACAATAAAAGATAATATTTGCAATTTCAATGCCCCCAGCTTCAATATTCTACAAGCAAAGAATTCATTTGGAATTCCCACAGAAGCATGCAAATGAAGATGAATATTAAGTGCTTGAAGATGAACAATCAGAATTTTTCTGCCAGCAACATATTCTAAACACTTTGTTTCTCAAAGTGCAGAGCAAGGACTCAAAGGTAGCTGCTCTTTCACTTTTACAGTACTGAGACCCGAGGCCATGCACAACTCACTGCAAGAGCCAGCTGTCAGCAGGCTCTGAAGAAACAATGCTGTTCAGACAAACTTCTGAAATTGCTCCAAAACTCGTCATCAACATCCTGTCATCTGGGTGCAGAAGATGTGAAGTGTGGACTCAAAGGCAAGATGAAATGGCAGTAGTGTAATTGCTCCGGCAGTGTGAAAGGGCAGGAAATAAAAAGGCTTTAAGAGCTTCTCGTGGAGCTTCAAAATGGGCTTTTGAAAGACAAGTCAAGTCACATCAGTCAAAATTATAACATATTTATTGGACAGGTAATTTTCAGTCTTGCAGTTGCATTTCTCAGGATAGGTTTTTTCTCCATTGCTGATCCTGCAGATGTTTAATCAGACCGAGTTTAATTATAAACAATTTGGTCTATTTGTTGGATTGTTTATTCAGTTCTAGTATAATGGTCCCTGTCTCATTATAACAATAATGATGTCATGAGCTTGTACTTTTTTCAAAAGCATATTTCAGTTACATTCACTTTCAAATTAATTGTCAGAACAGAGATAACAGGAGGAGGAGTACAGTAGAAATCCTGGAAGCTTGTTGTGATTGTTTGGTTTGCTCAGAAGTTCTAGTCCTTATGTATTGTTTACTGTAAATGAAGCATGATGCAGAAAAAAAAGCATACACCTTGCCATAAGAACACAATGAACAAGTGTTTCAGCATGCTTTTTTGGATAACAGTGGGAGCAGGTATTAGATTTCTGCACATCCAAACAATTATAGTACACTGTGACTGGGTTTTGGCGTCCATACAATAATGACATCTTTGCTTGGAGGAATGTAAACATATTTTTCTTTAAAACCTTGCGTTTATTTAACAAATGAAGCATATGGTATGGTGTCAATAATTCAGTGAATAGTTGCTTGTAGTTCCGTCGGTATGATAAATGAAGCTAGAACGAGCAGTCAGTTAGTTTAGCTTAGCACAAAGACTGGAAGCAGGGGGAAACAGGTAGACTTGCTCTGTCAAAAGGTTAAATACACACTTGCCAGCATCTCTTTAGCTCACTAATTAACACCTAGTGTTTTAATCACTACAAGAAACCAAAATGTAAAAGCGACAAATTGTGTGTTTTACGGGAATTGACATGCTCTAACTGTTTCTGGCTGGGCAACCACAACAACAAATATTTCCAGCCATTGAGCCAGGCTCACTGTTCCCCTCTGCTTCCATTAGGGCTGAACGATTTTGGAAAATAATGTAATTGCAATTTTTTTGTTACCAATATTATGATTGCAATTTAATATGCGATTCATTTTTAAGCTCTTTACCTTCTGTATTATTCAAAACGGACAACCAGTAAATAAGTGTATGAGCAACACCATATTAGATAGATTAAAGGGGCATTATGGAGTTTCCAGCAGCCATTAGCAGTGCGGTTTTAAGATTGCTACCAGGCCTGTGCTCATACGCATGCTCGCTTTAAGTCATGAGCGAGCATAATCCGAAACACAACCACTATCATACAGAAATCCTGCAATAAATGCAGGAACACCAGCATGCAGGCTGTGGCTTTTCACTCAGACATGTTCAGGCTCTGTTACTTTCAACGTTCCCGTCCCAGAGGCACCGTAATGCCGGCTCCGTAATGTTACTTCATTCAGCGCAGTGTGCCGCATATCGGCACAATACTCCCGAAAAAAGGCAGAGTGACAGCGGCTATAGACAGGCAGGGAGACAGCTTCACGCAATGTAATGGAAACTCAGGTAAACCCCTACTGCAACGTTACAGTAATAGTTTTATCAGCTGCAGGTTGAACTAATCCATGCTCGTTACATAATCACGGTACATTTCCTGCATTTAGCCGACGTGCTACATCGTTAGCTCGTCTGCTTTCAGTAACTATCTTTGCTATCTGTGTATCTTTCACCGGAGGCTCAGCAATGTCAACACAGCTAAATGTATTGGATGATAATGAAACGTGTAGTGAGCTGGACTGAATATTATAACGAGATTATGTCACACTTTATAATAAGAAGACCGCAGTAAGTAATTTTACTGTATTGTTAGTTAAAGCTGACTTTGTTCTTACTTGACATCATCTGAATCTGTTTGGTCTGATGGGCTTCAGTACATAAAACTTTATTGTTGTTTTGTATCCTTACATGGAGCCTGTGTTTTGCTGTGAGCCGGTTGTTTCATGGTGTTAGTGGACTGCAAATGAAAGGATATGCATTTTAGACCAGAAACCATCATGTCATGCTTCTATAAAAGGAACACAGACAGGGTTTGGACAGTGTAGTGGGAGAGGTACAAAAATGGGAAGTCCATACATCAGGTGGCACGGGACATGACATGATAAACAGGATGGCTTTAAAGTGATACATTTATATGAAACAACTAGGAGTCATAGCTGCAATGTTTAACTATGTAAATGCAATTGAATGTTGGGAACTGGCATTTGGGTTTGCATGATAAAATGCCATTGATGCCACCGGCCCCCCCTGAGTCCACTTTTTTTGGAAAAACATATTACAGTTTATTTTAGATCCAAATTGATTATTACACATCCTAAAATATATGAACATATTTTATATTGGAGACCTTATTGTCATGTCCTCACTTTAAAGACACATCAAGTAAAAACTGGCTCAACTCACCTGATGAAATTTTTAAACAAATAAGATCACAGATTACGTTTTACCATACCAGCTTTTAATCGTTTACAAATCCAATGCTAACTCCAAATGTATTCACTGGATTTGCAGCTGGGTTTTATAAACCTGGCCCCTGGAGTGACACTGTGAGGTGCTTCAGAGTTTGTACTGGTCCTTTGAAGTACATTCCAATTCCTCAGTGCTACAGTCAGTGATAAAGGTCCAGAGGAGACTTTTGAGGCATCCTGAATTACTGGGCTTTCACGGGTGGACAATTAATTCGACCTGGTTAATTGTTGCACATATATAACAAGACATTATAATATAGGTACGCAACAGGACTTTATATACACTGCTGGTCAAGAACTTCTCCATGTGCAGCTTCAAGATTAAAAGAACAGTGACAACACACATCTTGGACACAATGTAAATTACCAACCTGATTTAATATATGTGTAAGCTGGTGATCCTGATCAATATCACATGTCACTCCCTCAGATTAAATGACTTCTCTGCAAAGCTTTGATTGCTTTTCTATGCATGCTTAAAGAATATTAATTTGTTGTAGAAACACCACAGATACTAATGCAGTCACATGCCGTACACACATACACACATTACCCACATTCAAACACAAAGACAGGCACTCAGAAGATGTCCTGGCCACAAATAAATCCTTGTAAATGCAACGGCGGCCAATTAGTAATTATAATCAAGAACCATTAAGCCATTAACGTAAAAATGTCATTTCTTCTATAATTACTGTGATTACCAGGTACATAGCTGTAATTGAAAGAAAACCATGTCATAAAAATGTGGATAAGTGGTACAGTAAAACGGATGGATGAGAGGTTTATCTGCCTGCTGCGGTGGGAGGAAAACATAAAACAAAAAGCTGAAGAACGAATATGAGCTTTGTGCCAACCTGTCACGCAGAGCTGATCAATCTCTTCAACAATCCACCGGGGAGATAAAGATGTTTGCTTGTATGTGTATACGTGTTTGTGAGTGTGTGTGTGTGTGTGTGTGTGTGTGTGTGTGTGTGTGTGTGTGTCTGCATGGAGAATCTAACACCATCGATTCGTAACTTTACTATTTAATTATGAATGATTATTTTTTA